CATCGTACTCCTTCTGCCATGCCTCAAGGACATCCTCATCTGTGGATGCAGATAAAGCTTCAAAGGACTCCTTGCTTCGTGGGAAGCCCAGGAGCATGCGTTTCCACTTTGTCATCAAGGTTGGCACTATAGGCAGCATAAGCCAGGTGGCAAATAGGGAAGGAGGAACCAGGCTCACCCATGCGAGTCGTCTTCTTCCAGTTGGAGTCATTCATGTGATCGTCAAGGACTTCTTGGCGGTGAGCTCGGGTCATGCCCCTGGTACTGCCTGAGACCTCATTTGTCGGCACCCACAGGGTCTCGATAACCTCACCATCGACCATACCAGCGCCAACTATAAAGTTGGGCGAGAACCGTTGGAAGCAGCAATCTTGGTATCCGTGCACATGAAACAAGCCGATGCCTTAGTCTACCTTGAGCTCGAAGGGCATCCTCAGATAGGCGCTGTGGCGGAAATGTTTGCGGACATGAATGCTATACTGGCACATGATGTCGTACATGATGAGGATGAGGGTGATACCGGTGAGGGTCAGGAGCGCATTGCTGAGAGAGTAATCCATATTCATTTGTCTGCAGAGGGTGCATCAGTGAGAATGAATCATGACAAGAGACATATGCGAACCTTTCTCCCTTCTGGAAATTGACGACAGTATGAGGGACGAAGAAACCATGTCTGGCGCAAGCAGTGGCCCCAATTCCTGTGGCATCGAGGTTGGCACGATCCACATTGGCCTGATTGACAGCGCGGTGCTCGTGACAAGTGGAGCGCTGGTGGGCTTAGGAGTCAAGGGCGGAAGAAGAACGTGCAGCCAGACATGCACCTGATGTGACTCCATGGCCACTGCCAGATGAGCCTTGTAATCCTCTTGGCCGACCATGAATGCCTGGCCGTCACTGAGGGCGACGTCCTCCTTGGGGTGCTTCATCTTCATGTGCTCTGCACTGAAATTGCCATCCATGACGAAGCCACGTTTGAACTTCCACTGCACTGGATCTGCTTGCCAATCGAAAGGCAGGTTGAGCCCAGACTGGGGACAGGCGGGACAAAAGATGGTGAGGCCACCCTTCTCCACAGGACGGAGGGCATCGTGTGAGAAGCCGTGCCACTTGCGATATTTGAATTGGCACCATTGGCAGGACACTCACATCAGCTCACGATAACGGTCCTGGCGAGGAACTGGCATGAACGGTTGGGCCATGGGAATGCATGTGAACACTTACGGGAACAGTGCCAGGGAAGGCATTCCTCATGACCTGTTTGAGTTTGCTGTAGTAGTTCAATGCCGCCGTCTTGCACTCTTTGTTCTCCAGAATGAAATCATCGAGGATGGAGAATGTGAAGGCGGTATGGGGATCCTTGACGGTACCAGGGTAAAGTCCCATTTGAAGAAGCTGCATGTCACGCTCTACTGCCATCTCACACTGGCACCAGTCAACGCCAATATGGTGAACGCCAGAGATGTCGACAATGACTATGATCCGATTCCCGTAACTATCATGGCGAGGTGGCCGGGAGAGCACCGGTGGCACATCTTCCTCCCAAGTGGGATCGGGAGCATCGTCGGTTTGCCTTGCTTCACCATCAAGGGTGCCTGCCAGAGGTGCAAAGTTGAATGGGACCTCGCCATCATGTGCATTTAGGTCTTCATTGGAGGCATTTCAGAAATCGGACCCCAGGGCCACCACCGGCGCAGGGTTGTTATGTGCTGTGAAGGTGCCCAGAGGGCAGGGATCTCCGCCATGCCCCAAATGGATGCAGACGCCAACCCGATACAGTGATGCCGGCTCAAAATACTGACCCTGCCAATGCTCTATCCGATGGAAAGGAGCACGCTGATGGCCATTACGACAGCAGTCGGTACAGGTGAGCGGTCTGCCCATACAGTCCAGGCATCGCCACCGTCCCTCGCCAACCTTGCATTCCGCACAGTTTCTGGGCTCAGGCAGGGCTTTCATCTCGACAATGGCATGAAGATAGTCATCACGGTGGGGTATCCAGTCCCTCATGAAGTCATTCTGAGTCTATCGTGCATGGTCAGACTGTCAGATGATCATGGCGGGAGTGCCCACCTTTGTCTTCCGAGCCGCCGGATCCAGCTGAATTGGCACACCTATGTTGCCCAGGACGTCGCCATCATCCAAGTTAAACAAGGAGCCTGAAGCTGGAGCCTTCGATGGACTTTTGGAAGGCGATGGCACGTTTGAACCCGTGGGCATGGGCAAAGGTACGTCCACATAGCGTACTCCCCTAGTGGTCTGCTTAGCTACCTTGGTCACAAACTCAACCTCGTCATCCAGGTCTACAATGAGCCTGCTTTTGTTGCGTCTGCTCATGGTTCAGGTCAGTGGGGAGTCGTATTCCAAGCCAATCGATGAGCATTGTGTCCCTATCGCACAACACGTGCAAATCACACACGGCCTTGCTGCCCACCAGACTACTCATCAAGGTGGTTAAGAATGGCTGCAATGCCTGGGCCTTATCACCTCGTGGTCTCTTTAGGCACCATATCAGTGTTATGCAGATAAGGATGCCATGTTGGCGAGAGGTCTGCCAATCGTATGTCGCCCTCAGTGCTAACTTTGCCTTGACTCGGAGTAGCATAATGTTCAAAAGGGAAACGTGCACTTGCACCGCGCGCTCGCCAACACTGCCGCCATCTGCCCCACTAGCACTCACAACTTCTCGACCGAATACATTTCGCCACCACCTCTGCCGACTTCGAGGTCCGCCAACCATACGCTGCCATCAGTGATAACTACACCTTGAGCTGAACACTGTCGAGATGTGAAACGCGCACTTGTACCCCGCGCTCACCAACCTTCAGCTAGGATTCGGAAATTCGTGACTCCATACATTTCGCCATCACCTCCACCAACTTTGTCCCGCCAACGAAGCTGCCATCGACAGTCTCCATCCCCTGCATAGTGTTCTCATCTCCATCAGTCTTTGGCATGATGTCCCTTTAATAAGCGAGCCAGTTAGGACCTGTTCTGAGTTAGGAATGCAGACTCGGTGATGAACTGTGCACATGCCAATGTGTGAGGCGTAATATGAAGCTTGCATCCAGTGGGGCGCCAGAATGCCTAGCCTGTTCTGGACACCCTCTCGCATGAAGTATGCATAGATGAGCCTTTCACCATCTGCTCGAGTGACACCATGACGAATCGCCTTTCCACAGAAGGCTATGACGGTTCCAGGACTATAATCGATGGCGACACGCATGGCGGGGAAGTTCAACCACGCGCAAGTGTAGTTGCCCAACGTCGCCAACAGGTCGCAGAACGTGTATCTTGTCTTGCTATCTCAGTGGAAAGGAGTTTCCCGGTTGACGATCACCTGGAGCGCATTGAATGGCGACGACCAGTTCAGCGCCATCTCTTGCAATTCTGGGTCTTGCTGGATCAAACCCAAGCACTGGCGTCCTGCGGCATATAGCGTTGGGTGAACGATGGCCAGGATGGCGCCCAGCAATGCGGAGGAGTCATGAATATCATGCAGCCAACTTCTTCCGCCCTCAAGCTTCAGGCTGGCGGAGGTCTCCAGCCTCCCAGACTCCATATGCTGCAAAGGCTGTCCAGATGCAAGGCAAATGGCATGGCGAGGAGACCCACCTCTCTTACTTGTTGGAACCAACCTGGCGAGAGACACAAGGAGCCTGCTGAGAATTGGGCACACTCCTCAGGAGGCAAGAAGTACAACGGGTTGTGTCGCCAACTGGCGGTGGTGCTGGAAGGCTTACTGGCTGCTATTGCTGGAAGGCTTACTGGCTGCTATTGCTGGGTGTAGGGCCCTGGTCGCTTGGAGCATCTTCGTCTGACAAATTTGTCAGATCACAGTGCAAGGCTGGGCAAGCCACTCACCTGGTGGTCTGGTATCAACACTCTTGGAAGTATCCAAGCCAAGATGCGGTGCATGTCCACGAGGGTGGCGGGCTGGTCTATGCGTATTTTGCTCTCACCAAATGGAGGAGGCCACTTCCGTTCCAGTTCTGCCTCGAGGACTTCATTCTGCCCCGTGGGCTGAATTGAAAGGCTGTCGCAATATCTATCAATGTCCCACTGCAGCCTTACTATTACAATGGCGTGATCAGTGTGATCAGACCTGCGGCAAGACTAATGACTACCAGGATTACGGATGGCCTTCACAAGAGCATCTGCAATGCCATTGCACTCCAATAGGAGGGCGAATGGCATGGACGGAGGCACTTCTATGGATGGCACAGAATGGGCTGCATGAGTGGCCAGATGGAGCTTTCGGCGGAACATGAGCTTCAAGACTCCTGCTATCTGATCGGTCAGTGGCATGGGTGACAGATTGCTCATCTTGATACTGTCTGCCAATCAATGGGACGATTACAGCATGCATCGGTTGAAGGAACGCACAGGTGTATGGCGGGCTCAGGTGGTTGGCTTGCAGATGCAGGGGAGAATGTAGGAGGGGCCAGAATGGCAAAGAACAGTATGCATTCATCTGCCTGCATATTGCTTGCAAGCACGTCCCTTGCACATCTCACATGTTCATCATGCCGCCGAGCCGGACTTGATGCCGCCATGCCGGATCATGGGCCGGGTGGTCCGCCATGTCTGGGCCCTTCATCACCGCCATCTAATTGGCCGAGCCTAACTCCGAGGAAGCCCTTTATCCCACAGATTGGCATGCAGATGATCAACAGATTGCCTCCACCCAGCATTCGCAAGATGAAGTTGGCGTGGTGTGCTCTGCCATAGAAGCGGCATTCAACATTGCCTTTCACCAGGCATGAATGCTAGTGCATACCTACTACCACCTCCCGCCACTGCGAAAAATACACATACAATGCTTCAGCAGTCACCACACACCATGGCGAGGAGGGTAATTGGTGTAAGCCCAAATGGGCCATCAGCACATGCATGTTGAGTTGTGGGCGGCCGACGAAGAAATGGACAGAGCGCTGCCCGTTGAACTATCGACCCCCTTCACTGCCCCAACACAAAAATCTCATCCTCGACATTGAGAAAGCATGCCGGCAAGATTTGTAATTTTGACGGAGCATCAGCCCATACTCTCTGAGAAGCTGCGGTCTTATAACATGGCAGATGCCAAGGGTCGCAAGACTCTGGTTCAGAGCTTGCGCCAGAAGCTGAAGACACAGTTTATCGACGCATCAAATTATGACGACATCATTGTGGAAACTGTGAGCAGTGTTCCATGTCTGTGAGGTCTCCACTAACTCTCACCGCAGAAAATCCGAGAGTGGCTCAATAACCACGCCCGCCATGCGCAGGAGAAAGCGACGAAAAAGCGTATGCATGTTTCTGGCAAGCCAAATGCCTTCAAGGTGTGGGATGTGCTGGAGAGGGACAAGGTGACTGAGGCCGCGCGAGCACTCGCAGCAGAAAAGGGTTGCAATGTCTCCAAGGTGTGGAGAGTCGCACGGAGTGCCGAATGGGCAAAACTGTCCGAGGAGGAGCAGAAGGTGTATGAGGAAAAGGCGGAGAGTTGGCGCAATGGCACTCTGGATGATAAGACGAAAATGAAGTGCGTATGTCCTGTCACGTAGCATAAGGCAAATCCTGACCTAAGACAGGCTGAGGGAGCAGCGAATGATGCAATATCTGAAGAAGTTTGCCAAGACTATGTGGGACACCATGGGCATTCGCATGGCATTCATGCTAGCATATCCGAAGGAAGCGGGGAGTCTGAAGGTAGAGATGTGAGTGTAGACCGTCCGACTGTCGCCATCTGCTAATACCAGAGTGAAGGGTGGAGGTCAACCACGCCATCACCAATGGAACTCCATTCGGGGCCTATCCTGGGTGGCTGCGTGCTTACCAGCCTCTAGCAAAGGTGTTCTCTGAGTGGGCCAAAGGCGAATACGGTAAGAAGACCTCAGTTGCATTGTCACTGGCACACTGACCTGATTCCTTAGGTGTGACTGAGACTATGGTGATGGTGAAGAAGACACCTGCCGATTGCATGCGGGCCATGGACAAGATTTGGTTGAGGGCCAATGGTTTTCCTCTGCTCCCGTCAGTGCCCGAAGGTATGGCGGAAGCGCCTCTCAAGGTGATGAAGGTACAAGTTCGAGACTTCATGAATCATCACTACGGTATGACACTCCCACTTGGTGTTGAGAGATGCTGACCAGTTTACAGCATTGGCAAAGGGTGTTCGGAACTGCAAGTCGCCATGGACGAAGCTGAACAGCATAGACGACATCAATGAGGTTATTCCAGCAGAGATGCTATCTGAGAACTTCCAGTGGATCGATCCCTCAAAGATGACAAGTGTTCCCGTTCGTGCCCTCCTCGACCACTGGCGGGCACGCCAAGAGGAACATGGACCTGAGCAGACCATGCGATTCACCCAGTACTTCGACAAGGATGGCGAAGCTGCTCCTGCCAAGTATGATCCTCTTCCACCACTTGATGGATCAGCACAGGCATTAGAAGAAGGATCTGAACATGAGGTCCAAGAAGCACTCACACCCAAGAAGGCGGGGAAGGCGAAGAAGAAGGGTAAACCTGTGCGCAAGGTCACGGGAAAGGCAGCATCGAAGGCGACAAAGGGCAAAGCGGCCCCTGGCGGAGCCAAAGGCAGTGGGCATAAATGCAAGATGAAAGATGCATACGACTCGGAAGACGATGCCAGAAGCAGCTAAGACTCTGATCGGAGTTCGCCAGATATACCCAGCATGGCTTCCGAAGAAGATACAGCCAGCGATGAAGATTCAGGGGATGGCGAGAGCGTGATTGCAAATAAAGTGAAGGGCAAGGCAGTTGCCACCACCAATGGACGTAAGGCTAACAATGGTGGTGCACCTCAAGCAAGTGGTAGCGGCGGTGCCAAGACGAAGGAAAAGTGAGGTCTCCAAGACCTTCCTCTGGGCGCACTGCACAGATTTGACACAGAGGAGACTGATGAAGCATCGAGTGAACTGGAGCCCAGTACAAAGGAGCTCAGGCTTGAGCTTCAAGGCCGAGCCCCACGTCTCACTGGCGAGAGTACTGTGGGGAGTACTGTGCCCCACCTCATCAAAAGGAGAGACGTGTTTCTTGCCACTCTTTCTGTCAAACCGCGATACCAGGATATGCTGAAGCAAGTCAAGATTGCGACTGTGGTGAGCTCCTTTCGTGGGGATTCATAGCCACCATTGATCATCCGTCATATAGCCCCAGGTGTATCGTTTCACCAGGTATGATCCGATTCCCTGGAGTGAATGGTCATATAGCCAGCGCTACCTCTCGTCGTCATTTCATGCGGTGGACAACTTTGACATCGTCGAGAACTGGTTGGGCAACAAACTATGGCTGACAAAATATCGGTTCTTACATCCACAGGGCGTACAACAATCTGCACTCGTGATTGGTATGGCGCTGAGGGACCTCACACGATCTCAGTTCATTGAGGAGGGTGAACCGACCAACCTTCCTGACTACGTGGCGAACTCGGCAATCTCATTTGATGCAGTAGAGCAGCTGCTTCGCTGTTGCGAGATCATTACCTTGGACATGGTGGAAGGGAACGTCACCCATGCCATGGTGAAGCCAGTGAGCAAGCCTGCCATACGCGGTGCCCCTCAAGGTGGCGATGGCCTTGGGGGCCAGGAGGAGCAGGAAGGTGATGCCTCTGCAAGAACTCATGATGGTGCTGCTACTGCTGCCAAAGTTCACAAGGCTCACCAGCCTGCCCCCATGACTGACAAACCAATCATTCCAAGTGGAGGAGATGAAGGGCCGAGCCAGGAGACCAGTGGTGGGGCCTCTGATGATGGCGAAGAGGACGATGCACACTTGTCCGTACCTAGCAGTGGTGCTGAACGACTGCCACCACCTCCGTTTATACCTAAGACGAGGAAGGCGGCAGCCACGGAAGGCCGTCCGTCAGGTCAAGCCAAAGCGCTCCAGGGAAGGTCGATCACCGATGCCCTTCAGAGTAATATCCCCGGCAGGATCACTCGCAGTCAGCGTCAAGCGATGGATGAGTCGCCCGCCAAGAATACCCGCAGTCAGCATCCACTAGGAGCTGTTAAAGATTTGAAGAAGCTTCCTGATCCAAAGTGGAAACGTAAACCAGCACGTCCCGAGCCCAATGGCGAAGACAGCTCTGGCGAAGACAATCTGCCACCTCGGAAGTGTGGACGTGGTACTCGGGATGAGTTGGTAGTGGCCTCACTGAGGAAGAAGAATGCGAGGGCCGAGGACTCGGATGATGGTGACAAGCCTCCCGCAAAGTGAAGATGAGCTCTGCCTCAGACCCCGGAGGTCAAGGACAAGGGAGAAACCAAGCTGAAGCCAGTCCGTCTGGGGAAAGCAGCCGCCAAAGTGAAAGAGAGTGGCCAAGTTGGCACAGGTCGCAAGACCCGCAGTGGCGGCACCAGACCTTGACAATATAACTCCAGTTCAAAGTAGACTCGTAGGCTTCCACATTGTTTAATGTGACCCATAGATTTACATAGGTAAAGCCATGGAGATGGTGGCAATGGCGAGGGGAGTTGGCAAGAACTTCAGCAGGCATTCAGTTGACTTGGAGTGGCGGTGGCGAATCGAGTGCATGGAGATTCCATGCTAGGTTAAAAAGCATGTATATCAATACTCTAATAACTACACATTGTGGCTATCTGGGCGAAAAGCGGTGAAGACCATGGCGGAGTCGACCTTCTCTCGGAATGCATCCAGAGACTTCGCCACCAGCGAGGTTTCCTCTCTCGCCGTCGCCACCTCCTTCCCCACCTTCTTCGCTTCATCCAAAGCGGACGTCGCCACCGCCATCGAATCCTCTTTGGCGAGCGCCAATTCCATCTCCAGCTTGCTCGCTTGAGCGATCGCCTCTGCCGCCGAAGACCTGAGCTCCTTCTCCATGCTGTCTGACCGCGCTGCCTGGAGCTCCATCGAATGATGGAGGTCAGCCAATTCACCCTGCAGCTTGTCGACATCCGCTTGGCTCACCATCTGGTTCACACCTTGCTCCAACCTGTTGACCTTCTCCTTGAGCTCTGGCAGGCAATGTCACTTGGCGACGAGGTCCGCCACCGCCAACTTCACACTCTCCTGAAGCTCGATGGTGACCGGCCTGCGAAACTCCTCCATGGCCAACTTGACCTCTTCGCGAATGCTCCGGGCATTTTCTTGAAATGCGGATGGTGGGTTGATTCACTGGAGCACCGCTGTGATCTCTGCCTTGATGGTGTTGAGGTCCGCCATCCTCTCCTGGAATTGAACTTCCATCCCATCCTTGTGCACCAGAAACTCCTGTCGCAACTCGGCACAATTCGTGCAGTCATCGTTGGATGACTGCAAGGTTTCTTCGCCACTGGGGGTGTCGCCTTCGTTCACCGGAGTGGGACTTCCTGTAGACACTCGCTGGACGTCGCGCAAGTGGGGTGCTGTATCCCTGGTCAGCGCTGCATGGATTCGAAGCTGTGGCGGGCGCACTTACCCTTGCTGGTTGGAGGCACTGCTCTGAGGTGGTTCGCCTTTGCATCCATTTTCGCCTCCGCCTCCTTCTTCGCTGCCTTGCGGTCCAGTGGGGCACCCCTCTTAGCTGGCCTTCGCCCTTCATCGAGATGTCCTGCCTTCGCCAATGTGGAGGACTTCGCTCCCTTCGACGCCTTGGATATCTCCAGGGAGGGTGTCACCTCCTGTGCCACCTCGGCAGCTCCTGCGCTCATCTCATGGGGCATCAGCAGCGAACGCCGCCGATCATCGTGTGGCCACTCCAAGGACGCGCGCTGTTTCATGGTTATATCGACTCCAGCTGCGACAAGATGTCCTGCTTACCTCATCCTCCGCCACCTCTGCCTGATACTCTGGCGCATCCTCTGGTTCATCGGCGACTGGTGTCAGCATGCGCTTGCTGCTGCTAGCTTGCGGCGGAGCAGCTGGCCCTGTTTGGAAGGCCATAGCCCGCACCGCCTCTATTGCCAGCCTGGCGGCTTCCTCCATGCCATCGCCTTCCGCCAGAGGCATCTTGGCTGCTGCCTTCTGAGCACTCGCCTTCACCTTCCTGGTGATCACGGGCACCATTGGGCCCGAGCGACCTCCCATCGCCAACCTTGTCGTCTGCCCGCCCTCCTTCGCAACAGACTTGGCAGGCGGGACCTCATCCGCCTCACGTACTGAGGTCCTGGTGACCTCGCCACCATCTTGTGCACCTGAGTTTTGGCTCCTCACCGGCTTTGGCTTGGGTCCTGACTTCTTACCTTCGCCAGGTTTGGCGACCGCACCAGACTTGGCAGGCGCGCCAGACTTGGAGACCTTGCCAGAGTTGGCGACCTCGCCAGAGTTTGACAGAGCCACAGCTCCAGTGGTGGTGGCGGACTTGGTGGCACGCTTGGACTTCGACGATTTCTCCACCGAGGCCTCGCCTTCAGTGTTGGCTTCATTGGGCGTGACGGTCACCTTCTGCTTCGTCGCCTCAACCTCCTCGCCACCCTTGACCTTGGAGCTGGATGCCACAGCATTGCGCGTCTTGGTCTTCTTCGGCGGCTTGCGCTTCGACGCTCCCATGACCATGGGTTCTGCACCGTCGGGCTCATCGAAGTCGACCTTGACGTCATATGGAGGTGGCGACGTTGGCAGTGGCTTGCCCTCTACCACCAGTGCTGCGCACATCTCTTGGAACTCACACTGTGCGGTGTGTGAGTTTCCTCGCAGGGACACACCGTCCGTGTTCCTCGGTGCGATGCTGCAACTGACGCCTCGTGCTGCACATTCGAGGCAGCGACCGAAGTTGGCGGTGTTGAGCTTGCATGGCCACTCTTTCTCCTGGCAGCCAATGCAAGGGACGAGCTGCAGGAACATTAGCACAGGTCAATGTCTCACAAGATCGTTACTCACCGAATCTGTTGCATGTGCCCACATGAAGTCAGACACGCGGGTGGACGTCTTTTTCCACATGTCCTTCTGCGACACTGTCACCTTCGCCTTCGCCGTCGCCTTCCCCTTCGCCGTCGCCTTTGCCTTCCCCTTTACCTTCGCCTTCGGTGCGACATGAGGCGACGCCGTGATCCTCATTGTCTGTTTGACAGGTTTGGCAGGGGCATTCGTCTTTGCAACACCATTGTTAGAGTCCCCTGCGGTCTTGGCGGGTAGATTAGAAGGCGGTGCCGGAGTCTCATCTTCGCTTTCGATGAACTCCTTGGTCTTGTATTCCTTTGTCACACACTTCTTCTTTGGCGGCTTGACGGTCGGTACTTCCTCTTCATCGCTTGACTCCTTCGCCTTCCTCTTTCCGCTCTTCTTCGTGCTCACCTTCAAGCCCTCCACCTCAGTCTGCGCCATCCTCTTCTGCGCATGCTACGCTCGACCAGAGGTGGTCGGGGCCTCGCCTTTCACCTTTGCGACCTCGATCGGCTTCATCCGCTTCACCTTTGGAGCCGCCTCCTCATTCTCACTCTCCTCACTCGACTCTGTGATGACCGCCTTGCACTTTCTGAGTGATGGGGCAGCTGGCGAGATCGATATTGGTCTGGCAGTTGGTGGAGGGGGCGACACCGCATTGACCTCAATGGATTCGGGCTGGCCTGCACCCGGCACGTCTTCTGCCATCTCATCGTCGTCATCTTTATCAGCATCGTCGTCCTCGTCACTGTCAGCATCGTCGTCCTCGTCACTGTCAGCATCGTCGTCCTCGTCACTGTCGGCATCGTCGTCGTCCTCGCCCTCCTGCTCCTCTCCCTCTCCCTCTCCCTCTCCCCCATCCTCTTCCTCGCTCATCGCATGCGCCGCCTTCCCCTGCACCTTCTCCTTGCTCTTGCCCTTTCCCTTGTCCTCCCCCGCCTCCACGTGGACGATACGCTCACCCACCATGCCTGTCCCGACGTCGTTGTCAGCTCTCTCCTTGCCTTTCCCCTTGGTGATGAGGTCCCCGGTCACCAGGTCCTCCTCGCCACGTCCCTGGGTGTCATCATCGGCTGGCACATTGCCCCAGCCCTCCGCTGGCATACTCTTCACCGGTGGCAGCTTGCAATATGGATCTGGTGCAGTCAGTGTGTCGCTCGATGCCTCACAACACTTGTGACTCACCTTCAGTCCACCACTGCCTTCCCAGGTCCTCACACTCCCCATACTCGCGCACAGCCAGAGGGTACCTCTTGTATATCCTCTTGTCATCGTTCGATATGTGGTCCAGCCGCGCCAGGGCCTTTTGCTGGTATGCCCGGGTGAATTCCAGCAACGCACTGATGATGATCCCAGGCATCCTCAACGACTTCAAGGGCTGCGGGAAACTCTTTTCAAGCCGACTCTGTGTGGCATATTCGGTAAGTGCATGCCAGACCTTCGACCGATGACTTACCACTTCGAGGTAAATCCTCGCCTCCCAGTCCGAATAGCGAGGGTCGTCCTGGCGAGGCGCCGCTGCAACAATGGCCGTCAGTTGCGCGGCCTGCAGAACATAGTTGGGGTCGATATCCAGAGTCATGGCGAGCTTGGCAGAAGAAAGTGTGAGGGTGTTTCAAAAGCAGAGGTTGCAGTACAGCGGAGGCGGAGCAGACGACACTATGAGCTGGCAGACACGATCTGCACCAAGTTCAACTTCACACGCCACGCGACCACGTGCTTTGCACGTGATCGCTGGACTTGCGCGATTTCTCAAGTCTCTCAAGGTCAGTGTGACCTGCCGCAAGTTCTCATGGCTCCCAACAGTAAGTTCTATTGCTCTCCTTGTGGAATCTGACTCCTTTGTGATGTTATCTGACCTTTCTATGTCATATCAATCCCCTTTCTACAACTGATCTCCTGCGATCCAGGACTGATCGAAGACTTGTCTGCTCGCCACAATCTACCTGTCATGGCCAGTGACACGGAACCTCCTGACACGCTGGACATTACGATGGGCGAGTCGGATGAGGAGGATAGTATCGCTGAGCCCCGTCGTCCACTCATTTCGGATCTCCTTGACTCTCCTGGATCTGCCCAGATCTCCTTGCCTCTCCACTCTGCTTCTCAGACACCCCTCACGCCCCGCCACACTACCCCGTCCCTGGCGGCTCCATTTGCGCCATCCAACTCGCCACATGAGCATCTTCACCGCCACACCTCGCCAAAGGTACAGGCGTCATCTGGATCTGTGGTGCCTGTGGAGGGAAGTCGCGCACTTATTCCTGACCCTCTGGCGCCAGCTTGGGATGAAAGTCGTGGCAGTTCGCCAATCCATAGGCGTGCACTCATCTCAGATTCCACCCCCACTGCGCCCGGTGAAATGTTCGACTTCGACACTCCTGGCATCTCGCCAATCCCTCGACGCGCCCTGTTGGAAGCTACTCCCCTTTCTCCACCAGCTCACACTTTCGACTTTCGCACTTCTGACACCTCCCAACTCCCTCGACGATCGCTCATCGCTGAGCCCCTTGACGCTACGCCACGTACATCCATCCACTTCGATAGTCAAGCAAGTACACCGATGGCGAGGGGCATGCTGGTGGACGAGACACTTGATGCGGAACCAGTGCCGAAACTGCTGGACTTTGACAATAGTCCTCCCGCCACACCAGGACGATGGCGAGCTCTGGTGATAGACAGCCCTGGCGCGACGCCTGTGCATAGCCAGGTCTGGTGGCTAAATAGTCCCAGCACTTCGCCTCCAAAGAGGCGGCCTTTGTTGGACGATGTTTTAAGTCCATCGCCTCCGCCATCGGCGCCCTCTCACTCGCCAGCTCGCACTTTCGATGACAGCAATTTCCGCCACGATGCACCTGTCATTCACTATATGAAAGGCAGCATCGAGCCAGTCACTGTTACTTCCAGGATGCCAAGTCTGGCAGCACTTCCAGATGAGCTGCCGATCCATCGTCCCACCCATTGGGAACAGGTTCCAGGCTTATTCCCAGATACCACACAGCTGCTGCCAATGGCAGTCCCTGGAGAGACGAATGCCGCTTCTGGCTCAGAAGTGGCCTGCCTCGGTAGATCGTTTGCGCAGATCGCAGCAGAGGCAGACAGTTCCAGTGAGTACATCCCTGGCAACCTTCAGTCTGATGTTGACCTTATTCATAGTGGACGATGATGAAGGTGATAGCTTTGCGGTTAGTCGTCATCGTGCCATGTTGCGGGAGCGCATTGTACGTCTTCAGCGTGAGCTCAACCTCACTGAGGATATGCACGTTGCGAACCTCAATGCCAGCTCGACCGTGTTCCAAATGGGGTACATTCTGAGGGACATTCGTGGCGAGGCGTATCACAGCAACTGAACTAGTGTCTTTGAGCGTTCTGGTGTTAGCAATATATGACCGCTATGTAACAGCTTGTATACCAGTACAAAATGGATACATTCACTTCTGCATCACTAAGCTCTAAAGCCCATCGCTCCTCCAGTGTACTCTTCAGATGGGCGGACTGCGCTCGCCATCACCAAGGCATGTTGTTGCCAGCAATTGGCCCATCGCCAAAGGACCTGAGTGAAAGCTTCACTGCATGGGAATATCGCTCCACCAGCAAAGGGCCCACTGCCAAGGGTCAGAGGGTTGGCCATCGCCAAGCTGTGTTTTCGCCACCAATTGGCCCTCCGCCATGAGTGCTGGTGAGTGATGGGCCCACCGGCAAAGGTCAGAGGATTGGCGATCACCAGAGCACGTCATCACCACCAATGCGCCCGGAAACTGCAGGGCTGTATGTGACAATGGGCCCATTGGTGGCGATGACATATCCTGGTGATCGTCAACCCACTGGCCTTTGGCGGTGGGCCGATTGCTGGCGATAACATGCTCTGGCATTGGCCAACCCTCTGACCTTTGGCGGTGGGCCGATTGCTGGCGGAAACATGTTCTGGCGATGACCTATCCCATGGGTGCTTGCAGTAAGGCCCTCACTGAGGGTGCTTTGGCGATGGGCCGACTGCTGGCGATAACATGCTCTGGCAATCGTCAACCCTCTAACCTTTGGCGGTGGGCCCATCCTTCAGGTTACACTCTGGGCGATCGGCCCACTGCTCATTCGTCATACTCTGGCGGTGGGCCGATTGCTCAGACAAACATGCTCTGGCCATGGCCAACCCTCTGACCTTTGGCGGTGGGCCGATTGCTGGTGGAAACATGTCCTGGCGATGACCTATCCCATGGGTGCTTGCAGTAAGGCCCTCACTGAGGGTGCTTTGGCGATGGGCCGATTGCTGGCGATAACATGCTCTGGCAATCGTCAACCCTCTAACCTTTGGCGGTGGACCCATCCTTCAGGTTACACTCTGGGCGATCGGCCCACTGCTCATTCGTCATACTTTGGCGGTGGGCTGATTGCTCAGACAAACATGCTCTGGCCATGGCCAACACTCTGACCTTTGGCAGTGGGCCCATCCGTCATCTCATTCATCATACTCTGGTGGTGGGCCGATTGCTCAGACAAACATGCTCTGGCCATGGCCAACACTCTGACCTTTGGCGGTGGGCCCATCCGTCATCTTACACTCGTGGCGATGGGCCCACTGCTCATTGATCATACTTTGGCAGTGGGCCCATCGATGGCGATAACATGCTCTGGCGTCGGCCCACCCTCTGACCTGTGGCGGTGGGCCCATTGCTTAATGGTTACAACACTGTAATATGCCCTGCTAGTGGGCCGAGCACTGGGAGAAGAACACTAGCGGTGGGCCCACTGCTAGTATCCTACACATGAAAGATATGGGCCCACTGCTGGTAGAGGTCAACATGGTGACAATGGGCTGACGTCCGCTGGCTGTCCAGTTCATGACAATGTCAGGGTAAATGGGAGTTCAGTTCAGGTAACATGACTGAAAGGTGTGAAAAATCTCATGCCTAACACAAAAATTAGCCTACCGGGGCATACGGGCCACTCTCCTAACCCCCCCCCCCCCCCCCCCCCCCCCGATCCGCAACCATAGCCCACTTAGACATCACCAGATATGCCATACTGTCCCACACGGAAATAACCCCAACAGACTCTACCATTTGGAAATCCCTCCGATCTCCTGCATCAGGCCTATGTGTCATATTGATATATCACAGAGTGAGAAGTGCAACACATATCTGATACATCAGTAGTTGTCACTACAACTCACCGGCGTTGATATATCATGCCCGTGCACATGACAAATCAAATCCTCGATCCTCTTTTGGATGACCCGGTCTTCTGGGGGAATCTTACCGGAGATCCAATCTGACAGATGGCGCATCACCAATCTCAGATGTGCATCGTCATCCCGCCTCTTCCCATACTCGGCTGTGCCTTCTGGTGGTCAGGTAGGTAGGTCGGCATTCCAGTATCTGCCCCGGCTTTGCATGCTGGCCTTGCTTAGGACTACATTGAATTCTTTTTTATTAGTTGTAGTTGTTTAGTTCTTTTGCAGTCATCCTTACCAAAGTTCAGTAAGCATCATTGACCGTGTAATGTTGCACTCTGTAGTTGCACTCTGTAGTTGTGCTCTGTAGTTCACATAGTTTGTAATCGGGTTAGCATTACAAAGCACGATATACGAGCTCGCGCTAGCTGTCAGTTTTGATATATCAGACAGGGTGCCGTGCCATGCCAAGTGCTGCTGTCCTGTTGAGCCTATCAGTGGCTGATAGATCAAACCTCTAAGAAATGTGCGAAGTACAACTGTCGAAGCACTCCATTCAAATCATGCTTAAAATCACACAAGTTTCACAATGAGTGAGATCTGGTAAACATATATTATTATAGTAGGGTTTCTACCTACTGTACTACCAAGAATGTAACGTCACGATGAACGCCTGCGGAATGCAAACCTAGCACACAAAATTGCATAGAAAAGAAGATGTTCGAACGTCGCCGAGACATTGTACCTTTTTACTCCTCCCTACTCATGCCATGCACCTACTTTTTCTTCTTCAATGGTGGCCCGCTGAAACCTGCATCAGTATCACAGACAACTGGTCAATGACTAAACTTACCCATACTGCCCTTCTGCAACCCGCTTCCCTCTGTGTGAGATCGGTGGCTTAGAAGGCTGATTCTCCGGTCCTGCAGTGACGATAGGTTGCTGTTTCCCACTGCGTGACCAATGAGCATTGGCCTGCTTGGGCGCGACACGGATTCGTGCAGGCCGGCCTGATTTCGCAGCGAGTGCCCCATCCTCCCTACTGGCATTCACTGTTTCCGTAGCTGCCGGAATAGCGGGCACAGCACGCCTCCGACCTTGATGATGCTTGCATGCTGGACCTGTATCCACATTTGCACTTGCCACCGTGATTGAGGGTGGGGCAATATCCGCAGAGTCGACAGCGCTGTTCAGCTCCTGATGGGATGGCAGAGATGAACGACGTGCAGATGATACAAGGAGTGGAGGGATAGTGGCTGATGTGACTGCAGGTGTTGCTGAACGAGATGAAGAGCGGGTGGCCGGAAATGAGTGAGAAAGGGACTCGGCTGGAGATACTGACAAAGCAGCTTCAGTTGGAGACGACGAGGACTGGGCTGCGAATGAAGGGGAGGAGCTTGTGCCCGATGATAATACTTCAGGGTGAGCGGCAGGTGTTGCTGAACGAGATGAAGAGCGGGTGGCCGGAAATGAGTGAGAAAGGGACTCGGCTGGAGATACCGACGAAGCGGCTTCAGTTGGAGACGATGAGAACTGGGCTGCGAATGAAGGGGAAGAGCTCGCACCCAATGATACTACTTCAGGGTGAGCGACATCCGATGTTGCACTGTAACCGCCACTTGGACCGGACAGTGCATATGCGAGTTCCTGGGATCCCAAGCCTGTCATTTGACTGACAGAACCCATTCGATCCAGCGCCGTGCCAAGCATGGCACTGTCGAGAGACATGGGCTGAAGGTTCAGCTCCAACTCGAATGCCGGCTCTGGGGGATCAAACTGCCATACTCCTGGGTTTGGCACCCATGCCAGCGCAGTATTCGCAGATGCAGAGAGCTGATCTCAGGAAGACGATGGGACGGAGGAAGCATGAGCAGGGGACGATTGCACGGAGGGCTGAGAAGCTGATAAGGACAGGTGAGTATAGCTGACGGTCGTGAGAGTACGCGTAGCCTCGGATGATGTAGATAGTTCCGCTGTAACGCCAGATTCTGTCATAGCGACAGGTGTGTGAGCTACATTCTCTGTGGTGCCTGACAAGCTTGATGCCTCCACACGAGGGATACGGTCCTCAGTGTCGGAATTATCTTCTATCTGGTATCGGATGTCATCGAGAGTAATTGGCGTCACCTCTCAGGATGTCTTTGATGAGCCTGGAGTGAGCGATGTCGCGAGTGCTCGCTTCTGACGGACAGCCATAGCTGATACATTGGTTAGTTGAGGCCGAACATCAGAGCGCATACAAGACTCACGAAATGCCATGGTAAGGAACCATCCGAACGGCTCCATGAAATGGGCTTCAAATTCTGGTATAGTATCACCGAATTTGACGTCGTTGGAACCTTCCGCCGAGTGAAATCTGACACTCCATCAGCAAAGCTTTCGAGAATGAAAACAAAGGTAGACTTACACCATTGACCGCAGATTCCCGCCATCTTCTGGGCTAGGTCCTCCTCCAAAAACCGAAAATCGCCAACCAGTGGCCTTCGCCATCGCACCCAAGAACTGATCGAACACGGCTGGCATGTTGTACAACATCCTGTATATTTACATGAGGTGTGGAGCTTAGGGAGTGTCTGTAATAGCACATACCTCTGATATTCAGCTGGAGAGAACTCTCCATGGGCATGCACCTCCTCAGTCTGTGCTTTCTCAGCCTCGTGCTGAGCCTTCATCTGCTTCACCTCTGCCGCAATATCAGCGTGGACTTCCAGTGTCTCCGCTTCATACCGCTTCTGTGTGAGATGCCTGATGACCGTCACGGCTTTGATCTCCGCATCCACGTCCGCCTTGACCTTCTCCTTGTAATATAGGTGTGAGTATACTTCAACGGCCTGTGAAAGACGCTTGACATGGTCGGCATCCTTCGGAATGAAGTCCTTGAGGGCAGCCATCACAGACTTGTCGGCAGAGCGCCCTTTGGGCTTGCGGTTATTGTACCAGTTGTTTAGTTGCTGTATCCACGTCAGATTCGTTCCAGCTATGCATAAAACATAACGCACCCTTTGTCACAGAGAGATGGCCTCCATTAGCTCCGCCTCCTGCTCCGGTGTCAGCTGAGCCGTCAGTTCAATATCCGGAAACAGACGGGTGCGCTCCGGATACCGAGCATCCCATTCAGTGTATAATGTTCTGAAGAAGGACTGCACCTTCTTGCGTTTCTGATGGTCAAGAAAGTGTGGCAGTCGCTCTGTCAGCCAGTCCAGTTCTTCATTGTTGGCCCATGTCGGTGGAGCCATCAAGAAGCAGACATCAAGAGATAAATCGACAAAGATGAGGAATGGGGGAAGGACGTACCGATACGCATGTGTGTGGTGAGGTTGTGTACATGCAAGGTTAATTGACAGTTGCGAGCATGCATTTGATGCACGACTGGGAGATAAAATGCTGAATCTAAAGGTAAAGTGACATACCTGAGAGTCACTCAAGTGTTTGACGGAGCGCCAGGGAGCACCCTAGTTGACTGACATAATCGTCCACGTGCACTCGCGCTTTGACATGTCCCCAGAATTTCTTACTCTGCTAACCGAGCGCACCCGTCTTAGGAGTTATTTAATGGTGTTCGACTTGTCAATCTCAACAGTTCCGCACTCACCTCTGTCATCTGTCATCTGTCATCTGTCTTACCTTCTGCCTCCATTTATCGTCATGTTTGTCCCACCGCAATCATCTCCGGAAATCCCGGGCTGTTCGCTGGCTTTCGGAGACGCGTACGATTGGACGTCGATAAGAGTTGCTCTTGAAGCGACCCTTGCTTGGGTTATTGCCTATGAATCTGGTACGTATCTTGACCTCTCAACACTTAGCTATACTAACCTGTCAACAGGCAACTTCTGCCAATGCAGACAGCCCAGGCGCGGTGAGCTGAAGTCCCATTGCTGAGTATGCAGGATCACTGACCTGCTGATAGGCAAGGGGGAGTTGGTCACCGAGCTCATGATGGCGCCCGGGAACAGCAGGGTAAACGAGTCTGTTGATGATGATGGCGAGTTTGATGTCGTGGACTCTGAGGATGAGGGGGTTGATGTAGTCACTGCTGCTCCTGCCGTCTTCACTCTTCCCACTGTCACCGCTGCACCCACCGTCGTCCCTCCTCCCACTGTCACTGCTCCTCCTGCTGTCATCCCTCCTTCCACTGTCGCCACACCGGCGACTGCTGCACCCTTGAATGCTGTCATGGCGGCTGGTCCCGCCGCTGTCGTTCCCACGGTTGTTCCTCCTGCTGGTCCCGCTGCTCTGGCAGTCGTTGCTCCTGCAATTGCTCCTCTTGCCGGTCCGGCCGGTCCTGCCGTTGCTATCCCTGCTGGCTTAGGTGGCCCAGCAGTTCCTGGAGGTGGTGTGGGAGTAGTGCCGATCGTCGCCGCTGTCATTGGTGCGGGAGACTTTGAGATACCTCCTGGCTTTGCCGCTGCACCAGGAATCGAGCTTCCGCAGCCTGCCCACCCTAACGACACTGGTCCATTCTATTGCATTACCCGTGGACGTATAGTGGGAGTGTACACTGACTGGTAAGTTTGATTGACATTTCGGGTGCAGACTATCTCATGCCGGATTCAGGAGCCTTGTGGCTGCATACGTTCATGGCATCTCCGGTGCCTTCTGCAAGAGGCACGGGTCGTACGCTGCCGCCATCAATGCATTCAATGCTGTGCTTGCCCAAAACACCGTGCAGGTGCTCTGAGTGATGCTGTGAACATTGCACAGGCATGTGGTGGAGTATGCCGTCAATGTTGTTTTTGGATATCTCTCATGCATCGGACGTAATTTCTTGGCTGCACCAACGCGCGTATATAGACTTCGCGTAGTACTGCCGCTGTATCTACGCCTCTCCATTATCGTCCCCCTTCTCCAGTATCACTTATGGTCAAATATGATGTGATCTGTTTGTGAAACATGCATGTGAGATAAGAAATAGTTCAAATATTACGAATGTTTGCTGCTGGTGCATTGCATTTCACCTCTTCAATGGGCCACCGTGCTAAGTATTTCATGCACGATGCTAAAAAGTGTGCCATTCAAAACCAAAAATGAGCATATGATCACTCAGCTAAGTAGGTAATCATATTGTTATATTGCACTCAGCTCACACGACGCATAGGGGCCGCAACATGAGGAGCGAACAAAATCGACGACAATACATTGCGCATGAGGAATACTACCCGACGCCATTCACGAAACCACTCCCCAACGTGCTGTGTATCTTCATGGAATATGCGCGCCAAGACTTTCCGCTATGTTTTCGATCAGTTGTCGCGGAAAGTCCGAATCTCGGGCTGTGGACACACCCGTACACCTTCAAGGCACCCAACAATACGTGGTCCTTGAGAGTCCTGCACGGCGTGGTGAAGCAGATCCACACATTTCAGTGGAATGAGTTGGTGAGGCAGGGACAGGAGCAGTACTATGAGAGCTGGAGGGATGACACCAGATGGGATGCCAGTGCTGCAGGTGCACGAGAAGAGCTCTGCATGCGCATGGCAGCATGGCGAAGTGCAAGTGAAAATGTCCGAGGGAACGTATTGGGGGATATATACTTGGAGTGGGGAGCGAAGATAATCTGCTGCCTAAGCAAGGAGTTAGATGTCAGGTGTAAAGGAGTTTCTGCATACGATGAGGAACACCACGATGGAAAATTGCCATTCCAGCGTATGAACATGCGGTAGACTATGTACATTCCAAATACATCCCAATAAGTCTGTACTCACCGATAATAACAGAACAATGCGCGGGGTAGCAAAGGCGCCTGCTACGCCACTGCAACGCCGAATTGAGTCGTGAGTACTTATTATCATTGCTGTTATGCAGTATAAGGCGACTGGTTGTGGGGTTTTAAGTACAATGGACCGCTACCTACAAGCTTACTCACCGGAACTTTCATCGATAATCTGCGGAGATTTGAAGTGCTTGTGAAACAAAGCTTCGGACGAGATTTCAGTAGGATTGTTATCCGCTTGCTCATTGGCTGGGAGCACGTGAGGAAAACAGCACATGACCCAGTGGAGTTCAAACCTTGCCTCAGGTACTATATCAACGTGTCCTCCCTCGTTTCAACTCTTTCTTCACGACCACCTTGACCGGGGTCGCTGTGGCTCAGTACCCATTGTCGGGGCTGCCTGGATCCGCGATATGTAGACCGACACTCCCTTGGGGGCCCGCTTGGCCGCTGAACTGAGGGCTGCTTAGGCACTCTTTCCCCTTTGGAGGTATCTTGTGACTGCACCGCTCGCGATTGAAGGGTGGGTACAACCTGGCTGGGGAAGTGCTGTGGACATTGTCTTCTTTTTTTCTTCTCATTCGGTTGTCTTCTTTTCTTGTCGTTTGGTTGTCTTGTCATCGCGAGTGAGTTCTCTTTTTTATTGCTGCCATGGCTGACGAACTTCGTGCTGTCAGGGTAGCATTAGGTTCCCCAGTTCTCATTGGTGTGGGTCATGGGTGTTCGGCGTTGGGGGTGCTAGGGTCCGTGGGCATCTCGGGTGAGTAGTCGTCGTCCTCAGTAATGTGGTGGCTGGTTGTGCTAACATGTTTGTTCTAGCACAGGGAGATTGTTGATGCGTGGTCTGTCAGGTATGTTTGTTCGCTTGTCTAGTAAGTCTCCTCATATGTTTGTACGTTGCATATGTCACTGACAACTTTCTCTCCGTAGAGTTTATTTTCCGTTGTAGGCAATTTGGGTAGGCTGCCGCTGTCCTGCATAATGCGATGGTGGCTGGTTATGCTAACATGTTTGTTTAGCGCGGGTCTCGCTGTTGATGTTGTCTCAGGATTGTCGATGCGTGGTCTGTCAGGTATGTTTGTTTGCTTGTCTAGTAAGTCACCTCATATATGTTTGTACGTTGCATATGTTACTGATGACTTTCTCCGTAGAGTTTATTTTCCGTTGTAGGCGATTTGGGTAGGCTGCCGCTGTTCTGCATAGCGCGATGGCGGCAGTTGTGGATGCTAACTTGTTTGTTCTAGTGCAGGTCCGTCATACGCAGTGCACGGGGACTGGTGATGCATTGACTAAGGTGAAGTTGATTCGTTCGTCGATGTCATGTTTATGTTACTGATAGTTTCCTTCCGGGATTTAATCTTATAGGTCACCATGTGCTGTGAACAGTGGTAGTGGCTCCACTGTTGTAGTGGAGTAGGTAGATCATAGAGCTTACTGAGATCTCATGTAGATGCGCGAGAGGTCAATGTGCTCCTATCACGGTCGTGGTTCTATTGCCGTCGCTGTGTCGATGCCGCTGCTGTTGTGTAGATACAGCCGTCATGTCGATGTCGTGATGATGGTGATACTCTCATCGTCGCCTAGTTGACACCGTTGTATGGGTGCGAGGATAGGCCGATGATGCACGCGCGATGGACACCTGCACTGTCATCGGCCGAGTTGCGAATGACTGATGGGGTCGACGTCCCGTCATGACCGGCGCAAGCTTCGACACCACCGTCGAATGTGAGAACATCGACTTCGGTGGTGCTGTCACCACCAGTGTTGAGGGTGTTATGTATGTTGTGCGCATGCATAGCTAACTGGTGGAGGTGCTGTGTTGTCGACTACGTCGTGCAGTGGGTATCACGGTGTTGTCGTCGCTGTTACATTTATGTCAACTAGGGTGGTACTGTGGGGGTTACATTGCGGTATATGACGAGGTATCCATTGCTGTGTTTGAGAGAGTCGAGCATGTGGGCATCCTGTATTCATAGGTGTTTGGTAGTAGGTAGTTGGCGAGAATATATTATTATAGCATGAATTAAATTGGGTCCGACCTCTGCTTACGTACGGTATGGATGTTGTGCTAACTGTGTTCGCGTGAAACACGATATGCTTACTACCAAAGCCTATTGGCGTACACTCTTCGATAGCTGCATTCTCGTGAGTTCCTGTTTGCTTCAGTCGCTCAGTCGTCTATGCATGGTGATGAAGGCGATGAACCCCCACAAGGTGAGTTATTGAACTTGCCTCATACGACGTGAAGCATACATACCTGCAAGAATGCAGCGAATGAAATAGGAGGGTGTACTCCACCACCAGAGCATGATATATCATGCCCCTGGATGCTCGTGTGACTTTGAAATTTGCTCCGCATATTCACTTGAATTCATTTCAGGACCTATACTCATTCAGTTCTGTGGCTAGCCGCTCTTTGCATTCCATGCAGTCACTCAGAAAAGGCACTAAGTAAGTGGTGCCAGAGTTATTTTTTGACACCTGCATGCTAATCTCTGCAACGGTGGTGAAAATTTTCACTGACCCTATTTTCGTTGTCCGTCTTTATGTTTGCTAGCCTCGCTGACAAAATGAATCCTTGGAACAAGCTGAAGTCTTACTGCTGTGCCGTGGTCTATATCATGACGAGGAAGAAAAGAACGCCCAATGTTAAGCAATTCACCATCTTAGAAGAAACCACTGATGGCACCAACTACAACCACTACATCGTTCCACGGACTCGCAACATCGTGCGGCATATGGAATACGTATCTGTAGGCAACAAAGTATCTGCACGGACGTCCTTCTATACTGCTTCCACCACCGATGCGGGCGATAAAGATGCGCCATCGTTTGATCTGTCTGAACTCTGCAGGCCAACTTCTGATATCCCTGATAATGATGAAGACGTAGATCTCTTCGACCTGGACCCCCGGTATTTAGAGGATGTAGAGAAACTGTGTGGACATAAGCCTCGCCGCCGCAGTGCAGGGGTGAGCTTCCGTGAATTTTCAAGTGTAGCTATCTAATATCTTTGCCCAGGATCATCCGCTCCAGGAATGGGTTCCTGAAATTGACAACTATCTCGCCGAGATGCTGCGGCTGGAGGGGCGTTATGGTTTCGACACCGGGTGCTGCCAGTTCTGCAAGGAGGGCCCGGCAATGGTTCATTGCGAGGACTGTTTCGACCTCGCTATTTACTGCCGAACATGCGCCGTTAATTTTCACAGGTGCACTCCTTTCCATCGCGTGCAGGTCAGTCGGGTTTTATTACTCTTATTCGAAGGTACAACTGAGTTTCTTTTTTTGCAAACCTGTTTCAGAGATGGTGTGGCTCTCATTTTCGGCGCGATTCATTGAAAAATCTTAGACTGCGCATCCAGTTGGGTCACCCAGTTGGGCATATGTGTCGTCTTCCTGTGCGAGCTACAGGTGATGACTTCATAGTCTTGTGTGTGAACGGTATCCACGAAGTTGGACTGGATTTTTGTGGGTGCGAGATAGCCGAAATTCATGTGACGCAACTGCTTCATGCGCGACTCCTCCCAGCCACATCAACGAACCCCAAGACAGCTGCTACTTTCCAGCTTTGCCGATATACACACCTCCTGATGACTCAATCCAAGACCTCTGGCTATGAATTCTACCAGAGCCTTGCCCGGCTAACCGATAACACCGGTGTGCAGACGCCTAAGGTATGTGTTATCTCGACCTTCTGCTTTATCCATTGCTGATCCAATGTAGGATCGTTATCCTGCCTTCATGCGCATTATGCATATGTGGAGGCATCTCAAAATGCTGAAATGAGCAGGACGAGGACATGATCCTGACGGTGTCAAGGCGACGACACCTGGGTCATGCGCAGTTCTTTGCCCAGCCTGTCTGCACCCTGGAAAAAATTTGCCGCCAGATTGGGAGGATGCCCCAGATGATCAAAAGTAAGTTCATGATTAGTTGTTTCGATTGGTAACTTACACGCAGTGATAGGTGGTTATATCGCCTGTTTGTTGGACTCAATGCGAACTTCCGCCTCAAGCGCAAGAAGGTATCTTCGGATAGTGTCGACCCTGGGCTAAATCATGGATATCGCCTACTTTGTGGAGGAAAGTGCATACAAGGAATACCTCGGCATGTACGATTCCCTCATGACAGAAGAACAGAGTACTTGCAACAGTCATGATGCTGTCAAGCTGGCGAACATGAGGGGCTCCATCGCAGGAACAGCTGCCAGCAGAGTTGGTGCTGCGACGTGTACGCGGCACGATATGAGGCTACCATGCAGTGTTGGTGACCTCCAAAAGGGAGAACGGTAGGCTGATCCTCGACATCATTCGTGTTCCAGTGCTCATTGCTTGCGACACAGGTATGTCAACATGGATTACATTTTCTTCTCGGCCCTGGCGAACAGTGCCCCCAAGAACGTCGTTGTCTCCTACGATATTGCTTGTCAGTGGCATAGAAACCTGTGGAAATGGTACCACATTTACGAAGACTGTCCATTCAAGAAGGACGATCAAGATTTTGTCTTCCTGATCCCAAAATTCCACATCAATGCTCATCAAGATTCGTGCCAGACGAGCTTTTCCTTCCATAATACTCCGCACGTTGGCGAGACGGATGACGAGGGTGTCGAGCGGCCCTGGTCGGACTCAAACTTATATTCCTTGAGCACGAAGGAGATGGGCCCTGGTTCGCGGCACAACTTTCTTGACGACACATTTGCAGACTACAATTGGCGGAAAATATGTGGCATGCGTGAGTACTACGTCGAAGCTCACGCCGACATCTTTGGGCTAATAATACCAAAGCTGCTCTGTTCTTAACATGAATCAAAGCTGCACTGCCGGAGCGCAATGAACAAGTCTTCACCTTTGCAGAACTGAACAGTGCGATCACGCCAAAGGATCGTGGTGAATGGACAACTACCATCGAAGCTTGGGAGAAGAACCCATCTCAAACCAATCCGTTTGTCGTTACGTGTCCCGGTAAGTGCTTTTATTATGGTGCAGGACACCCTTTTTGATGCTCCATGTGTTCAGCTGTGACTCAAGCAGCTGTACGGCTGCAGTTGGCCAACGAAGAGGCTGCAGAGTTGGAGAATGGCGAGTGCAGTGGGATAGTGTATGAGCTCCCCTCTCTGAGCATGATGATCATGGTCGGAATGGAGCTCCAGGAGCAACAGTAAGTGTTAGCCTGACTACTGTGGACGTATTCTCATAGTTCTCTCTTCAGATATCGCCTTCGATGAGATGTCGCCGGCCTTGGAACCCATAGTACAGATCTGCAACGTGCCAAGATTGTCGAGCTGCGAAACGCACTTCGGCGCAAGATAGAGGGCTGGGCAGACACTCGGCAGCTATACATCCCTGTTTCCGTGGTGTTGCATGCACGAGCTGCTGCTGCTGCTACCAAGGAGGTTCTTGCGCAAGATATGGCCCTTTATTTACCTTCAGAGTTACCCTCTAATATCCCCTGCGACTCTCGCCTTCGAAAATATGAATTGCACCTAAGGACTGCTCAGGCACATGATGCTTTGGAGGAGCTTCAGTGACATCTACGGCTGCGTACTCATATGTACAAGTTCAAGGACCGATTTGTCCATGGACAGCGGTACCTCACCCGCGCCAGGTCATGCATTGCACAAGTCCAGAACAAGGTAAATGCAGATGCTGCCCGCTATCGCCGTGCCTTCGACGCCATCAATTCACTGTCGACCCTGCTCGATGAGCCTTCAACACCTCACAACTTGGTCCCGCTGCAGGATGAAGACGTGCGAGGGATGACAGAGGGGGAGTCGAGCGAGACCCACAGCCGGAAGAAAATGTCTTGGATTTGGCGGAGACATGGCGTGGGGAACAGCAGTGCGACGGACTTGGCCGTCAGTGAAGGTTTGTCAAATTTCACTTACTAGTACTTGACAACCGAAATGCTAACACAATTCCTCAGAGCTCCGAATTGAGTGATGCAAGGCTCGTGCTCGGGCCCATCGCTGGATCGAAGAGTGCTGCCAGCTGCCAGAGGAGATGCGCAGGGTTATCACCTTCCACAGTTGGATGGCGCGGTGGTGGCTGGACCGAGTCGATGCCATCCCTGCGCGATCGGAAGAACATTTGGAAGGTGCCAACGCATACGCATTCCATCAGGCGGAAATCCGGGAGTCAATGCAGAACTACTGCCAGTATATATGGCGCGGCGTGCCTGCCTGGCTGGAAGCAGGAGGCGATGTCAGCACTGGTGTCGATTTCAGTGAGGCTGCCCCTCTACAATATTCTCCTGCAATTGATTTTGCAGCTGTGCTTGGACCTGCCGCTGAGATGCCTTCTGTTTCCGTGCCTATGCCGTCAGTAGGCTAATATCGCACTGCGCCGCGTATACCTGCATGTTCCTTTCGTGTGGCTAGATATATGTCTTTTGTTTTGTCCTTTGTAGACAGATTGTTGCGCTCGTATGTCAATGTTGTGAGGGGAGTATTTTTTAAATAATCGTCAATTTTTCACATCAAAAGTAACATTCTCTATAAGGAAAACAGTAAGGGGCGGCACAGGGCGGCACAGGAGGCGGGATTTTCGTGCGCTTGAAAGGGATCATGGAGATCTACAAAATCCAAGACAATCTACTGATCTACCGGAATGACGGGCGAAGCCAGTGCCATCGGCTACCTACAAGGGAGATCCAGGAGGAAGCCAATGGGTACGGAGTACAGAAAGTGAGCCCGGTGTGGGAATGGCTGGTAAGGACTGCAGAATGATGTATCAGAGCCTATGGTAGACACCACTGTCCATGTATCAGTCCGTGGTTCTAACCTTCATACTTGATATATCAGTATGCCAGGGACAGGTGCCTGCATTTACCAGACCCATATCCGATTTTCTGTGGAAGTGTATGCATAATGCACTCCGCTGCGGATCCTTCTGGGATAAGATACCCAACTATGAACATAGATCCCTCTGCCCAGTATGTGACACTCTAGAATCCATCGAGCATATCCTCTGTGAATGCTCTGCACCAGGCCAACAAATAATCTGGAATCTCACCCGACAACTCTGGGGAAAAAAGGACCCCCGATGGTACCCCCCTTCTCTCGGAACCATCCTGGGATGCGGCACTGTTGCCTTCCGCTCAGAACAAGGCAAAATACGACTTGGCGCCACCCGCCTTTACCGCATTCTTATGTCGGAGGCCACTTACCTCATCTGGAAACTACGATGTGAACGAAGGATATCTAAGGAGGACGACAAATCACAATGGCACGCACCGGCTGAGATAACCAACAGATGGAAGTATGTCATAAACAAGCGACTACAACTAGACTGCGCCATGACACGTACCCGTTTCGGCGCCAAAGCCCTCCCCAAGCAACTCGTTCTGCAGACTTGGAGCGGCACCTTGGACCATGAAGATCAATTACCTGATGATTGGACTCTGCACAATAAGGTTTTAGTGGGTATGGATCCTCCCCGTGTCCCCAGTACTTGAGGAGGATCGAGCCTCACACTGCCCCTCGCGGCGTGCGTAAATGCATTTTCCTCCTTGGAGGCCGGGTGAAACTCCCGACTAAGCAGGCGGATGGGGACAGATCAATTATCTGGCTGCCTATCCTGCCGTTACGCTCCTCCAAAAAAAAAAAAAAAAAAAAAGACCACAGTCTCCCGAGTAGATGCACACGTGTCAACCGAGATCAAACCTCATAATACCTTGAAATATATCTACGGTAGCGAGGAGTAAGGCTCGAGCAGTCTGGACGTCCAAGCTAATGAAGTATGCCGCAGCATCGTGTCTTGGCCGGTCTCATCTCTGTTCAACGTCAACAGCACGATGCCGCAGGCTATCCACGCGCTCGAGGCGTAAGGAGAACGGACTTACTACCCGCTGTACTCCGCGTTCACGCATTCACGCACGAGTAGAATTACTGTCATGCAAGTACCCCTCGACAATCGTGGCCAGTATGAGCGAGCAGAACTAGAGATATTATCGGAAAGGCCCCCAGGGGGTGCCCGGACTGAGCTTAGCATCGGGATCAGACGCTTATGACCACATCCTCCCTGTAGCTCTGGATAAGGGTGCCGAGTTTGTTCTTCACCATTTCTCTGACCACCTTATACCTCTCCTGGTTCAACACCATGGTCTGTGTGGCTTCATGATTGCGGTCTGTCAGGTCAACGATCGTGCACAAAAAAATTTGCAACACACCGTACATGAACTTCACGATACGGTGTCCAAATTCGAAGAACAGTACATTGCCAGCGGCGCCCTTAGCCGTGTAGTCGAAGCATCCAAGATGCAGCTGGACGTTATCGCCGTCAGATGCTCTGGAAAGATATTTGACGTGAACAATGGCTCGACCGTCTGAGATGCGAATGCGGTACGCACGAGGCCACGCCAATCTGAAAGTTAGCAGTCTGCCCATCCCAGGCATTTTCATGGAAGATGGCATTAGCGCTGGCATTCACCGGGAGGTTCATGGCATCGATGGTGGCCTGCACAACTTCGCGGGCTTTAGGGGAGAGATCAGGATCCAACATGGCAATCACGACCTTGTCGACCGAGCCATAAGTGTTGAGATTCACGACGTCGGAGAACCTGCACGCAAGGTGTCAAAGCCAGAAGACAGTAGAGTATCGTGCACGTACGAGAAACTCGAGACAACCCATCCGACGTTTTCGAGGACCTCCTTGTATTTCTTGTACCATTCGACCTTGTCATCTCCCCCAGCCTGATTGGCGGCTAGTTGCGCAAGGAGCGTGGAGTTCAAGACATCCTCCTGTCACAGAAAACATGAGAACGAATAATCACGTCCACCTGCGAGAGCTCACCCGATCGACAGGGTCTAAATCTCCAACGGACGACTGCAACAACCTACCATTGACGGCAGCGAGCTCCTGTTCAGGGGAGGTCTTGAAAGGAGGAACATCTAGGCTCTCGATGAAGCGAAGGCGCGCTTCCATAGAAAGAGACATGACCACGAGACGTGAACGAAGACGTTGGCAATGGTTGATGGGGGAATGAAGAGGGCGCACCATTCGGGAGGATTCTTTTATATGTGTAGTCGTGACTGAGAAGCGAAAAATCCCGTGTGCGAAATTCCTCAACATGAGGGAAAAATTAATGAAGTCGGCCTATACCATGGCTATGGTAAATTCGACCTGAACCGTACTGTGGTGGACAAAATGTGCGAAGGATTAAGATTGCCTCAAATGCGTCCTCCATGGTGGAATGGAAGTAGGCGTTTCCGAAACGAACTTCGTATCACAAGGCCACCTGCTCCAGATCGCACAGAGTGGGTGAACGGATTGAAGACGGCGCAAGATGAATTAGCAACAGATACCGGGGAATACTTACCTAGGCCGGAATAATATATGAATGGGCACATAGACAAATGGGCAGCTTGTAGTGGACGAGATCAGAGTGAAGGATTGAAATTGCCTCCCTCCATGGTGGAATAGAAGTAGCCGTTTCCGAAACGAAAAGTTCGTATCACAAGGCCAGATCACGCAGAGTGGGTGAACGGATCGAAGACGGTTCAATATGACAAGTAGCAACAGATATATACCGCGGAATACCTAGGTTGGAATAATATATGTCACCGGGCACATAGCCAAATGGGCAGCTTCTGTCTGTTCATGGCTACCTTCCTATTCATAAATCAAAAAGGTCTCCGCATGTAATTGATCATGAGGTATGGACGAACTCACGATTGGCGGTTCACTCCTATCCCTCCTAGCCTAGAGGGGGGCCCCTTCTCCCGGAACTGCTGAAGAGAAAAATGTGAAGACGGAAATACCATCTAAGAAATGTCGAGGCGCCATGGCATCGAGTAGCGCGCGTCGCCGACATTCGGCAATGGCCCGCCGCCGAATGTGCCATCATCTCATTGGCTCTGTCACTGCCTGTGCATCAAGATGCACACATGTCTCTCGAGTTCGAACCTCATAATACGTTGACGGTAGCGAGGGGTAAGCCTGGACGTCCAAGCCAATAAAGTACGCCATAGTATCTCACTGTCGTGTCAATATTGGCCATGGTGCGCTCAGCTCTGACTGACCCTGGCTGCAGTCGTGATCGTAGCAGTATACACTGCAGACAGATTGTCTCCTCTCTGTTCAACGTCGACAGCGCGACTTCGCAGGTTGTCCGCGCACTCAAACCAGAGGCGGAAGGGGAACGAACTTGATCACTACCCGCTCTACGCGTTCACGCACGAGTAGAGTTACTGTCACGTAAGTAACCCTCGATAATCGTTGCCAGTATACGTACACAAGCAGAGCTGAAGATATTATCGGTGAGGTACACAGCAGGCGCCCGGACTGAGCTTAGCATCGGGATCAGACTCTTATGACCACATCTTTCCTGTAGCTCTGGATAGCCGTGCCGAGTTTCTCCTTCACCATGTCTCTGACTATCTTGTATATGTCCTCGTTCAATACCATGGTCTGTGTGGCTTCATGATCACAATCTGTCAGATCAACGATCGTGCACGAAAGACTTGGCAACATACCGTACGTGAACTTCACGGCACGGTGGCCAAACTTAAAGAAGAGTACGTTGCCAGCGGCGCCCTTAGCCGTGTAGTCAAAGCATCCAATATGCAGCTGGACGTTATCGCCGTCAGCTGCTCTGGAGAGAAGATATTTGACGTGAACAATGGCTCGATCGTCTGAGATGCGAACGCGGTACGCACGAAGCCACGCTAACCTGGAAGTCAGCAGTCTGCCCATCCCAGGCATTTTCCTGGAAGATGACATTAGCGCTGGCATTCACCCGACGTCTCATGGCGTCAATGGTGGCCTTCACGACTGTGCCGGCTTCAGGGGAGAGATGAGGATCTAACATGGCAATCACGACCTTGTCGACTGAGCCATAAGTATTGACATTCTCGATTTCGGCGAACCTGCATGCAAGGAGTCAAGGCCGAACTCATCGCAGCAGAGCAGAGAGTATCGTGTTCGTACGAGAAACTCTCGACAACCCATCCGACGTTTTCGAGGACCTCCTTGAATTTCTTGTACCATTTCTCCTTGTCGTCTCCCCCAGCCTGGTTAGCAGCTAGTTGGGCAAGGAGGGTCGAGTTCAAGACGTCATCCTGTCACAATAGATGATGAGAACGAATAATCACGTCGACCTGCGAGAGCTCACTTTATGGACCGGGTCTAAATTTCCAACGGACGACTGCAATAAACTACCATTGACGGCAGCAAGCTTCCAGAGACCAAAAGTGTCGAAAGGAGGAATATCCACGCTCTCGATGAAGCGAAGACGCGCATCCATAGTAAGAGACATGACCACGAGACGTGAACGAAGACGTTGGTAATGCTTGATAGGGGAATGAAGAGGGCGCACCGCTCGGTGGTATTGTTTTATATGTGTAGCCGTGACTGAGAAGCGAAAGTCCCGCGGGCGAAATTCCTCAACATGGGGGAAGAATTAATGAAGTCGGCCTATACCATGGCTATGGTAAATTCGACCTGAGCCGTACTGTGGTGGACAAAATGTGTGAAGGATTGAGATTGCCTCAAATGCGTGTCCTCCATGGTGGAATGGAAGTAGGCGTTTCCGAAACGAACTTTGTATCACAAGGCCGCCCGCTCCAGGTCACGCAGAGTGGGTGAATGGATCGAAGACGGTGCAAGATGACAATTAGCAACAGATATATACCGCGGAATACCTAGCTTGGAATAATATATGTCACTGGGCACATAGCTAAACGGGCAGCTTCCGTCTGTTCATACCTACCTTCCTGTTCACTCCAGCCCAATACCGATCACGAGTTCGTAGCGACTGAGTACGCCACATTCCGTGATGGAGACTGACATCCGTGACTTACTTGACACGTCCTTGTAGACTCGGGAGGGCCACATTTCCAATAAGGGGGGAGTCCACTGCAAGTACAGAATTCACCGCCGGATTTGGCATTTAACCACGGAGGAAATAGAAGTATTGCAAAGTTGAGACGAATTCGCGGGTGGAGTTCGGGTAAGAGCAAGACCACGTTGAGAAATCTGAGAAACACGAGGCAGGGAACCTCGGAAGGTCTGAAAGGAAAGGCTATGATCTCATTCCCCCGTGTCGTGTCGATGCAGAACAAATTTGGAATCATCTGTGATTTGAATTGGTGGAGTGGCTAATGGCAAGCTTAAGTAGGCTCATAGATACAGCCTCTAGTTACCCTGAGGAAGACAGTCGTTCCTTTGTAATAGAAATGGCAAGTAACCAACCATAGGGTACTTCAGACTCGGTCCAGCTGGTCTACGTTCAACGTTCAACGGGTCCATCTTGCCTTAATTTGGAATATTTACATTGAGCAGCACCGAGTTGTAGATTTGTCAAGCAATGTTTATCTTCCTTTCTGGCCCATACAACTCTACCGCGCTCGATACAACCCATAGGTCACCTTACACGCGCGGCGTCCAGGGTCACTGTGCCCACGTCCAACATCCTCACCATGTGCTGAGCACGCGCCACGTCGGCTTTGCTATGGTGTCCGACCGTCGAACGTGTTCATTTGTCCTTGCACACAGTGTCTTTTCTCAATGCAATTCTTGCTTTTACCCGGAACTCAATCCGCTTCGTGCAGGGCGGCTTAGTTTCATAGCATCATTCGGTGGCATGCCAGTGCCAAACCCGCCGATGAGCCTAAAGTGACAACATGGTTCGGACTTGCCTTGAGACGGACATGCCTGACACTGGTAGGATGTGGTCCTCCGAGTCGAGAAGGACGTGTCAACACATGTGAAGGACGCCTCCATTTCAAAATGGGGCATTCCAGGTCAGTATGAATTCCAGGTCAGTATCAGGATACGAGTGAATCGCCAATCGATTTGTCGGTGAGCTCGTATATACGCCGATTAGATGTGGAGACCATTTTGACTTCGTTGGGGAGGTGGCTATGAACAGACTGTTTCAGAACTGCTGATATTAATTAGTCTCTGTATTCAGTGATAAATTGTTCTCCAACTCGACCGTGATGTTCCGGTGAGGACTTGCCCTCTGTGACCGATTCTCATCTTGGATTGCCATCGACGATTGTCTTTCCCTCCAGGACGGGTAAGACCCCACAGGACCGTGATGTCTTATCTACAGAACCTTGTTTCGAAGACGCCCACTTCTGTTCCATCGAAGACACACCTCTTGTACGATCCATCGTCTGGTGCAACCCTGTTCAGGTAGATAGACCAGGTAGAGTTTATTGATTATTTCCTCACATCGAAGAATGCTCTCACACGGAACTTGCCCTTCGCGGTCATGGCTACAGGTATAAAACAATGCCAATGAGCGAAGTGCCTCCTTCATTCCCCCATCAACCATTGCCAACGTTTTCGTCCACATCTTGCTGTCATGTCTGATTCCATTGAAGCCCGCCTTCACTTCATCGAGAACTTGCATATCCCTGCCCTCCGTAAGGGTTCTAAGCGGGCTGCCAAAGGGTCTGGTGCTGTCAATGCCGGCTCGACCCAGTCATTTGTTGGAAATCTATCGGAGCTCAACAAGGTCGGTACTCTGAAACTGACGAAACTCACCTTCCTCACCATCTACTGTCACAGGAGGATGTCTTGAACTCCACACTGCTTGCCCAGCTTGCCGCTAACACGGCTAGCCCGGATGATAAGACCAAATGGTACAAGAAGTACAAAGAGGTCCTCGAAAATGTCGGATGGGTTGTCTCAGACTTCACGTATGCACGCATTTGCATTGCTTTCATGCAATTATCTCGTACCTGACGTCTTGGATGCAGGTTCAAAGAGCTTGACAATGCCAACTCTTACGGCTCTGTCGATCAAGCCATCCTTGCCATTCTGAAGGGTTACCTTGAGGGTAACGCGTTGGAGGTTTTCAAGGCCACGATTGACGCCATGAAAAATCCCGTCAACAGCGGCGCTAACAACTTGTTCCAAACGAATGCCTGGAAGGGGCAAAGTGCTGATTTCCTGGTTGGTGTGGCCACGTACGTAGAGTGTTTCGGCTCAGCCAACCGTCGCTCGTGTACACTCATCAAATTTATATCGCAGTGAATCTAACAATGATGTCCAGTTCCGTATCGGAACCTACACTTATCAGGCCCAGGGATCCCGCGGCAACGTCCTCTTCTTCAAATTTGGCCACGAAAGTGTCAAGTTCATGTACTGTATGTTGTGTGGTGCCTCTTGCATGATCATTGACCTCATAGATGGTGAAGCCACACAGAACATGGTATTGAACGAGAAGATATACGCGAAGGTCAGGGACGCGGTGATCAATAAGCTGGGTGGCCACATCGAGAAGTACATCGACGACCTGGATATTGGATTATGATTCCGATACTCCGTCCGGAGTGCTCGGTGTCTTTGAATCTTCGCAACGCCTCACGCAGGGAGAAGTATCTTGGAATGAGCGCGTGTATTTTTTCGAAGAGGCGTCGTTGTACTGTTAGCTGCGAAATTGATGTATACGGTTGTTTCACGCATGACACCTTGCTTTTGGGTCAGTTGTGGGGTGAAAATGTGCTTGATGGTACAGTAAGCCAGTGAGGGAGACGCACCTCCCTTCTGTATCGTCGCAAGATTTCCCGCGATGAGTCCCTTAATCGACGAATAGCGTGGGTTCATTATTTCCAGCCTACTAGTATCGGCCTCATGTAGTCACCAACGGGTTACTAGTTACAGATTACGACAGCCTCGATTCAAACCAGTTGCACACAACAGGCTGAATGCACACTCGCCAAGCCGCACAGATTTGACCAAGCACCTCACGAGTCACAAAGCTGTTCCTTATCACCTTCACCGGTATCTTCACTCGCAATTCTGCGTGCTGAGATACCAATCTCAGAGAATGAAGGCGGGGATATCTTCCATCTCTGAGCTGCTGGACCTGACCAGCTGAATCGCCGATGATAGTATGACGACGGTCGAGTAGACATCAACTGCACACCCAAATCCACGCAGTGGGCGTAATGAAACTTCCCGGGGCTTTCGTAGACGCTGTCCGGGCGACATCCGGCATGTGTGTCCAGCGACGCGATCCAAGCATCGAAGTGATCTACATGCCACACTAAGCAGTTCAGAGTGGTTGAGACCGGCCCGTACTAGACATAGAAGTCGCGAAGCCCTCCTCAATTCAGCGCAGGTATCTCAATTAAGCAGATGTACCATCCGGTGTTCAATGCTCCTCAGGCATCAGTCAGACATCAGCAGTATTGTTATTTCTGGCAACTGATTGAACATACCAGCACCACATGGACAGTTTCGTTTTGTAGGGAGCGAAGTGCGGCGCCCTCATACAAGTCTTCTGAATTAGCCAAATCGCTGCCGGTGACAATACGATTTGCATGCGCAGCACGCAATCTACTGCGATCATACACGCGTATGCTACATCTCTGCAAGAAGGCAGAAGTGTGCGTGGTATTTCAATCCGAGGGTATGAGCTCGATCACGCACGCGACGAGGCTCTTCATGACCTCCGCCTTCTGCCTGCCGACGGCGAGCACCTCCTCATGCGACGCGACCTCTGATTCCGGGGTCTCGATACGCCTCCCCTCGAGTTGTATGACGGGTCAGAGCGCGACATGTACGCACACGGCGGCGGGACGCACCTCGGCACGTACCTCCTCCTTGATACTGCGATAGCGGTCCGGGATCACGACGGCGTTGGTGACAAGGCTGAGAACGAGCACCTCTACGCCCTCCTCGCGCACCGCGAGGACCTCAGGGACAGTGCTCATACCGACGACGACGGCGCCCGCAGCGCGCAGGAAGCGGCCCTCCGCACGCGTCTCGTACGTTGGCCCGGAGACCAACGAGTATGTGCCCTCCGCGAACACGCTCTCTGGGGGCGCAGTGAATGCGCAGCGCCGGGGAGTACGCGTTGGAGAGTGGGAGGAAACGAGGGTGGTCCAGTGAGACCAGGGGTCCGAAGAGTGCGTTAAGCGGGCGGGCCATGTTTGCGATCGCGAAATGATCATGAACGACAACGAATACCGACCGAGAGCATTAGTAAGTATTTGGGGAGGCAAAAGTGGTCCCGACGGAAATGTTATGGTTCAATGCTCCGGCTGCGTTAGTTACTGCAAAGTGTGCACTGACCGAGCAATTATAGTAGCGACTATCTGTTGAGAAAATCGGTATATGACGTCCATGTTCAGCAGCAGCTTGACCCAATATTAGCGATCCATATCGCCGGGATGCTCTGCAGGAACGCATCAACCTCGATTGCTCGATCATCGCCTCTTTGATCCTCTACTCAGATCTGCCTCAACAGGCTACCGCTGGGCACGAGATGTCGTAGCACCATCCGGTCTGTACTCCTGCTTCTTATGAGTCAGATACTGGCGGGCTGTAGCGTGCTACGCTATACGTACATCACGTCACTTGTGCTTCGAATTGCAGTATACCCTAGCTCGTTCATACTCGACGCGATGGATAGAAAGTAAGCTGATACTGAGGTAAGACGACGAGGAGGAAGATCCTCTGCAAGGGTGGTTTCGTACTAGGCTCCTCCCGCGTCCACACCACCGTGAGGTGCTAACGGTGTACCATTCGAGGGCTTTCGTACGCAGGGTTTTCTATCGCAAGTTTTGAGAGTGGAGCCTATACAACGTCAGCGTGATGTATTACGGAGCCAATGAAGGGGAGAAGTCGAGGAATCGGTACTGCCAGTGAGGCTGGCAGCAGACCCAACAGTCGAAGAACAAACAGTGCAGGAAGCAGGGAAAGTAAAGGCCCACCTGGTCGAAAGCACAACATTATGGCTGCAACTCTCCGTCGAGACCGACAAAAATCCGAACCACCAACGGTCAACGTTACACAGATTCGATGTGTGCTGCCCATCTGACCGTACCACTACATTTTATTTCACGTTGAACAGATAGAGAGGACCACGCCTCGAAATTCTCCGATTGTTTCAACCGCGTCCTCCCGCGCGGCCACCATCTGCGTGTAAGGATATGTCGTCAAAGGGAAACTCACCTCTCGCAAAGTCGGGACTGGAGGCGATGCACCGACACTCGCAATTGATATGAACCGCAGTCCTTCAGGCCGTAGTTGCTGTGGAAGAGACACGCAACGCTGAACGCAACCCTTGTCCAGCACACGCAAAGGCGAGACTAAATTCGGTGACTTTCATAAATCAATATTAGTTTCGCAAGCCATAAGACAGTGCACAATGGAAGATCAACTATGGATACAAATGAATGAGGTAACCCAAAAAAACCATCGCAGCCCCTTGAAGGCCTTCTGATAAGCGAGTAATATATGCTCATGCGAGCGACTGTGTCTTAGAAGGCAACCAGGCCTGCACGGAGGGCAGCCTCTGGCACTTGCGCCATACAACGAGCACCGTCTAATTCCAAGATTCATGAAGCAGACCAAGTAGCACAATAGGGCGTCAGCACTTACGGTAAGCCACTGCTTCACAACCCGCAGTTTTTCCTGTTTTCGTCCAGCGTCAGGTTCATCGTGTTGATAAACACGATCATCGAGCTCGAGTGTTGACACGTCATCGTTTGAAGTAGCGCCAAACACGTTCGAGGGCAACTGTGGAGGCAGACAGAAAAAAGTAACACTGTCAGTTACTGCGTACATGTAATATCGTCCATTCGTACCAGAGAGATCGGCGGCGGCGAGTCCAGTATCGTGTCCTCGGTGTCATCCCCATACTCGGCACCCTGAACAACATGTACGAACGTGTACCTGTTTTGAGGAAATCGTAAAGTCGTATACGACGCACCACGACACGTTCCAGTCGGTCATAGCGCCGCCCAGTTCTCGGGTATGGATGATACCTGAAACAACTTCGAGAGCTATACGGGGGAAGTCTAGGATAATGGTCCATGAAGACACAGAAAACGAGCGGGCAAGCGTAAAAATATCCAGAGTATCCAATGCTGTATCCAATTACCAGACTCGAGATGCCGCGATGCTCGATGGCGGGAGCAACGACACCAGAGGTGGACGGCAAATGCAGAGGAAAGGGCCAGGGCAGACGTCTTAGGATTAAAGGTGATAGTTTGAAAGAGAGAGCACAACCCTAGCGACGCTCATTAAATAGCTCGGCAAGGTCATGGGAGAAGTAGCCATTTCGTAAAAATGGCGGCTTTCGAAGCTGATTTGGGTTAGCGGGCATGCTGTTACAGCGACGCGACATTCCTTGACATAACCGCCGTGCTCTCATTTCTGACTCCGCGCCTGTGCATATACCTCCGTGCTCGACGATCGGCCTCCGCGATCATGTCGAACAGCTCTTGGAGTGGAATATGGGCGATAGAGACGACCATACAGCTAAATTTATTCGAGAGTGCATGGATTGACAGGTTCCCTGCCTCATGCAGGCAAGTGAAGACGGATTCCTAGAGACAACAGCTAACTTTCAGTGAATCTTTCTCGAGAGACTCTGTGCATCCCGATGACTCAGATTTATTTCTTCCGTCTGTTCACAAAGGCACATTCGTCGCGATACGAGGGGTTGCTCGGTATCGCGAATTTCCACGCTACAGTGGGTGCCGCATCACCGAAGCCTGTGCACAGCAGACCACAGCTAGCAATTTCGACCTAAACACAGCTGAATATCCTTCTCGCAAATAACCAAAGTGAGCTATCCCCCACGCTTGCCGCCTTTCGCAGTCTCACTGTCTCTGGCACTCATCGGTTCATTTCGCCTGCCGTGCACAATGCGTGACCCGACGTCACATCACGCATCACTCCTGCCCTTCGGCGTGGCGCGCAGGCGAGTCACTGTGTCGTCCTCTCATGATCAACACCTTCTGAATATGTGTGATGTGTGATGCTGCAGGCCATTCCCAAGACAGAATTGCAAGAATGATAAGACCATCAAGGGGAAAATGTACCAAACAAGCGATCCAGCCGACATGCTCGCCGCACAGCAAGGCATCAGGCAGACGAGTTCGCAATCCATACACGGAAGGAAAATGTTCCAAGGCCGCAATGCACAAGAACGTGACGGAATGTAAGGCAAGAACAACTGTGCAGACTCACGTATTTCCCCAAATTGTGTCCGACAAGCACAATCCCAACCATGTATACACGGCAAAGACGAACCTCAAAAGGCCATCGAACGGTCGTCTCACTAAATGGTCGCCCCCAGTGTTCGCTTGACGGCTTGTGATGCTCTAGGAATCTGGCGAAGCAAAGGAATTGTCGTCAACCGTGGAGCAAAACTCCAATCAGACCTCTAGCGAAAAGTCCAAGAGTCATAAATATGTCGGCAGCGCAAAGGCGAACAAATGCACAGATTTCTGCGAGAGCCACCAGAATGCAGGCAGAAATTTGCACCGCAGAATCGGGAGGGGAAGACCAGGCCTCGCTCAAAGTCAGTACCGCCAGAGTTGGTGTGGTTTGAATATCCGACGACACCAATCTAAGTATCATCCACATACAAAGACATGTTTGCTGAGAAAAGTCGTCGTTGCGGTTGTGGAAATGCCCGCCGTGGCCGCAGCCAAACAAGTCACCGGCAGCCGCCACTTGCTCAATTATTATCTCTTCCCGAGTCTCCCGACTCCTTTCGTTCGTGGACTCAGCTTTTTCCGTCTTTACGGATTGCTCTGATTTATTTGTTTCGTCACTTTTATTGCATACCTTCTGCAGCAGATGGAAAGCCGCGACCAGCTGCAGCCCCCATATGCCGTTTTCTCTTGTGAGCTCATATCATCTTGCACCTTCTGTGATAGGTCACCTGGTCGAGATATCACTCAAGGCCTTTGGAGGTATTGCTGCACAGTCAGGACACGCGCAAGATGAGGGAAATTTTCTCCGCTTGGGCATTCGATCCCCTGGAGTGGCTGATGACGGAGTTTGTTGTGGCTGCTAACGCAACTTAGGGCGGATTGACTTTCAGTGGATTACTTCAAGGTGAGCGTTATGGAACAAATTGCGTAGGCTGAGTTGGTTGCCAGCGCCCTATATTCTCTCATAAATCACCTTCCCCAAGTACCCTTTACTTCGCCTGCGTAAACACGTTGGTTGTGCGTTGATTCTCAAATTGTGCCCCCTTTGCTGCCCTTAGACTCGGTATACTCCCACTCGCACTATCAGAGGTACTCATACGCGAGCAGCGGTACATCTGGAGATGAAATGCACGCGACTCGTGGTCGGAGGTGTGGTTTGAGACTTGAACACAGCTGAGATTCTTCTTCGCGTGACAAGTCTGGGCTCCAGTGCTGTGCACTTGAAAAGCAGTCCCGCGTCAGACGGTAATATTGGCACTTTTTCAGCGTACTCTGAGCTTGCTAGGTACTTGAAATTGGCATCAAATACGCGTCTACCTGCTCATAATTGCATGAGGGACTGGTTCGTGCCCTTTAGGGCAATCATCCACAACACATGCGGAGATGCGGAGATGGCGGGCACAAAAAGTCGAGCTACGGCGTATGGTCTCACTCGACCCGTGCTAAGGCAGAGTCCCAGTCACCTGGTTGCTCGTGGTCTTCGAATCCTTGGCAGTTCAAGGTCCGTGGTAGTCTTCCCAGCGCGTCGTCAGATACTCGGGTGGTTTCGCAGGCGAGGCCTCTAGCACAGCGGACCAGGACTGCAGTGCCACGAATTCACAGCTCCCCAGATTGCGCAAGTGTATGTGGACTATAAGCATTGGACAGGACGTCGACGCTGAAGCAAGACACAGGTGCCTATACGGTCTTCGGGCAGGGTGAATAAAATTTTTTAACCATTTCACGAAGTACATGGTGTGGTTCACCTCGACGAAGTAGTACGCGGCTACTGGGTGCCGCGACGTTGTGGATCCGGTAGATATTCTGTGGAATGGCGGCTGAAGTAGAATACTGTCTACAATCTGCCTTCAGTGAGAGATTAGCTTTCCGCAGATAGTATGTATAGCAGGTACCGGATCAACGCAAGATTAGTTCTCGGTGAATTAAAAACTCACTGATCAAATTTTCACACCAAGTCTGGCCATGACCCTCACTGGCACTGGATATACAACGGGCGACATCTAATGGTCTTAATATGTATAGAACTAACTGATCGCTTGTGAAGCACAGAAACGGACTTCTAGTAAGGAGAAAACACACCCGTCCTAGCATTTCCATGACTGGAACCCCGTCTCCAGGACAGAGTAGACAAAGTGCGAGGGTGCCCTTGTGTCCCGCAACTGCATAGAAATTGATCGGTCATGGTGCATATCTCCATCGAAGGAGTCAATAGTATACCAGTGCTCTCCTCAAAACCCTCTAGCGAGTTATATGGAACTGATCACCACTCGCGGTTTGAGCAAGTGCATCCGAGTCGGGACTATTGACGTAAGAAAATAGGACGTGGATGAAAAGTAATCTACGTGAGAGTCTTTCGACATCTAAATATAAGCGAGAGCCCTAAACAACGCAATTAATGGTAAGACGCAAGAGGCGTCGTCACAGAAAACTTGCCATTTCCGGCGGATATCGCAAGTCACGTGAAGGTGTAAGTGGTGCTCAGCAGTACAGTGTACACCGACTGCCTTCACACACAACACGGCTGATTTCTGTACTCTTGCCGCAGTGCGCAATGGGCGGATTCTGAGATCTTCATATTATTTAGGCTCGACAATTGTATATGAGCAGAGCTGAAGATATCATCGGTAAGGTACCCAGGAGGCGCTCAGACCGAGCTTAGCATCGGGATCAGACTCTTATGACCACATCCTTCCTGTAGCTCTCGATAGCCGTGCCGAGTTTCTCCTTCACCATGTCTCTGACCATCTTATACCTCTCCTCGTTCAACACCATGGTCTGTGTGGCTTCACGATCGCGATCTGTCAGGTCAACGATCGTGCACGAAAGATTTGGCAACATACCATACGTGAACTTCACGGCACGGTGGCCAAACTTGAAGAAGAGTACGTTGCCGGCGACGCCTTCAGCCGTGTAGTCGAAGCATCCAATATGCAGCTGGACGTTATCGCCGTCAGCTGCTCTGGAGAGAAGATATTTGACGTGAACAATGGCTCGATCGTCTGAGATGCGAACGCGGTACGCACGAGGCCACGCTAACCTGGAAGTTAGCAGTCTGCCCATCCCAGGCATTTTCCTGGAAGATGGCATTAGCGCTGGCATTCACCCGACGTCTCATGGCATCAATGGTGGCCTTCACAACTTTGCCGGCTTCAGGGGAGAGACGAGGATCCAACATGGCAATCACGACCTTGTCGACTGAGCCATAAGTATTGACATTATCGATTTCGGCGAACCTGCATGCAAGGAGTCAAAGCCAAACCCACCGCAGCAGAGCAGAGAGTATCGTGTTCGTACGAGAAACTCTGGACAACCCATCCGACGTTTTCGAGGACCTCCTTGAATTTCTTGTACCATTTATCCTTGTCGTCTCCCCCAGCCTGGTTAGCAGCTAGTTGGGCAAGGAGGGTGGAGTTCAAGACGTCATCCTGTCACAATAGACGATGAGAACGAATAATCACGTCAACCTGCGAGAGCTCACCTTATGGACGGGGTCTAAATTTCCAACGGATGACTGCAACAACCGACCATTGACGGCAGCAAGCTTCCATGCAAGACAGGTCTCGAAAGGAGGAATATCCAGGCCCTCGATGAAGCTTAGGCGTGCTTCAATAGAAAGAGACATGACCACGAGACGTGAACGAAGATGTTAGCAATGCGTGATGGGGGATAAAGAGCCCGCATCGCTCGGTCGCATTGTTTTATATGCGCCGTGACAGAGAAGTGAAAATTCCCGTGTGCGAAGTTCCTCGACGTAATGGAGTAAATAATTAATAAAGCCTATGTACCATGGCCAATTCGACCTGAAACGTACTGTGGTGGACAAGTGAAGAATTGAGGTCGCGTGTGCATGTCCTCCGTGGTGGAATGGAACTAGGCGTGTCGGAAACAAACTTTGTATGACAAGACTGCTCACGTTAGGTGGATGAACGAATCGAGGACGTTCAAGATGACAATTGGCAGCGTAGGGCGCATTTTTACCGCGGAATACCTGGGTTGGAATAATATATGACTGGGCACATAGACAAATGGGCAACTCTCTTGTTCGTGGATCAAAAATGGTCTCCGTATCATATGGACGAACTCACTAGTCTCGATTCCATCTTGACAGGCAGTTCACTCCTATCGCTCCTAGCCCAATACCGACGCGGCTGAATACGCCACATGGAGACTCCCGTGCCTTACTCCTTGACATGGACGCCGACTTCACACGTCCTGATAGCCTCGGGAGGGCCACATTTCCGCTCGGGCGTCTCCATGTCAAGGCAAATCCGAAGTCCACTTCCTGTCACGTGCAGAATTCATCGTCGCTCGTGCCTGTGGAGTCCCGGAGAAATAGGCCCCCCGGCATATGTTCCATTATGTCCGATCCGGAGGCGAGTAGAAGCGCAAATCCGTGTGCCATAACTTGAACGTTGACGTTGAACGTTATGCTAAATTATGTATGTACGTCAAGCAAACCGTGGCTAGGTCACCTTCCACAGAGTGCCACGCGTGGATCCAAGGCCGTTGCCCCGCGTCCAGGGCCCAGGTACTGCGCCCACGTCCAACGTCCTCATCATGCGCTGAACACGCTCCACGTCGGCTTTGCCATGGTGTCTGACCGTCGAACGTGTTTGTCCTGGCACACACTGTGTCTTTTCTCAGTGCGATTCTTGCTTTTATCCCGAACTCAACCCCCTTTGTGCAGAGCCGCTTAGTTTCATAGCATTACTCGGAGGCATGGTACCAAACCCGCCGACGCGTCTAAAGTGGCATGCCTGAGACTGGCGGGATGTCGTCCTCCGAGCCGCGAAGGACGTAAATATATGTGAAGCTCGCCCCCATTTCAAAATGCGGCATTACAGGTCGGTATGAATTCCTGGTTGGTATCAGGATGTGAGCGAACTGCGAATCGATTTATCTTCGTATACACGCCAATTAGACGTGGAAACTACTCCGATTTCATTGGGGAGGTGGCTGTGAACATACTGTTTCAAAATGCCAATATTAATTAGTCTCTGTATACAGTGGTATATTGTTCGGCAACTCGACCATTGTATTCCGGTGAGCACTTGCCCTCTGTGACTGATTCTCATCTTGGATTACCATCGACGATTTTTTTCCCGTCCAGGACGCCACAGGATCATGCTGTCTTACCTACAGAGCCTTGTCTCGATGACACCTACTTCCATTCCGTCGGGGACACACCTCTTGTACCATCCGTTGTCCTGTGACCCTGTTTCGGTAGAACGACCAGGTGATTTATTAATTATTTTCTGACATCGGAGAATGCTCCAGACGGAACTTTGCGCTTCGCGGTCATGGCTCCAGGTATAAAACAATGCCAATGAGCAAAGTGCCTCCTTCATTCCCCTATCAACTACTGCCAACGCTTTCGTCTACATCTTGCTGTCATGTCTCATTCTATTGAAGCCCGCCTTCGCTTCATCGAGCACTTGCATATTCCTGCTGACCGTCATGGTCGCAAGGGGTCACCCGAGGGGTCCGGTGCTGTCAATGCCGGCTCGACCCAGTCGTTTGTTGGAAATCTGTCTCAGCTTAACAAGGTCGGTACTTCTGAAACTGACGAAACCCATCTTCCTCACCACCTACTATCACAGGAGGATGTCTTGAACTCCACACTGCTTGCCCAGCTTGCCGCTAACACGGCGAGCCCGGATGACAAGACTAAATGGTACAAGAAGTACAAAGAGGTCCTCGAAAATCTCGGATGGGTCGTCTCAGACATCACGTACGCGCACATTTGCACTACTTACTTTCATCCCATTATCTTGTACCTGACGTCTTGGATGCAGGTTCAAAGAGCTTGACAATGCCAACTCTTATGGCTCTGTCGATCAAGCCATCCTTGCCATTCTCAAGGGTTATCTTGACGGTAACGCGTTGGAGGTTTTCAAGGCCACGATTGACGCCATGAAAAATCCCGTCAACAGCGGCGCTAACAACTTGTTCCAAACGAATGCTTGGAAGGGGCAAAGTGCTGATTTCCTGGTTGGTGTGGCCATGTGCGTACAGTGTTTGCGGCTCAGCCAACCGTTCGCTCATGTACACTCATCAAATTTATATCGCAGTGAATCTAACAACGATATCCAGTTCCGTATCGGAACCTACACTTATCAGGCTCAGGGGTCCCGCGGCAACGTCCTCTTCTTCAAGTTTGGTAGCGAACGTGTCAAGTTCATGTACTGTATGTTGTGTGGTGCCTCTTGCATGATCATTGACCTCATGGATTGTGCAGCCACACAGAACATGGTGTTGAACGAGCTGATATATTCGAAGGTCAGGGCGGCGGTGATCAATAAGCTGGGCGGCCACATCGAGGATTACATTGACGACCTGGATATCGGACTTTGATTCCGATACTCCGTCTGGAGTTCTCGGTGTTTTTCAATCTTCACAACTCCTCAAGCAGGAGAAGTTTCTTGGAATGAGCGCGCGTATTTCTTGAAGAGGCGTCGTTGTACTATTAGCGGCGCAATTGATGTATATGGTTGTTTCACGCATGACGCCTTGCCTTTATGTCACTTGCGAGGTGAAAATGTGCTTGATTGATAGTACGGTAAGCCGATGAAGGGGAGACGAAACTCACTTCCCTGTCATGGCAAGATTTCCCCCGATTAGTCCCTCTATCGACAATAGCATGGGATCATTGTTTCCAGCATACACCACAGAAACAGTTTTGTTCTATAACGCCGACAGGGAGGGAAGTGCGCCTCGTAGCATTCTCATACAAGCCATCTAAACTAGCCAAATCGCCGCGAGCGACATTCGCATGCGCAACGTGTCGAGATGTAAATCAAACACGTGTGTTACATGTTCCTGCAGGAGCATCTGGCACGTGCATGGTATTTCAATCCGAGGGTATGAGCTCGATCACTCGCGCGACGAGGCTCTTCATGACCTCCGCCTTCTGCCTGCCGACGGCGAGCACCTCCTCATGCGATGCGACCTCTGATTCCGGCATCTCGATACGCCTCCCCTCGAGCTGTATGACGGGTCAGAGCGCGACATGTACGCACACGGCGGCGGGACGCACCTCGGCACGTACCTCCTCCTTGATACTGCGATAGCGGTCCGGGATCACGACGGCGTTGGTGACAAGGCTGAGAACGAGCACCTCTACGCCCTCCTCGCGCGCGGCGAGGACCTCAGGGACAGTGCTCATACCGACGACGTCCGCGCCCGCGGCGCGTAGGAAGCGGCCCTCCGCGGGCGTCTCGTAAGTCGGCCCGGAGACCCACGCGTACGTGCCCTCCGTGAGCGCGCTCTCTGGGAGGCGCAGAGAATGCGCGGCGAGGAAGGCAAGGCGTCGCAGCGCCGGGGAGTACGCGTCGGAGAGCGGGAGGAAGCGCGGATGATCCGGTGAGATCAGGGGCCCGAAAAGCGCGTTGAGTGGGCCAGTCATGTTCGCGATCGCGAGGTGGTCGTGAACGACAACGACTATCGACCAGAGAGCGTCAGTGAGGATGTGAGGAGGCGAAAGTAGACATACTGGTCCCGACGGGAATGTCATGGTTCAATGCCCCGGCCGCGTTAGTTACTGCAGATAGCAGATCAACGCACGATTGGTTCTCGGTGAATTTAGAAAACTCACTGATCAAATTCCTCACACCAAGTCTGGCCATGATCCTCACTGGATATACAACGGTCGACACCTTATGGCCCTCGTACGTATGGAACTAACTGATCGCTTGTGAAGCAGAGAAACGGGCTTCTGGTAAGGAGAAAACACACCCGTCCTAGCATTGCCACAACTGGAACCCCGTTTCCAGTACCGAGCAGACCAAATGCGAGGGCGCTCTTGTGTCCCGCAACTACACAGATATTGATCAACCACGATGCATGTGTCTATCGAAGGAGTCAAGCCTACCAGTGCTCTCCCCAAAACCCTCTAGTGAGTTGTACGGAACTTCTACGACTTCACGAAGGTTGGATGCGAGCGTACTGAGTCCCGATCCGCAGATGATCCCCACCCGTGGTTTGAGCAGGTGCTCCGGCACAACCGATGCAAGAACATCGAGCGTTGAAGAAAAATAATCTACGTAAGATTCGTTCGCCATCTAAGGAAAAAGCGGGAGCCCTAAACAACCGACAACGCAATTAATGGTAAGGTGCAGATGCAGCTGGTAAACTTGCTATTTCCAGCGGATATCGCAAGTCACGTGAAGGTGTAAGTAGCACCGGAACACTGGAACAAGCGGCCCTATGAGAGTCCTTCCTTTGCACTGCCGATGTTGATTACCCTATCGCGCGAAGGTATTCTGTTTAGTTCAGCTGCCGATCATATCTACCTCAAGCAGCTTGAATTCGCAGTTCGAGCACTGATATCAGGCTCTATGAGCGTCGAGCTTCTCGTGTGTTTCGCAACGTGCGTTATACAGAGCTGAGTTGGCATTATGGCATAGCTTCCAGTCGATGTCATTGTGCACCATCGATGCGGCTAGAACTGGAACGATGGAATAGCCTACACTTCGCGATGATGAGCAATCCATAGGTCCGAAGCCGGAGGGACACGCAAGCTTTCTCTCGAAAAGCACAGGTTATATCTGTGAATCAGTGCTGATTGCTGCTAGATTGTCGTGGCTGACTGTTAGATTCACTGTTATCGGCTACCTTGCGGTGCTCATCTCCACCTACTCAGCGGTGCGTCCTGCCCGTTGCAAGTGTCATCCGGGGTGCAGCATGCACTTCGCGACGTAGTGCTCAGTCAGCATGCCAATTAGTAAAGCGGCCATGAACTTGTCTGGAGCGACCGACTCCTATCATACGTCAACTCGCCGTCTGTGATCATCTATGCGTATAAAGCTAGCGCTACACACTTGCATCTTCTCGTTGCCCTCTTGATTTCCTCACAGCACAACTACAGCACCATGTCGGCATTGTGGGGCCCTCCTCCCGAGCCTAAGACCAAGCTCGGACGCCATCGCCAGCTTTCTCCCTTGGCAGGTGTGCATGTCTCCCCCATCTGCCTCGGTGCCATGAGCATTGGCGACAAGTGGAACGCCTTTGGCATGGGCGAAATGAATAAGGAGCAGAGCTTCAAACTCCTGGACGCGTTCTATGAGGCAGGCGGGAACTTCATCGACACGTCGAACAACTACCAGGACGAGACGTCCGAGCAGTTCATCGGCGAGTGGATGGAAAAGCGCGGGAACCGCGACCAGATGGTCATTGCAACGAAGGTGGGTGTGCTTTTAGCTCTTTGCTTTTGGAGCGCTGTCTCAGCGTCGTGTGGCGGATGCAGTATACCACCAATTACAAACGTGGAGCTACCGACATTCCGCTGAAGTCGACCTATGTTGGCAACAACATGAAGTCGTTGCATCTATCTGTAGAAGCGTCGCTGAAAAAATTGCGCACGTCGTACATTGATGTTCTCTACGTGCACTGGGTGCGTCTTCTCTTTACTTATTCGTAGCGTTGTGCTGATCTGTCCTCCCTTCCAGTGGGACTTCAACACAAGCGTAGAAGAGGTGATGAACGGCTTGCATTCCCTTGTCCAACGCGGGCTGGTTCTGTACCTTGTAAATTGCCTCTCCTGCCTTACAATAATGCATGACCTACGTTGTTCGTTATAGGGCGTCTCGGACACTCCAGCTTGGGTCGTCACGAAGGCGAACACGTACGCACGACTCACGGGGAAGACCCCTTTCGTAGTCTACCAAGGCGCATGGAGCGTCCTTCAGCGCGATTTCGAGCGCGAAATCATACCTATGGCGCGTTCTGAGGGTATACGGTATTTTATCGTCGGAATCGTGTTATCACTTACCCGCGCTTGATAATGTAGGACTCGCGCTGGCCCCGTGGAATGTGCTTGCTTCCGGCAAAATTCGTACCGATGCTGAGGAGCAGAAAAGGCGCGAGACGGGCGAGAAAGGTGCACACATTTTGTTTATTCATTATCGCAAACGACTGAGCGAAGTTTGTGTGTTCAGGACGGCAAATAATGAATCGGGCCTGGGAACGTACGCCTGAAGAGCGGAAGATGTGCCTCGCCCTGGAAGAGGTCGCTGCTGAAGTGGGAACGAAGAGCATCACCGCAGGTTAGTCACTTACTGGCTCTTAAAGAGACCAAGCGCGCTGATAGGGAGGAACAGTGGCCATCGCGTACGTGCTGCAGAAGACGCCGTATGTCTTCCCCATCATTGGTGGGCGTAAAGTCGAACACCTCATGGCGAACATCGAGGCGCTGAGCATCTCGCTCACGCCCGAGCAGATCACTCGTCTGGAGAACGTCCTTCCGTTTGACCAGGGCTTCCCGTCGAACTTCATCGTGCGTCTTCGATGCGTACATGTGCAATGTTTTGATTGACTCGCCGTTTACTTTCCGCAGGGCAACGGAGAACAAAACAACATGATTTTCGGGTCTGCTGGGCACTTTGACAAGTGGCCTGTCCAGCAGGCAATCCGTCCGGGGGGGAACTAGGAATGCGACGAAGGAATGCATATGTACTAGAGAAGTATCGAGATGGCAGGGCATTGTAATTGTAACTGTTAAGTCATCCAACAGTTGTTCGACAGTATTTGGAGGCGCCCTCCATCCGAAACGCATCTAGAAAGATGTAGGGATCTATGGAATTTAAGCCTCAGGCGTGCCTCAGTCCTCAGCACTCAGCCTCAGTTCAAACATCCTGCTTTGAAGTCTCGGCCGGTAATATTCGCGAGGTATATCCTTTCTGCTGGATGGTCCGCCCCTCGTGCTTTCTCATCGTCATCATTGTTTGGCCACAACACCCTCTACAACGCGCTGCGCTGTAGCCGCGGCGCGCAAGAGCGGGTCTGTCCTCAGTAGGGAGTATTCACGTCGCTTTGGTGCTGAGTGGTGTACCGCCTCAACGTCAGGAGACGATGCCCCACTCAGCACTGAAGTGACTCAACTACTGCGCTATCGGAGGATGGACCAACCCACTGTGCAGGTCACATACTATGCCCTACCGTCCCATCGGCACCCCCCTACAAGTCGGCACCCCAGCATACCTCCCCCATTTCCGGTCCCCTTGCTTACCTTCTACATCTATGTTTATACTGGTATGTCTCAAACAATTGCGAACTTGAACGACGGCGGACGGTCTAGTATTGACCGAGTTCTGTTTTCGGCGAAAAATCATGTTTTATCACGCCGTGTCACGATGTTGTCACGCTGACGTGCGAAATCGGTGACTGATGGGTGACATAACGCGTTCATCAGCATTCATGCCTCTTATTTCTCCTTGGCAACCTTGATCAAGGAAAAAAGGTAAATTAAGAGTAGAGATTGTCTTAATCAAGACACTAAGTAAAAGGTGACAAATGCTGATGTTACTGCCGACTTGAGGGGGGGTTGCCGATGGGACGGTAGGGCATAGTAGTCGTCGGTGCATAAATGAAAGTGAGGTCTGACACTAACCATACGGGGCCAGTATCACGATCACGTGATTGTTGTTTTAAAGCCCGACGGACGAAGTCGTTGCCAGTTTTGATGACCTGGCTATGTAACTGAGCTGATTCGTTCATAGGGCTTTCGACGATGTTGAACAATTACATGTCAAGTGAATAGCTTGCGTCACTTTCCTCCAGATCGTGCCGTTCGAATACGACCTATGTAGGACACGTCGATGTCTGAGACCTGAACTTGTTTCGGTTTCCTGGAATTCTCTGCAGACTGTATAAGTAAAATCGTATGATACTTAAGTAGTACAAGTACAGACATAACCCAGGGCGACCTGGTCTCGGTAGTTAGCTATCTACTACAATCATCAGGTTACTACACTCGAAGGGGACTTTGTTATCTCATAACGCTACTCATGATCACTGACAGCTGGCTCGCAGAGAACTTCGCCTCTCCCAGATTATCATCAGCAACTCCCTGTCATGATCATATGCATCTGTTCCCACTCCTTCACCTGTAACGCAGTTCAAAATGCGAGGCTCCGATCCATGCCTGAATGTATGTTACTCCGACCCAGTCTGGCACAGAAGCCTGACAACCAAGAGAGAACCAAGAATATGTACCTATTGCGGAAGTCTGGGTGCGAGTGCGTATGATGCAGGGTGTCCACCAGTGCATATACAGAGAGGTTGAGAGAGATAGAATATCGAACACTACACCATCTTCGGTGCAGAAACAATACCGAAACGCGAAGACGAAAGGATCAAAAAGAATCAAGACAGTAAAGACGAGAACGCTACCAGCCCTGCTCTACCGACGAGTCAACAACGACGGCTGCGACGTCGACGCAGCGATCGTTGTGAACAGCGTACCGCCATTCGTCCGCGCGGGCACCGCAGGCGGTTTTCGCCGCTTCGGCGGTACTGGCGCGAGCCTGCGCGGCTGCGCGGTTCCCACCGGCTTATTGTGCGGAATTGGATGTACATGCCCGTGCGAATGCGCGAGAGAGTGTACCGCGGTCGATGACGAGTACGACAGCGTCGACATCGGTGAATCCGGCTCGGGGGGACTGCCGGGAGATATAATCTGGATCGCAGGATAGCCTTCCTCGTTCGGCTCCTGGGTTAGCATGGTGGCGTCCGTCATGATGTACGGCCGTCGGTCGTGCACAGGGTCCACCTCGACAGAGCCCGCACGGTCTCGTCGTCGCGTGGAGTTCGGTGGACTTGCAGTTGCCACCCGGGGGTAGCTCATCGAGCTGTCGTTGCTCGTATGTCGCACAGCCTCCAAGTGCAAACCGCGCGCGGGCGGTTTCGCCGGCGCCGGCGCCCTCGCCTGAGCATTCCCCTGATTGTTCAGGTGCTCCGCACTGCGGCTCGCCTTCAGGTTGCGCCCTCTAATCGATCCCGTCCGCTCTCTCGACAACGCCGGCGGATCCGTGAACGCGCTGCTGCTATGCGGAGCAGAGAGCGTGGTATAGGTCGGGCTGGCGGCGGGCCGGTGTAGGCCCTCCTCGGACGTGCTGTCCCGGCGCGCCTCCGCGCACGCCTTGCGGAACTGGACGCACCACTCGCCCGAGAGGCAGCGCGCGACGAGGCGCTTCGTCGTGGGATCGACGTCGCGGATGGACTCGTGCGCGGTGAGCGACTCGAGCGTGCGCACGATCTGTGCGCGCTTGTACGGCATCGTGCGCAGCTGCGTCTTCGTGAGCAGCGGGTGCAGCACGCGGAGGTACGTGTGCCGCAGCTGCCCGGGGATCGCGAGCGTCAGCGAACAGAGGCTGCACCGCCGGGACGCGAGGAGACGCACCGACTCGTTGTCCTCGTCGATGTTGCCGATCTCGCGGAGGAAGACGTCCACGAGCACGCACAGGTCGTTCGTGTAAAAATACTCCGCCATGCCCTTCGTCGTGAACAGGAGGTACAGGATCTTGAGCACTAGCAGCTGCATGCACAAGTCCTCTGGCGTCCTATCTGCGAAAAGGCTAAGCATGAGGGACGACCGATGACAAGGGCGGCTGCTTACCTGCGCGATTTAGCATGAAGATCATGTTTTCACCGAACGTCATGCTCGAGCCCTGCCGCGACATCAGCGTCCGCAGCACGCAATTTCTCGCCCTCGAGCTGTGCTAATTACTGCAGATACCAGATCAATGCACGAATGGTTCTCGGTGAATTAAAAAAGCTCACTGATCAAATTCACACCAAGTCTGGCCATGATCACTGGCACTGGATATACAATGGGCGACATATAATGGCCTTCGTATGTATGGAACTAACTGATCGCTTGCGAAGCACATAAATGGAATTCTGGTAGGGAGAAAACACACCCGTCCTCGCATTGCCACGACTGGAACCTCGTTTCCAGGACCGAGTAGACTAAATGCGAGGGCGCACTTGTGTCCCGCAGCTACATAGAAATTGATCAGCCATGGTGCATGTCTCCATCGAAGGAGTCAATAGTATACCAGTGCTCTCCCCAAAACCCTCTAACGAGTTACAGTACTGCCAGGAAATGTTAATGAATTATAAGCGGCGTGCAAGATGGGGAAATCCTTGTTTGCGTGTTCGGATTACGCGTCGTTGTACTTTTAGCCGCGAAATTGATGTATACGATTGTTTCACGCTGACGCCTTGCTTTTGCGTCAGTTGCGGGGTGAAAATGCAGAGTAAGCCAGTGAGGGAGACGCACCTCCCTTCTGTATCGTCACAAGATTTCCCACGAGTCATGACTCGGTTAGTCCCGAAAGGCGCATGGCCGCCTCCTAAGGATGAGGTCTCTATATCCCCTACTACATCATGTCATGGATGAGAGCCAAGCACTTTGCATTAGCGTGGCTGCCTGTGTTAGCACGCAGAAGGCTCCCAGTGGTAGGGGTGCTCCCCGGACAATGCCACGGGATCAAACTCGGCAGTTTGTGGATATCTCCTAGAGAAGAAGTGGCTCCACGCGGACTTCCTGTAGTGCATTTCTCTACGGTTGGTCCTTACGAAGCCGAGGAGAAGGCATTAGGTGGTAAGGGACATGCTCTGGTCTAGAGAAGGCATTTTCTGATCCTAATCAGCAGGAAGACCTGCTCCAGGTAGTCAGGCCCACATTAAGGCATTACTTGCAGAGCTGGAGATTGTTGATGATCCTTTCACAACGGAACAGCATGCATTGTGGAATGCTGACATTATGACACTTATCAGATTGGAGAATATGGACCTATCTGGATCGAAATTTGATGTCTTGAATGCATTTTTCATACTGTGTGGCATCATCAAACCCATTGTAGAATATGTCAAAGCCCCTCTTCAACAGATGGGACCCAAACTCCGCTTGGTAATTATTGAACATGAAAGGTTACTGCTGCCTGCTTTGAAAGAAGCCATCATGGCAGAAGATTTCACTGATTTTCGATCCTTAGGTGAGCCTCCCTGTTGGCACAGTCTGTTATGAGGATTCAAAAAGTCTTCCAGCTATATTTCGTCAGCAGCCAACCCCAGTATTCTCCAGCACTAGTGTGGTTCAGGGATTACACAGTCAGTGCATGCTTCAATGATCTCTTGCTAATCAATAATGGCAGCTTCTGTGACTTCAGCAGCACCTTCTTCGTGGGCACCCCCAATGTCTTCTGCAGAACTGGATAATGCCATCAGCACATTCTTACAGGAGATTGAACCTGACCTGCGACAATACATTGCAAGCAATTGCCAGGATTTCTCATTTCCATCTTTACCGGCGAGTACGCTGTTTATCGACGGCATGGGAGGGATGTATGCGAAGGATGCAGCACTTCGGAAGAGAGTTGATGCCCTCTTTGCTCCCAGAAATCTCAAGTGTGTAGGCATTCTACCATCTCTCTGATCTTTTGCTGATTCTTTCCAGGCTCTTGTTCAACACGTCGGGTTCTGGCAAAACTGCCTTGCTTATTGAGGGCTTGTGTCACCACTGGGGCCTGTACATCACGTCATTTGTTGATGAAAGAACTCCTCTTGGATCTGTTGATGCTGAGGCAGCATGGTTACATATCTTGGGCAATGCTGCTTTTGACAAAAGCGTAAACCTCACTGCAAGGAATAACAAGCTGAAAACCAATATCGAGATCATACAAGGAGAATATTCCCTGATGTTATTGGCTCGTCTATCCATTTTCCAGCTCTTCCTCCATTGCACTCCAGCTGACCATGATGAGGGAGACTTGCGGCATCTGTGGCTTTACCTTCAACTTTGCCCCTCTGCCCTGCGTACCGATGCACCAGATGATGACATATTTTACAGGCTGTATGAGAGAATACGGCCTGCAGAAAACTATGAACCTCTAGGCGGCAGAATCATTCGTCTACTGATGAAGATTCGCGAAGACACTCATATTCGACTCAAACCCATTTTTCTCACTCTGGATGAGGCTCAGCTTGTATCTCAGAGAGTGAAACAGGCCTTCTATTCATCTCGACCAGGTGCTAACCAACAAAGTGTCTTGCGTGAGATACACGATACTTGGGCTAACCTCAGGATCAACATGATCTTTGCTGGAACAGGCCTTCCATTGGATCCCATCCTCCTATCTAGTGTGACGAAGGACTCGTTAGGACTGGCGCTTTTTTCAGACACTGGATCATTCGATGATAAGGAATCGCAGCGAAGTTATATCATGGAGAGGGTTCAACCAAATCACATTGATGAGCGAACTCTGGAGCGTGCTTGGCACTGGCTTCGTGGGAGGTGCGTGTATGTTTGTGTGTAATTGACACTATGTTCATTCACAAGTGTACTGTGCAGACACCGATTCACCGCGACATACACATTGCTCCTGCAGAAGATGGGTGTTGCTTCTGCGAACAAAATATTGAATGCTTTTATCGAACATATTACGGGAGGTTTTGAACCAACAGACGGAAGAGACATCGTGAAAAACGAGCCCGACATTGATACAGGTCCGGTTTACAATTATACGCCTGTCGATTTCTCCAAATTGGGTGAAAAGAGGCATCGCAGGATGGTGCAAACCATCTTTCAAGCTACTGTTGGTATGATCCTACGAAATCGACCGTACGTGTTCTTCGAGACGGATTTTGAAGCCATAACACTTGGTTTTGCCCGTGTTATGCCAGAGACGAAGAGCCTGGATCTTCTTGGTATCCGTGGGCAACTCGAGATGCTACCTCAAGTCATAGATGAACCACTAATGGTGGCCGCTGCACTCCATTATTTCGAAACCCTTTCCGTAGTGTCGATCAGAACCTATGCCACGGAATCGTTACGTCGTCTTGAACCACCCTCCACCCGCGGCTTCGCTATGGAGAACGTCACAATGGTCGCTTTCTTGAACATCTTTGATGATATCAAGTCGCTGGCCGACGTCTTCACTGTGCATAATGACGAAGGGCAGTCCTGGCTGAAAAAGCCTGCGCGTTTGGTTTCAATCACAAGACGGAAGAGGAATGGTGATTTTCAGGTTGCAGCTACTAGGATTCGCCAGGGAGCGACGCCGTTGCTCAGTTGCGAGGCATCCAAGCTGGAGGACTTCGAACTGTGGCTCGAGGGTATGAAGGGTGTCTTCTGCTTCCTCGACAACAACATGGGACCCGATATCATATTCCTCGTCCAATGCGGTACTCGACTTGTTTGGGTGATGGTTCAAGTGAAGTGTCTTTCATCTCAAGGGCCCACTCCTAGGAAGACCATGGGTGCGCAGCACACTCTTGAACCTACTGCTTTATATCTTGGAAAAGTGAGACTTAATCCAACGTGAGTTATAAGACTGCTAACATGCATATATTCTCAGGACGGCCAGAAATACTCTGCAAAGTGTCGCCCAAACTTTCCTGAGGAGACTCTACGGCGCATGAACATCCCCAATATTCCGGTGGTGCGTTTAATCGTGTCGTTTCCCGCCCAGTCGAAAGAGGAGATTCTGGAGGAGGAAGGCTCGACGAACGAAGTTGTTGCCAGTTTTGATGACCTGGCTCAGGCTGAGTCGTTCGAAGGGCTTTCAGCAATGTTGAGCAACTACCTGTCAAGTGCATAGCTTGCGTCACTTTCCTCCAGACCGCGCCGTTCGAATATGGCCTGTGCAGGACATGCCGTTTCCAGGTAGCTAGCTACATGTATGCGCATCAGATTAGGGCGATCCGAACAGGACTTTGTATCTCATAACGCCACTTGATGAGACTGATGATCACTGCAGCCAACTCACGCAGAACTTTAGCCACTGGTCGTCTTCACTTCAGCTTTCCCAGATTGTTGACAGCGACTTCCTGTCATGCATCTGTTCCCGCTCCTTCACCTGTATAACGCAGTTCATAATGCGAGGCTCCGATCCATGCCTGAATGTATATTACTCCGACCCAGTCTGGCACAGAAGCCTGACAGCCAAGAGAGAACCAAGAATATGTACCTATTGCCGAAGTCTGGGTGCGAGTGCGTATGATGCAAGCTGTCCACCAGTGCGTATACAGAGAGAGGTAGGGAGAATATCGAACACTACACCATCTTCGGTGTAGAAACAATACCGAAACGCGAAGACCAAAGGATCGAAAAGAACCAAGATAGCAAAGGCGAGAACGCTACCAGCCCTGCTCTACCGACGAGTCAACAACGACGGCTGCGACGTCGACGCCGCGATCGTCGTAAACAGCGTACCGCCATTCGTCCGCGCGGGCACCGCAGGTGGCTTCCGCCGCTTAGGCGGTGCTGGCGCGAGTCTGCGCGGCTGCGTAGCCGCCGCAGGCTTATTGTGCGGAATTGGATGTACATGCGCGTGCGAATGCGCGAGAGTGTGTACCGCAGTCGATGACGAGTACGACAGCGTCGACATCGGTGAATCCGGCTCGGGGGGACTGGCGGGAGATATAATCTGGATCGCAGGATAGCCTTCCTCGTTCGGCTCCTGAGTGAGCACCGTGGTGTCCGTCATGATGTACGGCCGTCGGTCGTGCGCAGGGTCCACCTCGACAGAGCCCGCACGGTCTCGTCGTCGCGTGGAGTTCGGTGGACTTGCAGTTGCCACCCGGGGGTAGCTCATCGAGCTGTCGTTGCTCGTATGTCGCACAGCCTCCAAGTGCAAACCGCGCGCGGGCGGTTTCGCCGGCGCCGGCGCCCTCGCCTGAGCATTCCCCTGATTGTTCAGGTGCTCCGCACTGCGGCTCGCCTTCAGGTTGCGCCCTCTAATCGATCCCGTCCGCTCTCTCGACAACGCCGGCGGATCCGTGAACGCGCTGCTGCTATGCGGGGCAGAGAGCGTGGTATAGGTCGGACTGGCGGTGGGCCGGTGGAGGCCCTCCTCGGACGTGCTGTCCCGGCGCGCCTCCGCGCACGCCTTGCGGAACTGGACGCACCACTCGCCCGAGAGGCAGCGCGCGACAAGGCGCTTCGTCGTGGGGTCCACGTCACGGATGGACTCGTGCGCGGTGAGCGACTCGAGCGTGCGCACGATCTGTGCGCGCTTGTACGGCATCGTGCGCAGCTGCGTCTTCGTGAGCAGCGGGTGCAGCACGCGGAGGTACGTGTGCCGCAGCTGCCCGGGGATCGCGAGCGTCAGCGAACAGAGGCTGCACCGCCGGGACGCGAGGAGACGCACCGACTCGTTGTCCTCGTCGATGTTGCCGATCTCGCGGAGGAAGACGTCCACGAGCACGCACAGGTCGTTCGTGTAGAAATACTCCGCCATGCCTTTCGTCGTGAACAGGAGGTACAGGATCTTGAGCACGAGCAGCTGCATGCACAAGTCCTCTGGCGTCCTATCTGCGAGAAAGGCTAAGCGTGTGGTACGGTCGATGACAAGGGCGGCTGCTTACCTGCGCGATTTAGCATGAAGATCATGTTTTCACCGAACGTCATGCTCGAGCCTTGCCGCGACATCAGCGTCCGCAGCACGCGATTCTCGCCCTCGAGCTTCCGCTTGCCCTCCTGCGGCTTGGTATCCGACGATGCAGATTGTGGATGTAGCGACGCCACCATGAACTGCTCATTGAGCGCGACCTGTGCAATGTTAGCCACACAGACCCACGAAGGGGAGGGTGAGAGCAGGGTGAACTCACGATGAGCTTGATGACGGAGTAATTAAACGTGTCATCATGGTTCCCGCGCGTCTGCTCCACGAGCTCAAACAAATAGTCAATGAACGAGTCGTCGAATATTCCTGCATATCCCAAACGTGAGCGTGTGTCGACACCATCACCACCCCTGGCTACACTCACGCAGTTCCTGCAGCGACAACCGCTGCACCCGGCACACCTCGTACAGGAGCCGCACAGAGAGCGAGCGCAGCTTCGCCTCAATCGGCACCGCGAGGGCACGCGAGGCGCCCGAGCTCGTGCCCAACGTGGAGCCCGTGAACGAGTCGTCCACGTCTGGATCCATGTCCACCCGGACGTTGTCCATCAAGAGTGGGAGCAGCGGCTGCCACCGCTTCTGCGACCGCAAAAAAACTGGCTTCTTCCCGCCGTAGGAGAGCAGAATGTTGTACAGGATCAGCTGACAGTGCGGGTCCGTGCTCTGCAGAGAACTAAGCGAGAGCGCTACACAGAGGGAGGTACGCACGCACCGACTGGGCATCGTCTACTAGAAGCTCGCACATCCGCTCGGAATGGAACGTGAGCAGCTCCGACGCCAAAAGGAGATCACACGCGTGTTCTAGCTGCAGCGGGCTCTGCAGGTATTGCTCTGCAACCCAGCTCAGCAGGCAGCCTTACTGCAGGGGAAAAAAATCGCTCACCGTGGTACGCGGCGCAAAAAGAGACGAACCGTCTCATGGTGGCGTCCAGCTGCGACAGGGTCGTGCCATCCGGGATGTGCAGAATGTCCTCCAGTTCTGCAGAAATGCGGTCAGAGGTGACGTCGGGCACGGTGAGGCAGAGTGCGCACCGGACCAAAATTGCTGTGCATTCTCGATGATGTACACGATCCCGAACACGTCCATCGGAGGAGTCGGCAGGGCACGCATGGAGAGCTACCGAAAGCTGAGACGTATCCTTCTGTACGAGTGGTCAACCACGGTGGCAGAGGGATCCGCTGAGCGTAGCACTATGTGCTGCAGAACGGCGTAAAGGCAGGTGTTTGGACTGGCTATGTGGTGTCAGCGGCCGAATCAGGGAGTAAAGAACCGAGGTATTTTCGCACCACGTCAATCAGATGTATGTAATAGGTCCCAGATCAATGAAATGACGTCCGTTTTTGTCCTCGATTGCAGTGTCCTAGTGCGCCTTCGAAACTGTAAATCAAGACTCACAGTTAGTCGTATTCAAAATGCTCCACAACCCTCTGCTTTGCAGCACATCGCCCCAGTTGAAGTCAGGTCACCCGGCGCTTTAAGCCCTGCACGCTCAGAACGATGATAGAGTTCGTCTCCGGGAACATCTATGGCTTGTCGAGGGACGTCTGCTCGGTAGATCCTCCCGCAGAGAATACGCCTCCTTGCCAGATGACCTCCCTCCGGCATCCAACTCCGAACGAGCAAGCTTGACAGAAACGACCTGAATGCAGCTGGGCCGAGCGCGGCCATGGAAGTGCATACCACAATCATGAAGACTCACTGCAACAATCTCTAAATCCTCGCCGCACTAACCACTAATTGATCCCTGTTTATGTGATTCGCCCCGCAGGCTATTGAGAGGTTCGTGCAGAGATGACGATGTGAGGTGCGAAGTGGGTAGGGTATCTGCTTTAAAAATCCCGAGGACCACCGGGACGAGGCTAGACGATGAGGATCAAGATACTGACAACTGAGAGAGCTTTGCGTTACGCCGCCTATGCTGCTGAGCACAGACCGTATGTTCCAACGAGGAGGAGAGATGTGAGGGAATTCAGGAGAGAGACGGCGAGAAATTGGAGCTCTGTGTAGAAAGGCTGCACGTGCCACTGTGCTGCATTTGGCAACCGACGGCGGCCCGTCGCCCGAGTACACTGTGTTTGTTGCTACTGCTTGCACAGCTGCCTGAGGGCAGCGCACTGCACGTCGTGATATCTGCGTACGTATCTGTGACGATCTCCCGTGTTGTCCACTCCATGGGCATTGCTATAACATCCAAGAAACTCCGACTCGGGCTCCATGAGGGTTTCTTCCGTGCTAGAGACGTGCGTCCGGTACTAGCACTCGACAGTGAGTGGAATATCTAGCCCGTCTAAGTTTATCGCTAGCGCTCCCTGTGATATCGCTGCGTCCCACGGTCTGACGAAACAAGAGGATTCATCATCCAAATGTTAAAACGTTAATTTGCGACGCTATCATCAACGTCATCCGCGCCTCTGAAAGTTGCACCTAACTTGGTGTCTCCCTGGTTCACTGGTGTATATCACGCACTGCTGCGGTTGTCGTCGCTCACTCTTTATCCCGATGCGAAACGGTGCATACCATGCTCTACAAGCTTCTGGTCTATTACTCCCTGCAGGAACTCGGGCTATCTATCAGATCATCTCCAAGAATCACCTATAACTATAAGAAGACCACGAAAGAAGCTGTCTGGCCTTTGTTTCTCTTCGACGAAGGAGCTCTTTACTCGACCCCGCGACCTTCGTGCAGCAACGTGTTTTCTAGTCAAGAAGAGAGAGAATCTCTTCTCTCTCTTTCTCTTTCTTCCTATCCACTCCAGCGGTGCTGGGCAGCCTCGAGCTGTTCTCGGTGAAGTTGTCCCGCGTATTCCCGAGCCAGAGGACACGACCTCGTCGCGGGTGGACATCTGTAGGCGATAGCGTTTGACGTCGAGAAGTCGGTCGGAAATAGCAGATCGCCCCCAGCGCAGCGCTCCCTTACTCCGGTCTCCTGGGCCCTTCAAGATGCTAAGAATCCTCGCCGTAAGGTATAAAACCAGCCACCGCCATGTCCCGTCTCATACCCCGCTCTCTCTCCAGTCTCTCCACCAAGTCCCGTACCCTCAGCACCACACGCGCACGCACCATGGCCTCCTCCACCCGCTCCAGCATCTGGGTCCCCCCACCAGAGCCCAAGACCAAGCTCGGTCGCCACCGCCAGCTCTCCCCCCTCGCGGGCGTGCACGTCTCCCCCATCTGCCTCGGCGCCATGAGCATCGGCGACCAGTGGGCAAAATTCGGCATGGGCGCCATGGACAAGGAGAGCAGCTTCAAGCTCCTCGACGCCTTCTACGACGCCGGCGGCAACTTCATCGACACCGCCAGCAACTACCAGGACGAGTCCTCAGAAAAGTTCATCGGCGAGTGGATGGAGCAGCGCGGCATTCGCGACCAGATGGTCATTGCCACCAAGGTAAGCCCCCGGCACTAGTCGGGTCATCTACGGGTGTGCGTGCTGACACCCTACGTAGTACACCACGAACTTCAAGCGCGCGGATGACATCCCCCAGAAGACCTCGTACGTGGGCAACAACATGAAGTCCCTGCACATCTCCGTCGAGGCCTCCCTCAAGAAGCTGCGAACCTCCTACATCGACATCCTCTACGTGCACTGGGTCCGTTTTCTACCCCTGGGCCACGCGTTATCCCTGACTGACGCTCTGTGCACACCAGTGGGACTTCAACACGAGCGTTGAGGAGGTCATGAACGGCCTGCACAACCTCGTCGCCCGCGGGATCGTGCTCTATCTCGTAAGCACCCTTCCCCCGGCTCGTCCATACACCGCCGAGGCTGAATCGCGACCAAACGCCAGGGCATCTCCGACACCCCCGCGTGGGTCGTCTCCAAGGCCAACCTATACGCGCGCATGACGGGCAAGACCCCGTTCTCGATCTACCAGGGCGCATGGAGCATCCTCCAGCGCGACTTTGAGCGCGAGATCATCCCCATGGCGCGCTACGAGGGTGCGCCGCCCGCTCCCCTCTCAATCCCCGCATCGTCGTCGGTTTGCTAATCTCCAGCCCGGCGGCGGCGTTGGCAGGTCTCGCGCTCGCCCCGTGGAACGTCCTCGGTTCCGGCAAGATCCGCACGGACGCGGAGGAGGAGCGGCGGCGCCAGACCGGCGAGAAGGGTGCGTACGCAACACGCGCGGTCCCGCTCTTCGATTGGATTCACTGACCGGGTCTTGGGCGACAGGCCGCATGCTCGCGAGCACCGCGTGGGAGCGCACGCCCGAGCAGCGCAAGGTGTGTCTCGCGCTCGAGGAAGTCGCCGCGCAGGTCGGCGCGAAGAGCATCACATCCGGTACGCCCCCTTCCCCTCCCCCACCGTTCTTCGTTCCCGTGTGCCCCCGCCGCTGAGACCCGCTGCGCTCGGCAGTGGCGATCGCGTACGTGATGCAGAAGACACCGTACGTGTTCCCGATCGTCGGCGGGCGCAAGGTCGAGCACCTCATGGACAACATCGAGGCGCTCAGCATCGCGCTCTCCCCCGAGCAGATCGCGCACCTCGAGGGCGTGCTCCCCTTCGAGGTCGGGTTCCCGCACACCATGAGCGTGAGTCGCCTCCCACGTTGTGTGCGATCGTGTTGTGCTGATTGGGGTGTGTGCGACAGGGTAACGGGACGTCCAATAACTACCTGTTCAGCGCCGCCGGCCACTTCGACAAGTGGCCTGTCCAGCAGGCGATCCGGCCCAGCGACTAATTGATCGCTCCCTATCCTTATGTCGTGAGCGCGGTGTTGTCGTCCGGTTGGACTGCAGCGCGCAGTGGTTGGACGGGGATGTAGTATGATAATATCTTGAGCGTTCAGGAGAAGTGAATAGCATGTATTCTTCGCTGTGTTTATCTGCTGGCTCAACGTGATTGAGAGAGTACTGTCCACAACTCGACTGTGGCTGCTGCGAACTTCAGAGAACTTTCGGAGCTCCACCTTAAGCTTCCGATAGAAACTGAGAGATGCCAAAAAAATATCAATATCGGACTTTAGCACCCAAGTTCTGTGAGGGTGCTCCAAGCACTCGTACACTGGAGGTCCCCTCCGTCTCAAAGATGGGCTCTTCGTAAAGCTCTGGTCCCGTCCAACTCCGAGAAAGTCCCCCGGAGTGTATGTCCAAGGGATAGGCAGCGCTAAAGAGAGCTGGTTTTATATTACCCGTTCCGTGATACTTTGTGGTCATCTCCTCGACTCGTCACCATCCTGTAGAGTAGATCTTTCTGGGCGGTTAGTCAGTCAGCGGGCGAAGGCGGCGGGGAGGCGTCGAGCGGTGCAGTGGCGTCTATTCCGACGCTTCATCGTGTTCTCTTGATCTATCGACCATCGACGCGCTCGAGCCGCGCGACCGTCGACAGACCAAAGTTCTCACGGTATGTTGCACCGTCGCATTGATGGCGGTACTCCAGGTGAAGCCACGAGACGCAGATGTGTCCGCATTTGGGGCGACACATGCCATATCGAGAAGGAGAGGATGAATGGCCGCAGCTTGCTCGACCAGCCTCGGAGACACGCGGACGAACCCTCACTGAGGACCCGTTCGGTTTCCCGGTGTGGGCAAACCGGGCTCGGTTTGGTGCTAGGTAGGCTTGGGTCTCGGAACCCGACTCAAAACCGGATCTCGCATTTTGGCAGGCAAACCTAAACCGAAACCGGGCCCTAAGCTGGTAATGGCTCAAACAATAATTGTGCTTGAATAACAGTTATTAGCATACAGTTTGAGTACGGACATTGCGCGGCTTACTCGGTGCATTCGGCGTGCCAGAGTACCACTCTCCCAATTTTGTTGCCTTCGCTGTGGGCAAAAGGTGCGCCGTCGCACGAGCACAGACGGACAGGACGGTCGAATGCTTCTTTACCGCTGTCCTCGCTGGCGCTGACGGCGGTGGAGTGCGCATGGAGAGTGGCCTGATAAACGCTGACGAATGGAGCGCGACAAGGAGCACGCTGTGGGGCATGTCCCGTGCATTATTGTCTGAGCGGTGAGCGGCCGCCGTTGGGTGACTGTCTTACCTAGCTCAAGACGAAGGTAACACCAACACACGATATCTTGAGCATAACATGGTCAGCGAGCATGCCGTGAATCATAGTCCCCTCATACACGAAGTGAATTCACGAACAAGCCGCTGCATTCCCGAGCCAGAAGAAATGCTGGATCACAACGTCATTACTCCGGTCTGAGATAGCACAAGTGAACTCCAGGCGGCGCCGCTGACGTATGGCCCGGTGACAGGGTATCTGGAATGCGCCCGCGTGGGTAGTCGTTAAGGCGAACGCGTACGCGCGTACGGCGGGCAAGACGCCGTTCGCAATATACCAGGGCGGGTGGAGCGTCCTCCAGCGCGACCTTGAGCGCGAGATTATACCTATGGCGCGTTCAGAAGGTGCACCTTATTACTAGTCAATTCCAAGCCGTGCATCTAAAAATAGCCACTGAAGGGCTCGCGCTGGTGCCATTCCATGTGCTGGGTGCCGGGAAGATACGCACGGATGCCGAGGAGTAGAAGCGGCGCGAGAGCGGGGAAAAAGGTGAGTTTTGTCAAATTGACCATGTTCACCTTGACACTGGTAGAACTTAATAATTGCATGACTCCATACTAACAGGCCGCACGATCGTGAGTGAGCAATGGGAGCGTACACCGGAGCAACGCAAGATGTGTCAGGCACTCGAGGAAGTCGCCGCCCAGGTCGGCACGAAAAGTATCACTTCGGGTAAGGCCCATCCGTCCCGCGCAGATGAACTTGATCCAGACCATCGATGAGCTGCAGTCGCAATTGCGTACGCGATGCAGAAAGTACCTTATGTCTTCCCGATCGTCGGCGGACGCAAGGTCGAGCACCTAATGGAAAACATCGAAGCCTTGAGCATCTCGCTCTCGCCTGAGCAAATCGCATACCTGGAAGGCATCCTCCCCTTCGAGCCCGGATTTCCATATACCACGATCGTGAGCACATCATTTGCTCGTCCCTTCGTGCGTTAACTGGCCTGGGCAGGGCGACGGGACTGGGTACGGCAACCTCTTCAGCTGGGCCGGCCACTTCGACCCATGGCCCGTCCAACAAGCTATCCGGCCAGCCAATTAACCACTTAGGGACCAGAAGATCCAGATATACCCCATCGCAAACGGGTTTGTTGCAAGCCCAAGGAAGAGCTGAACATCACGACGTTCACGTAAATAGATGTCGAGACGCTTTGCAAATTGTATGTTCCACGCTAGCGATGATGGTTCAGGACACGACAAGGTGCCTTAGACTGAACGCAGCAGTGTGAAGTCGGCTAGAACGCTTCAGTCCTCACAGCGGTAGGTGGAGGCTCAGTAGTAGCTGCCGTGATAGTGTGATCGCCGCAGGTGAGTAAGAGCTCGTTGAATCATGTCAGTGAGAATATCTGTTGGCGGGAGCTATGAGCGTGACCGTTCGAGCACCGAGCTGAGGGATTTGGAGAGATTCGGACGCAGTAGACAAAACAGAGGTTGAGGGAGGTCAACAATCCGAAAGTCCGCCTACGTAGTACGGGCCATGACCATACCCTCGAGGAGGCCGTGAAACGAACGAACGGCGACGAAGAGGGGGTAACCGCGCGCAAAGAGGACGGACAACAGGCGTGGTGTCACCTGGTAGCCTCCGTGACAGAGAACCCAAAGCTTGTGCGTCGAATACAAGTACTCGGGTCTGGCTTCTGATCTTGAGGCTGCTTCCAGGTGCCCAAAATGGCTATGCCACATCCGTGCACACCGTCGCGGCGACGGCATTAAGGTATCTTACAAGGGTCATTGTCGCAGCCAAAGAGTCCTGTACCGGAGAAAGCCGAGACCGGAGGATGCCCCCGAGGTCGTTAATTGGGCTTCGGAGCAACGATGCGGACGTTTGGGACAGAGAGGCTCGATCTTCAAACTCAAAGTGAAGGCCTCTTGCTTTGCCTGGTCATGCATTGACAAGTACCGACCAAAAATCCCTGGTCTGACCCGCGTCAAAGTTTAATCTACCATTGCCCGGGGATACAGCGACCTCGTTTGACTCGGGTCATGACCAGGTCCGACCAAGGGCAGAACGTCATTGCGCTCATGGCTATTAACTGGGTAAGTCGACCTGCGGTAATGAAATGGGTTCCCGCCACTCTCTAGGTTGCAGCATTATTTACGCGGGTCTTGGTCGTCGTCCAAGGCAAAATGAATGATGTCAGTTCAAAGATCGACGAGCTATAAAGCGTGCCTATATCTGGTCACGTCTCTGCAGAGTCCTCTGTTATACCAAGTATTGACTCACCAGTATCATGGCCAACTTCTGGGCCCCTCCTTCCGAGCCGCCAACCAGGCTTGGCCGCCATCGTCAGCTCTCCCCACTAGCGGGTGTCCATGTGTCTCCGTTCTGCCTCGGCGGCCTGACCATTGGAGACCAGTGGGGACAATTTGGCATGGGCGAAACGTCCAAAGAAGGCAGCTTCAAGCTCCTCGACGCATTCTACGAGGCTGGCGGGAACTTCATCGACACTGGGAACAGCTACCAGGATGAGACGTCGGAGAAGTTCATCGGGGAGTGGATGGAGAAGCGAGGGAACCGTGACCAAATGGTCATTGCCACCAAGGTGCGTCATTTCAGAGATGTCTGTCATCTGTGATTTTGCCTTCCCGCGACGCGTTGTCCCTGGCGCTACTCAAGAATATCATTCTCTGGAGTTCGTGATAACTTCAACTAACATATCACACAGTACACCACCAATTTCAAGCGCGCCGAAAACTTACCCCAGAAGACGTCGTATTTGGGCAACAACGTGAAGTCGATGCACATCTCGGTGGAAGCATCCTTGAAGAAACTGCGCACGTCGTACATCGACATTCTGTACGTGCATTGGGTGCGTAAATCTTAGCGTTCCGCTTGGAGTCGGCGTTGATTGGACGTGCATTCTGTGCTGTGCATGACAGTGGGACTTCAACACGAGCGTAGAGGAAGTCATGAACGGCCTGCATTACCTTGTCGTGCGAGGGCTCGTGCTATACCTCGTGAGTACACCTGTTCGTATCCAGCACTCACGCGATTCATGTGCCGTCCTTGCTAGGGTATCTCGGACACACCGGCGTGGGTCGTCGCCAAGGCGAACACGTATGCACGCACGTCAGGCAAGACGCCATTCGTGATCTACCAGGGCGGATGGAGCATTCTGCAGCGCGACTTCGAGCGCGAGATCATCCCCATGGCGCGTTCTGAGGGTGAGTTGAAATGACGTCTGGTTACGTACTACCGTTGAACAGCGACGACGGCAGGTCTTGCGCTGGCACCGTTCGGTGTGATGGGTGCGGGGAGGATCCGTACGGATGTTGAGGAACAGAAACGGCGTGAAACTGGGGAAAACGGTGCGTCATAAGTAATCTTTCCTTGCAACCCTCGAAAGAGACGATTGTATGCTATAGGGCGCACGTTCGCGAGCAACGAATGGGAGCGGACACCCGAGCAGCGCAAGGTTTGCCAAGCGCTGGAGGAAGTCGCCAGCCAGGTCGGCGCAAAGAGCATCACCTCAGGTATGCCCTGCGCTGGCTGAAACGCTGCACTCATAACAACCGAACATAGTGGCGATCGCATATGTGATGCAGAAGGCGCCATACGTATTCCCGCTCATCGGCGCGCGCAAGGTTGAGCAACTGAAGGAAAACATCGAGGCACTGAGCATCGCACTCTCGGCAGAGCAAATCGTGTACCTCGAAAATATCATTCCCTTCCAGGCTGGCTTCCCACACGGTATGGTAGTAAGTTTCCACCCCCGCTCTATATCAACGCGTGGCTAAAAGGAGGTGGGCAGGGCGATGGGACAAAGAATAGCAACGTCTTCAACATGGCGGGTCACTTCGATAGAGTTCCTGTCCAACAGGCCATCCGACCGACCAAGTGAAAGGACGCAGGTTGCAATCTTGGCATAGTAGTTATAATGGGGAAAGGGATAAGACAGATGGCCTCCGTGTACGTACCATATCGATAACAATGACTGAGTAGAGGAAAATCAATGTCTTATGTAATGTGGTAATGTTCCTGCGTTGCGGGTGGAACACACTATTCAAGACGACGAAATCGTGACTGAGGTTCAGGCTGAGCGCTGAGCGCGCAGAAGGTAACTTAAGAGGAGAGGAACACGCAGCTGCAGATAGGGCAAGGTTGTGGATGAGTCGTGGTCAGACCGAGAGCGCTCACTTGGCCGCAAGTATGCTGACGGCCGCTGTCACAGTGACAGACTTGCTGCATTTGGTCCGACACATACCATATCAGGTAATTTTACTCAGGCTGCTGGACAGCATCTGTCTTTTTTGGAGCTCCTTCGCCCAGGTAGTGACTATCTACACTGTATATAATAAGTATGCATGAGATACAACGTAGCGTGCCAGAGAAGAAGGTATAACTGCAAGTTACAGGGTAAGAATATGACATGCCGTGCCACGAAACGAGTCCTCGCAGAATCGAGGAAGAAGTTAGATAAGTGTACAAAGAATCTCATAGAGTCATCTGAATAATCGATAAAATGTGTCTTTAGTGTAAAACGTATAACCAATCACGTTCAAAAGTGAATGTGTAGCCGACCAAACTCCCAACGACGCCTCAAGGACGGGGACTCCGCGGCGAGGCGGCGTCAGAGAACGTACGAGACCGGACTGACTCCGCCAGTCTCGTAACAAGATCTATTCACACAACGATTAGTCGCCGTATGTGAATACAAAAGTTCACTCACTAGTAGTGGTATCGAATACGATGTTTAGGCCGAGCTTGGACTTGGAACGATGTTTCTGGGACAGAGGAGGGTTCTGAGTATTCGCGTCTTCATCCACTGTAGATGGACCAGGACTCGGAGCACTGTGCACTCGTTCTATGTCAGGCTGCGGGGAAGAAGTATCACGATCAGCGATCGATGCCTGTGCAGCAATGTCCTCCTGAGTCACTTCAAGAGATGGATGAATAGAGTTAGGCAGAGGAGTTACGGGAGGTGATTCGATAGAGTCCAGGATACTTGGCGGGAGCTGTGGAGGAGGACTGCTGATTCGCCTCTCGGGACTAGGACTAAACTTCCTCCTTGACGATGAGTGTCTCTTCAGCCTTGTATACGGTCCGGACTGAAGGAAGTCACGCCGTCCCACCAGCCTGAACAACGGGTAATTGCGTGTTTGCGAATCCTTTGTAAAGCCCTGCTGGAGGAACTCGCCTTCCCCCACATTTGCAGTTGTCCGCCACTCCAGGTCGTCCTTTGCAAAAGCAGAGTCGGTGCTTTCGGATGAATAGAGGCCAAGATTGAAGGGTCTTTCCTGCTTGGAGACGCAGAGGCGCGCAAACGACGGGCAGATGTACGATTCGGTTACAACCACTCGATCCTTCCAAGTGGGCTCATTATAGAGGAGGTAGGACAGCTGTTGGATGGAAGAGAGACGATGGATCTCAGGCTTCACCATTGCTAGGAGGGCGCCACGACTTCCGGAAACCTTGAAACATTTTTTCAGGCCATCGAAGTCATCAGGGATTCTGAGCGATTAATAACAACAGGTGAACAACACTTGAGGGACACGACAATACGGCGCGTATTACACACCCTGGAGTCTTGCTCCTGCCATCTTGCTTTTCAGACAAAGTATGCGACTTAATGAACATCACCCCTGCATCGGCACTCTGGCGCAACGTGATGCCGAGTGCTTGAGCGAGCCCATCCTCAAAAATGTTCCCCTCTCTAGTGAACTGGTCGTCGTCGTTCAACTTGCCGTAGTCACCGAGCTGAAGCGAGGTGAAGATTCCAGTCAGGTCTCGACAGGAAGACATGGCATAACAGCACAGATGCCCAGTGAAGACTCACTTCAATCACATTGCGAGGGTCCCAGCTTGCAAAGAGATTGCATGAATCGAACATCATGGCCACATACCCACGCTCCCCGCTTGGGAGCGAGCGGCTCATCATAGACGATATGAATGAGGTTGGATCCATGGTGAAATTCAAGGATTATGAGCGCAGGAGTACTGTTATCGATATGGATGGGAGGAAGAAAAGAAGAAGTCTGAGTGGCGCCAAGCATGCGCCTGCAGCACTATAGTACTGTATAGCCACGTGGCTTGCCCATGCACTTCGGCTGCGCTTTCCGATAGGACCCCCGCGAATCCACTGAGAGCTCCGATGCACCCATCCCCGAAAAATGGGCGGCCGGAGGCAAAATGTTAGATCTCCCGAAAATGGCGAAAAAGACGTCGAAAGTTGCGTGCGAAACACCCCGAAATGTGACCCTCCAACCTGAGGTTAGGTCCAGAACCCCCGAAAACTGAGGTTGGCTGGCGGATCTTTCAGGTTTCGGAGGATGGGCCTAAAGTTTAGCTATATGTGGTGGTTTGGGAGGAAAGTTTTAGTTGGCTCACAAAAGCTTGGGTTTTGCGCAGGAAGCGAAATTTTTGTTCCGCAGGCTGTTGAACGTAATTCTAGGTGGCCGAATGTTCGATCCCACGTACCCCCGAAAACGGCCGACCCGCCGCCAGGTTGTGTGCAAACCCCCGAAACTGGGTGGTCGGCCACCCCCGAGAAATGTCGTCGCCGGGATCGGAGCTCTTAGTTGATTCGCGGGGGTCCTTTTCCGATGCGGCACTGTTAGAGGTGTTGACTCACCGCTTTGTGGATAATTTCCTTGGCTTTAACCTTGGTGTAGCAAATCCGGCCAGCTATACCGCAACAGGTGCTCGGCAAATAGTGGGGACCAGCATGCTTAAGCACCAGAATGCTCGCAGAAGTCAGGATCAGGACGATCAAATCGGACGAAATAAAGACTACATAGACAGGTTTTCTTCCTCGGAGAGCAAGCACGCATCTTCTGCAGTCCGTCCTGCACGGATATTTATGATTGTTTGTTCCTGTTGATAACTGTTATCTCTCCCTCCAAGTTGAACATTTGTTGATTGCACTTGGGTTTTGCACGCTCGGTCTGGTTTCTGAAAGACCATGGTACATTCTAGCACATTCAGTGATGGTTCGAGTTGCCAGACCACCCAAAAAATCATACCCATGCCCACAGGAATCATAGCTGGTGACCACTCTCTTCAATCACATGCACAGCTGACCCACATTGATGACTGTTTTGCAACAGATGGGAGGTTTCCATAACATATCAGACCCCTCAGGATGTATTCTCTATGTGTGTAGATATATCTTCCAATGTAAAAACTTACCCAGCCCTGACAACTTTTGCATGAATTGTATCTGGCAACCACTGTGTTCAGTCATGCAGCTCAGCTCAGGTCCTCACAGTGCATGATTCATGCACTCTGCCACCTTCCAGTGTGCGAGCACCAAGATCTCTGCGATGATCAGTATGGCCTCATCTGGGCAGCCCGTCACCACTTTCATGTGCTGATGAGTGCACATCTGACACAAACACCTAAACCCAACTAAAGTAAGGGAGATTCGTGTGTGAGAGAGAAGGGTGATGCAAGTTGGACTCCCTACACTGCCAGACACTGGATCTGTAGTTTTTGAGAGGAAATTGAGAACTGCGAATTTTCAGTGGAAAATACCAGAGGTTATCCGGAGGTCAACAAGACTTTTGTTAACAATTATAATTTGGAATGTTGAAATCCTCCATCAGGTCTGCCACGGCCTAGGGCAGATCACATGATGTAGAGACTTAGGACTTTTGAGACAGTATGTGATATCAAAAGTATTGTTGTACAAGGGAGCTACTATTATGTGGGGAAAGTTGTGAAATTCAAAAAATCAGCAACATTGTTGTCACTGCTTTCACACTCAATAAGTAAATCAGATAAAATTGTAGAATGCTACTACACCAGTAGATGTGTTCCACCAAGCCAGGGGTTCAGGTGTTGTGAGATTGCTAAATGAGACATCAAATACCACTTTTGCAACCACTGTATGTGTACTGACATCAAAGATCTCTCTTGATAATGAGAATGACTGACCCAAGTGATGTTTGGGTCATAGCAATATGCCCTACAGCACTGTGTTCCACGATTCTAATAAGTGTTTTGGACAATCAGGCATGCTTCAGCCTGCATTTTGTAACATTCCTGATGAAAAGTGTGATGATGTATAGCCCGATATGGCAGCGGCATGAGCGCTTCATCTGCAAGATGAGCGTGACATCTGTGTGACAAAATAAGCAACACCACCCCCCATCAATACCCACCACCAGCATCTTGCTGTCTCTCCCTTCTCACCATGAGAACATGTAAAAAAAATTGCAAACTGTAATGTGGAAGTGCATGCATTGGCCCATGTAAAAATAAAAACAAAGCATCCAGGAATATGGAAGAGGAAGCCCGAGCACTTAAAGATCGGTAACTCCTTGTAACGGGTCGGTTCTGATGACTGTTACTCATTATGAACTGCTTACTATTTACATAAGCAAGTTGCTTTTAATCCTTTACACTCACCATCTAGCTGTTCTTACTCAGTCTTAGCTTACTCTGACTATATATTGAGTCCACTGTAGCCCTGGTGAGCCTAAGGATCTAGGCTGCTTACACTCCCCCCTCATGATAGTATGGCATTAAGAAACCCTCAGTGTATGTGTGATAAAAATGACCAGCACTCAATTCTTACTGGCTAAATTTCCTTTCCAGTTCTGACAGACGAGGATGGTGTCTTGGATAAAACATAACCCAAAACAAAATCCTCCTGAGGTCACTGGACTTGAACAAAGTCAGGAAATATTCCTCAGTGTATTCGATGTAGTTAATCACTTGGTTAACTGGTAGTAATCAAGTGTGAGAGAGTGTGTGTGAGTAAGAGGGAAAGACTGTCTTGTAATAAGACAGAGAGAATGACCGAGTAATAAGTGACCGAGTTAACAGATGACTGATTAACAAATGACCGAGTTATGACTTGCTTGATGCCTAGGATGCTATACCTGAATAACACTGTATTCAGGTAAGTAAGAGCTTGAGTATATACCAACTAGTGACTACTGGGGTGAGAAGAATGCTCTGTAATGTAAGAGCAACAATTTTCCTCTGGAGGTGAGAAGAATGTCCTATACTTTTAGGACAACAGGTTTCCTCTGGAAGTCTAAGTGGGCTTCCAGGGTTTATATACTAAAGAAGGTGGGAAAATCTAAATAATAGAAAAGAGCCTTCAATAGAAATAACAATAGAAAATGTGATAATAGGAGTCTGAGTCATAACAATAAGAAATGACTCTGGATAAAACAAAAGAGAGTGGGGGATAGTAAAAACAATAAAGACAATAGAAACCTACCTCGCTATTGTCCTTCTAAGTGTCAGACATTAGTCAGCAAAAATGACCAAGCACTTCAGTGACTAAAACAGACAGTGCAAGCAAGCAGTGGTAAATACTTGAGCATAATACATGGACGTGCGTGAGTGGAGGGGTTGAGCAAGTGTGCTAGCAAGTACAAAGAAACTTCCTCATCAATTCTAGACCCGCAATGTTCCCTTCCCTCTTAATTCCTCAGCATTGACTTCTTCCTGATCTCTAGCGCATGTGAAGTCCAACTCATAAGCTTCACCATAAAGATGAGCTCTGACACATGCAGCCTTAGCAGCTTTGGCCTTGGCTTTCATCGTCTTATTGTTGGCCTTGGCCTTGGATCGCTCCGCTTGCCAAGCTCAATATCTAGAGTATTGCGTTAGTTATGCGAGTTTTATATTGAAACACATTACACATCTGTCAGTTCCCTCACCAAAAGGCACCCCATTTTATTTTGCCACTCTCTTCTCATTATTGCACCATATTCTCTGACATTCATACAGCTTTGATAGCTGTAGTATAAAGAGCCCCCACTTGTAGCGTAGAGGGCAGTGTTTTTTTGTTCAATTAATGAGCCTTTAAAACTGTGACATTATAGAATGCTTCATGTGACTCCATGTCTTCCAAAAGGAGTAGCTGTCATCACATATTTTTCACAGCCCAGACTTCATTTGAAAACATTGCTTTGCTTTTATCTGCTGGTCTCTGTCTGAATTTCTTCTGATCTGATCACCCCAAACTTTCGACTCAACCATTATCTCACTCTCAGATAACCTCTCTTATCTGTACTTACTACTCGCTGCCATTGACATCTGACAGCCATGTCTCACCATTACAACTTGTGCTCTCGCTCTGAGGCCCGTCAGTTGGTTTCTCCTCTCTGATTCCAGGTAAGTACCAAAATTCCCCTGAAGTTGAGATGTCAATGGCAGCCATGTCTCACCATTACAACTTGTGCTCTCGCCCTAAGGCCCGTCAGTTGGTTTCTCCTCTCTGATTTCAGGTAAGTACCAAAATTCCCCTAAAGTTGAGAGCATTGATGCTGTACTTAGTGGAAGACCATCTCCAGGCACTGTGAGTGACTGCTCTGCATCTTCCGCTGTAAGGCCTGGTGTGTCATACAGCCAGGCCATGATGGTGATCTCCCTCCCCCTTAACAAGCTTGGGGGAGTTGTGTTATGCTGGGGCATACCACTAAGTCCAAGGTTCATCGAGCACATACGAAGTCAATGACTAAGTACTGCGAGTCAAGAGCTGAGGCCATCACACCAGGACTGAGTGATAAGTCTGTGTATTGTGAGGTAAAGGTAACCAGATCAAGACTGGCATTTCAGTTGATGATCTCTGTCTTATATACTAGTAGCACATGATGAGTAAGACATACCAGTAATGGCTGAGTAAAGTGAGTACCCGCACAGTGAGGGACGAGTCAGTAAGTACCTAGACTATGATGTCATGGTCTAGTAATGTCCAGATTGAGTTGAGAGATGTCTGGACTCAGAGTCTCGAGATGGTATATGTAAAAGTACAATGCATTGTAACATAAGCCCCTTCCTATGCCGCCTTTACCCTCAAAGGTGAATTCTATAATTCTCTGAGCTCCGATGGTCCTGGGGTATCCATTGGGAAGTTCTCAGTATACAGAGAACCTGTCCCATTAAAGTTGTTGAAATGAGGATCTTGTTGAGGTCGAGATGGTACACCAGGTCCTGAGGATTATAATGGACATAGAAATCGTTATGCATAATACAAGATTCCAGGGAATGACCGGGTGCTTGCTTTCCACAGAAGTAGCAACATACATTGCTTGTGAGGAGTGCTGGGCATGTGTTCAGGTCATGGGATGCAGGGATGATCAGCAATAAAAGCACATGGAGTGAGAGCATCAATACTTTAGATGGTCATTGAAGGGACATCTAGCGTGCTGAGGTGGGAATCATATCTGCGAAGTGGTCTCACATTTCGGAGATACCATGAGATGCTACACCACAGACCTTACTCTGACACCAATTGGAAGCTGGTTATCAGAGGAGGGAATGCTACAAGCCCAAATGCTACTTTCAACTCCTCAACTACGATCTGTAATCGTCTCAAAGTACCATCTGCCAACTCGCACCTACCGGTGATTCCGCGCATGCAGTCTGCGGGCCGCATCATGCAGCATCTCAACCCGAAGGTGCAAGGTTCCTGATGGCGATAAAAACTAAGGAAGGTGATTTCAGGGAAATAGGGATAGGACGACTGCGCACCAATGTCAGGGAGACCACCTGGTGGGTGACCCAAACCAAAGTCCTCGCAGACAGTGGGGTCATCGTACAGAACGTGGGCAATCAAACTATGAGGAATGACAGCAAGAAGGTGGTTAGCAATCTGAGGGATCATCCGATGACCGCCTTCCATAGTGCGAGCTGTTGCAAGATGTATTTCCACTTGGGCGAGAACAGGAATATCGCGCAGAAGGGGTAGGATAATCCTCACGCTGACAGCCTCAGACTGGGCCTGGACCATGAATACCTGAGAGATTTGTGACAATTGGGCAGCAAAGAAAAATATACTTGCAGGAGGATCACCAGCAGGATGTGCATCCAGACCGCCCATGCTTTCCACAGGATTGGGTCGAAGGGCTCAGTAAAGACCTCAATGTGAAGAAGAGCTTCCACGAGGGTGTATTTGTAAGGATGATGCTGGCATCCATGGATGGGAGATTGAGTTCAGGATGGGAGATATGCCTCTGAGGCAGGCGGGTGCTTATTAGGCGCTCAGGTGGGCCTGGTGATGGACTACCCCTCAGATTGAGTAGGAGCATGAGCGGACAGGATTGCGAGATATGGCGTGATGGGCAGTGATTCAGCAGAGTGATTGTTAAGCAGATGCAGGCAGTATCGGGAGGGCAGCAAAGGTCAGGACCAGTTTAAGTATGATGGCAGGGGAGGAGGTCGGGGTAGAACTCACCGTCCTGGAAGGTACGCTTGTGAAAGCCTCATTCACATCCCCATCCCATCCAGTTAGTGCGTCTTTGGGCAGTCTTGCATTTTGTGCGTTTCTGGGCAGTCTTGCATTTTCTGCATTTCAAAATTTTCCTTAAAGCAGTGCGATTTTACTTTGATGTGTTTTCAGCGATTATTGCGATTACAAAGATTTTCCTAGCTATGCTTTCGGGCTACCCACCTCATACCTCTGGGATAGACTCTTCTCCTGCATTGCATCTCAGACCCCACACGGACTTGATTCTGCTCGTACTCCACCTTTCTGGCTTGCGATGGAACTACAATCTCGTCATTGTACGCTGATATGCTCCCTGCAACTCTGGCCTCTGAAAACACAATTTTCCAGTGATCTCTCAGACCTCACCACTCTATACTTTAGTCTCCGAGATACATCTGACTCTTTAGTAATATTCTGCGAACTTTTGTGACTTCGCACAACCTCTCATTCGACTTCGCTTGACTCCTCGCAACCTCTCATCGAGATTTGACATTATTTCGTCACTCATACATCACTCTTGTGTCTCCTCGCTGTTGGATACCACTTACCCATTGCCCTTTGGTCTCATCCTATGTGCTCTGGTCGATTTTCTTTCAAGTCCGTACTTCCCAGACATCGCGCCGACTCGCTGATTCATCGCACCGACTTATCGGTGTCACTCGACAGTTGTGCCCTCTTGTTTTGCAAATCCCATGCCCTTTATCATTCACTCTTCCCCTTCAAGACTCCTACCTTCGTGCTGGACCGGAGATGCCATTTGAGTGTTCCATGTGGTTCAGGACAAGTAGCATATGTTTTCTGTCAATTTCCCTCTACTTTACTGTTCTTCTCCATCGCTAACATACGACATTCACCTCTTCACTCACTTTACTACTTTTCCATTGGTCCTAGACCATTGCGACTCTTTCCGATGTCAGGATCCATCATCCGACATTTTGTGACTTCTGCATTTTCTCTCCCCTTTCCCCCTCTATAAATACCTGCTGTATCTAAGTCGATTATCATTGAAGACCAGTAGGAGACTTCCCCCTTCACTTCAGATCACTGAGAAACTGTGTTTACTGCGATAGCGACTTTGAACTGTGATATACTCCAATACATCATAGCGAGATAGTGACACTGCGACATAGCACGACTGCAATACTTCGAGACTGCATACTGCAACTACGATAGTGAACTGCGATACTGCGATAGTGACATAGCAAGATAGTGTTATACCACCTGCATTAGTCTTACTCTGACTTTTGTGTTAGACTGACTGCGACTTTGTCGAGATGGCAAATACTGCATTTCCCTATAGCGTTCTACCTCCACAGATAGTTCCCTTCACCTTTGCGATTTAGTTCATCTTCACCTATGAGTTTGATGATCACATTGCAACTTTAGCTTCCCACTCTCCGGCTTTTGCTACTTTGTCGTAGATTGTTGCTTGACTTCATGTTTACATTGCGAGTCCTCGTTCTTTTACAGGTTGCATCCCCCTTAGGCTTTAGTCAAGGTTCTGGGACCCACTTGCATCATTTTACAGTTGCATCGCCCTTCTCTCTCACACAGGTCACCCTTCTTGTTTTTCTAGTTGGGTTTAGGTGTTTGTGTCAAGTGTGCACTCATCAACGTGCCACAAAAATGACATTTAGGGTGACAGCGAATGTGAGTGACATATGCAGGAATAGTTTGTTGGGGTTTGATAAGAGCTGCAGAGTAAGCCAGTGCCAATCAGGCAGGGACACAGGTCTACCTTTGTAGTACAAAGGCCTGACCCTGACTATACATGCAGGTACATGGACCTGCATATAGTACAGGACCATGAGGGTCACAGGTTTATGAAAGATGAACCTGTACTATGACCTGTACTATTACTATGTATGTACCTATGCATAGTTTACTACACATCCTAGACATGTCTTCAAGTAAAGTAGTACTTAAGAGCAAAGTTTAACATGCAAAGTTTAAGTTTAAGTAGCTCTCTTACAGAATATACGCACTTAACATTTGTGTTTCAATTTATATAGTTTAATTTAAGTCTCACCCATATGTTTATAAAAACTCTGCAGGTTTATATAGTTGGATCTCATGTACCTGTACTATGTGTACAGGTTTCACCGGTCCAACAAACTCATACCTGGACTATAACCTTTACTATAACTATACTTGGACCTTCCTATAGTTTACTACACTACTATGTTCCTGCCTAGTGCCAATGAAACCTCTTCAGTTTCACATGAGATTAGTGCAGAGCAAGGGTATGGATAACCCTCAAGGGTCAAGGGTAAGGGTATCGGAGGGTAAGAGTAGGGGTATGGATTTTCCAACCCTTGTACCCTTGGAGGGTATCACTACCTATAGTATATATGATGTAGATAGTAACTACAGGGTGAATATAGAGTATGTACAGTCTGAGTACAACTTAAATCATGTTTACAGAAGCTTTTAAAATAAAAGAAGAGGGGTACAAACCTCAGACTTACATCAGGAAAACCCAACTTTTCCTTAGGGACTTATTTAGACTTTTGGGTCTGGCAACCCTTATTTAAGTCTATAAGTGTTCAAATAAGTCTCAATAAGTTGAATTTCAGACACTCAGGGAATATGCCTTAGGCCCTTTTTGTCCTTATGTCCTTAAATAAGGACTATAAGTCCATCTAATCGACACACACCTGATAAGAGACTCGAAAGATCTGCGCGCTCTGTACTGCCCGTGTATAGCCAGAACGGCCGTCCTCGCGAACGAGGATAGGCCACCAAAATAATACATTCCTGCCGAGACGTCGTGTAGGGCATTCAGCACCGCTTTCCACTGCGTCGTGTATGGCAGCCGGTAGTACAGTAGAAAACTGGTAGGTACAAGTAGAGTGGAGTGCAAGATACAAATACAGGGCTACAGGATGCTCAGAAGTAGAAGATACAAATGGCAATAGTGAGATAGGAGAGTGAGTGAACAAGAAGCGAAGAGAGGGAGGGTAAGGGATGGGTGGGTGCTCGGAAAAGATGCTAGCAGGAGGAAGAGATGTCAGTAAGAGATGAGGTGCGCTGCACATGAATAGACAGACCTAGCAGGACGGAGATGCTGGAAGAGAGGAGGTGAAGTGACCCCCCTAACTTGCACTCCTACCTGAGCGATGGGGGGGTCTGACCCGAGAAGCACCCTCCGCCACAACAGTGGCAGTGCACTCGAGACCCCTGTCAGTCTGTGGAGCATCTGCTGGACTCATCTCGCGCTGCGAGGAAAACCGGGGCACGCGAATGCCATTGGAAGATCCAGACGCTGTCCGGAAAGAGTTATGCCATGGCACAGTGCTGATTAGACTCGTTAAAAGTTTCTCTAAACCCGACTAATCGACACACACCTGATAAGAGACTCGAAAGATCTGCGCGCTCTGTACTGCCCGTGTATAGCCAGAATGGCCGTCCTCGCGAACGAGGATAGGCCACCAAAATAATACATTCCTGCCGAGACATCGTGTAGAGCGTTTGGCGCCGCTTTCCGCTGCGTCGTGTATGGCAGCCGGTAACAACCCGTATTGGAAGGTGGTAGGTGGGGAGGTTGGTGGTGTGAGGGAAAACAGAGGGAGGCTATACACGCGCTGCAGAGCTGTGCAATAGTGCTTGGAGGACAACTGGATTCTTTCGAATGTAAATTTTAAAGGCCTCAGAGGTCCAGCATCCGAGTGCTTGGATGCAGTCGTCTGGCCAACTGGCAGCAGCAAAAAATGTAGCACCTCCAGCTCGAAGGGAATGGCCCACGATGTTGTCATGGATAAGAGCGCGGAGGCAATAGAGAAACCAGGAGCGAGGGGGGGGGTTGCCAGATGAAGTGAGGAAGAAAGTGGGGTGAAACGGAAATCAATTATCGCGGGAGATTAGGTAATCAGCAAAAGGTCAGAATGGATTAAGCACATCATTGCGAGCTGCAATGATAACAGTGCTGCTGCAAAAGAGATGGTCAGCTTTATGGGAGGGCAAGATGTATCCAAAGCCATCCATATAGAAGGTGACGGACGAGCAGCGAATGAGTTTCCGACTGTTGCGCAAATGTGCACGGTCCGGCAGGTAAGCTCACCGAGTCGATGTAGCACAAAGAATCCACATAAGAGGATCGTGCGGAAGAGGAGGTTATCGTGTGAGGTGGGAGAGTAATGAGAAAGAAGGGCATGTAGATCCTCGAGTTCGAGGGGGCGCTTACAGTGTGGTGGGGAGTTAAACATTTTCTTGCATCCGGCAAGAGTGCGAGCTACGAGATGTCCCTTGCGGACAGTATGGATGTTAGGGAAGAGGTGCTCTAACTGATTGCAGATGCCGGAGAGATAAGAGTCGACAGAATCTGGTTGGATATGATGGCACATAAAGACGACATAGAAGGAGAGGGTGTCAGGGGTAGGTTCAATTGCAAATGCGTGGATCTTGCAGAATGTGAGGTAGGACTGCAGATGAGAAGTGTATGCAACATGAGTGGATGGGTCGAGTGCGTGGCCAAGAGCGATAGCGTGTTCTCGGACCAGGTGATCAAAAGTCCATGGCTCCCGAGGAGGTTGCTGGGACGATGCAGAAATTGAAATCATGTCTGCGTCTCCCCCAGCAACACGCGAGGGGGTATAAAGTAGTGAATCTGCAATTGTGGTACATACTGCAGGGCGACGTCAAAGAGATGTCGTGAAAGGGCATCTGCGACTACGTTGTTGGCTCCAACTATGTGCCAAACATGGAGATCCCGACTGGAATCAATGAGCAGGCTGCAAGCATAGAGAAGTAGATCTTCGAGGCCATCATGGCCACGGAGCGTGTCAAAAATTTGGACAGTATTGAGGTTATCTGTGTAAATGGCAATGCGTTGATAGGGAATCTGAAGGGAGAGCGTCCATTCGAGTGCCGCAACGACAGTGAGAGCTTCATACCAGAAAATAATGTCTTCACCAGGTCGAGTCAGGGCAGGTACATCAGCCACAAATGCCTCGAAGAGTTGAGGACACCAGAAACCCATTCCCGTAAGGCAAGCATCGCAAAAGACGGACAGGTCGGCATCAGATGGTCCCCAAGCAGTGGCACGAAGCATGTAGATGCCTACATGGTGTTCAAACATGTCAGTGATCCAAGTGAGATCACGAATGACACGAGCATTAAGGTAGACAGGTGCGTGGGGAATGGAAAGGCCACGAATCTTATCATACGCAGCTTGGAGGGCAGGATGAAGAAGAGGCTGAATATTCAGCCCCTAGTTGATCCATCCAAGAAGGCTTTGCCACTCGCGTAAAGGTCGACAGCAACATGGAGCATTAGTGATGAATTGCCGAATGTGGGAGACAAGATCGAGGCATGATGAACAAGGAAGTGAAAGGGACATAGCTGATGAATCAACTGAAAATCTGATAATAACTAGCGTGCAATCAAATAACTGTTTGGGCTCTTCGTGCGGAATGCCAAGTTCATCCCAGAGCTCGAGAAGCAAGACTTGCTTCATTGGCATGAATTTGGCATAAGGCGGGTAGAAGACAAGCTTTTGGTGGCAGTCAAAGGAGAAATTGTTGTCCATGAAAGCTAGGAGTGCATCAATGCTCTTAACAGGAATCACAATCCAGACGACCAAGCTCATAAAGGAACACCATATGTCCGGAGAGCCACAGCTCCCAAAACACATGCACTGATCAATGCGCCGCTGGGCATTGATGGTAACAACCTGCTTGAGCTGCCACAAAGAGTGCATGGGAATGAGCCGATAAGCACCTTTCACGCCAGACTTGAAGAGCCAGAGCGGGATGTCTCCATACTCCTCCCGGGCATGGAGCAAGTTGTGTCTAAGATCTTGGACATTATCGGGCCTCATGCCGACATTCAACTTGTCGATCATTGAGTTTAAAGAAAATGGTCCAGCTGAGTGATTGTTGATGAAACGAAGTTTCTCTGAGTGAGGTTTCGGGACCGCATGTACCGGCATGGAATACATGCCTGGTAAAAGGTCTGGCCCAAAAGGAGGTGAGTAGCATCCAGCAGTCTGTTCGTCATCTGTATATCGAGTAGCGAAAGAAGCTGCTTCATCTGAGAGGGGAACACTGCCGCCATCCCATGTCTCAGGATAATCACCATGCTCTGTCTCCGCAAAGGGCCAAAAGCCTTCCCGCAAGCCCCGCAAGACTGAATCGACTAGTGGGCGATTCAGATGATTGACGAGAAGTGCTTCTAGGCGGTTAACATGGATGAGAGTGACAATTCAGAAAAGCTCAGGGTGCTGTCGAATAGTCTGCTGTGAAACACTGTTCTCAACTTCATTCAGAGGTGGACCTGGGATTGGTCATAGAGACTCGGAAGAGATAGCAAAAGGAGTGACAAAGGTTTCATGTTGGTTCCAGAGGAAACCGCAAAAACAACGAGGACGATTACTTGCATCTGTCGGGAGCAATATTTTCTTTCTGGGGACAGATACATGCAGCGTGATTCCACGCTCGGCATTGAGAGCAGATGTGCCAGTATTTACAGCCTCGGTGATCACAGTTGCTGGCATTCCATTTTCTGCATATCTCTTGGGAATGTGAGTAGGAGGAGGAGTTCTGTGGTTGGGAAGGGCTGAAGGATTCGGCCCCACCGACAACGATGTGCATGGTGTAGAAGTGGTTGAAGCTGGAGAGGTCAGTGAGCAATAGCCGGTTGCTCCTTCCCACGGCACTCCTGACTGCTCTGTCATAATTGAGGACTTTTGAAGCCTGGGATTCAGGGAGTGCGATGAAAGATTCATTAATGTGGGCTGCATAGTCTCGCAACTCATTGGCCTGATGGGGAAATGCAAAGAAGATGGCTTCTTGGTACCTGACCCAAGCATTGGTCCAATCGCTGTGTCGGGCAACATGTTTCCCAGGTCGGCTGGAACCTCCAGAGATGACCTTAAGATCTCCGAGTTTGAGTGTCTGCTTGTGGTCCCCATCAACGGTATAGAAGGCGGTGAAGATTTTGTCGAGGTCAACATAGCGGCTGCTGAGGACATCATTCCAGATTGCCTCGGGGACATTGGGGCAGTCTGGATGACAGAGTATCCGTTGCTTGGAGACAGCAAGATCTCTGGTGTAGTTCTCCTTAAGCTTGAGGGTGAGCTGGAGATCTGGCGGAAGGAGAGTGGTTCCACGAGACTTGGAGAAAGGGAAGAGAGACTCGTTGACCTTTCGTGCCTTGTCTGTGTTGTCCTCATCTGCATTTCGCTTCCTCTTACTCCCCGCATCGACAGAGTCTGCGATCCCTTCAGTGGGCTCAATGTCAGGGGCATCATCCCCGATAGGATCCGGGAGCTGCATTTCCCCTCTGTGAGCTGCATCTCTGGAGGTAGATTCGACCTCCTCAAGTTCACTGAAGAAAACGCTGTAGGCTGCACATTTGGAAGTGACTTCCTCTTCAGTGCCAGCATCTTGATACTTAATGGCCTCGAGAAGGCGTATAGATGTGTCTGCTTTTGAAACCTTGCCCCTCCGGAACTCTTCGATGATTGCTTCGCATGACGAGACAGTTTCCTGCTCGAATTGATGCTCAGCTTGGACTCGGGAGGCACCAGACAACTGGGTGTGGGAGCCATCAGATGACAAATTCGACATGTATTGATATGATGACTCGGGAGATGGGAGAGATAATGACAAGAAGTGCTCAGAAAAGATGCTAGCAGGAGGAAGAGATGTCAGTAAGAGATGAGGTGCGCTGCACATGAATAGACAGACCTAGCAGGAGGGAGATGCTGGAAGAGAGGAGGTGAAGCGACCCCCCTAACTCGCACTCCTACCTGAGTGATGAGGGGGTCCGACCTGAGAAGCACCCCCCACCATAACAGTGGCAGTGCACTCGAGACCCCCATCAGTCTGTGGAGTGTCCGCTGGACTCATTTTGCGCTGCGAGAAAAACCGGGGCACGCGAATGCCATTGGAAGATCCAGACGCTGTCCGGAAAGAGTCATGCCATGGTGCAGTGCCGATTAGACTCGTTAAAAGTTCCTCTAAACCCGATTAAGTTATTTAAGTGTCCTCTTAAGGAAAAGTGGGGTTTTCCTGATGTAATATATATAATGTCATTTTCTCAAATAAGAGCAAAGATTGAGGGGTATACCCTTAGGGTTTGGTACCCTTACCCACACCCTTACCCCTGGTCAAGAGTATGTACCCTTGGAGGGTAAGGGTAGGGGTATGCCTCAAAGTACCCAGGGGTATACCCCTGCTCTGCACTACGTGAGATGAGTGTCTGAATTGATCACTCAATGTGGTCAATTTTGTCCATTTGCATGGAAACCTCACATTCTTCGGGGGTTAACCCTTCTGCATGATGGTTTACTTCCCCAACATAGTCCAGGGGTAAGTCTGCTGCTAAGGGAGATGCAATGAGAAGGTTGTGATGAGTTTTGGGTGAGGGTGGTGGTGACGAGAGGTAATCAATGAGGTGTTGCGGGCGAGGTGGTATCGGAATAGGATTGCCATTGACAAGTTGGATGGCATCTCTGTCAAGAAGGAGGGGAGGAACAGGTTGTCGGGCTCATTATCGTGTTCGATAAGCCTTCAATACACATTGGTCTGCACGAACAGAAGCACCAGGGCCTTTTCTTGTCTCTGCACCCTATCTCCTAAGCTTTGCGCTATTGCTTCCATCCTTTCCATGTAATGTCTCATGCCTGATATTATGTGTCTCATGGAGATCAGCTCTGATTTGGTTGCTTGCATAGAATGGATGATACATAGCAACCAGTGGGCGTGTGAGTCATCTAACACTGCCAGGACACGAAGATAAATTTCTTCATATTCCGCCAAAACCCGAATTCTGTGTGATTCGTGCAGCTCACAGTTGGTCCAAGGCATCTCTGGTAGAGATAGCATGATCAGTCTCATACTGATGGGGTTAAGCAAGTCGATGGTGCAGATGCGAGCTGCTCATGCCAGTGGGAAGGTGTGTCAGAGAGGATTCTGCACATTGTGTGGGTCCTCACTCTGGAAGTCTCTGGGATGAGAGGATGGCCATGAGGATCTATCGTCTTCATAGTTGCAGTCATCATCGTCGAGTCTGTAGTCCAATGAAGACATGATGATGGGGTATCAATGGCAAAGGAGTGTTAGACGAGCAATGTGGGCAATTGCTAAGAGTCAGTGAAGGTGTTGTCATCTTTTATACTCCTTCAGTAGTTCTTCAGCATTCATCAGATTTGCTTCAGGTTCCCATAAGCTCTCGGCTGAGGCTTATCCTTTCCACTTCACAAGGTACTGGGTTCTCCCATATCTTTGTCGGTAGTTTAGAATTGCTTCGACTTCATATTCCTCATGTTCTTCAATAAGGTCAGGGGGTGGCCTCATATCATTCAGGCTGTGGATCTCTGTTTCCTTGTAGGAGAGAGAAGGCCTGCGTGGAAAACAGGGTGGATCTTCCATCCTCGTGGTAATGTCAGGCCCCCATTGATATGACAGGATGATATAAGAAAGCCGTCAAACTTGATCACCAAGCAGTGCATCAGTTCTTCTCATTCACAGCCATCGACCGGGTTCCAACTGACGGCGCCTGCCTTTCCCCAGTCGAGCGCATCGAGCTTCGCCATGTTTTTGGGTGAGGTCTCGAAGTCATAGAGGTCGGTGTTCGACCGGATGCATGTGGGCTGTGAAGACTTGGGGAGTGGGCTGAATCTGTGTGGCAAAGGGTACATCAAGAAAATATAGAGACTGCAGCAATAAAACTGTGGCATATCCATGCTGAGTTGTGTGCGTTGCAGTAGTCCATGATCAGCTTCTGCTGGCAGAATGGGTGAAGGTGATATCGAAGAGTGATTACTGTAGTATTGGAAGATGATGGAGGTGAAGAGGAATGAAGTCCATCATGCGTGTCTTGCACCTATAACATCTTGTCTTTGCTGGCACATACCTACTGCAAAAGGTCAGTATGAGCCAAAGCTGAATTAGCAAGTTCACTTACGCTGACAAGCGAACAACCAGAACATTGAATACTGTAGCATTTCGACCAACCCAGCCAGTCACAGGTCACAGGCACCTTGGCCGGCCGGTTTTTGACCTGGTGTCACTGGTCACAGCAATGCTGGCAGGGTGTGACCAATGTTTACAAAAACCAATTTTTTGTGGCCTGCAGCGCCAGGGTGTCTGCAGGGTTATATCTTCAGTTTCCTAGTTCTACCTGAGGTCCAATTGACTGGTCAGCTGGTGGTGGTGGGTCATGGCTGCGAGATCACTTGGCCAGCTTGGCCGGTTTGTCCATCCTGTCTGCTGTCACACCAAGGCTGGCCGCCTGGCCGGATCGAAACTTTGTGGTCATAGGTCACACTCCTGGCCGGGTTAGTCAAAATGCTACCATGAGACATACACAGCCAGATCTCTGCAGCACCAAAATGGGGCCGTGGAGTGGAGGCCCCATACCAGGCTGTGCCACAGCCCATTACTACCCTTTTCGTCTAATGATTTTACGGTATTTTATAAAAACCCTTATATAATGCTTGTAATTGTTGTCAATTCAGCCACGTAGACAGGCCCATGACAGCCTGTGTGCAGCCCCATTTCAGGGCTTGTAGTCAGACACCAAAACAACTCTAGACTGCCATGCCATTATGGGACTGTAGCAGCCCAGAATATGGCTGAGGAAAGAACCAGTCAGATGCTTTGTCTGGGGCTCACAAATGACCAACCAGTTAAAAAATCTCATTTTCATACCAAAAAACTGTATACCACAAAATCCTTGATTTTTTGTATGGACTTCGATACACGCTATGCTATGCTGCCCTACGAACTGTCCACTACCAGAAATTGGCCCTGCTCTGACCGGTAACCCTCCCGCCATGCCGTTCTAGTGTATGCCCTCCACCCTGCACCAATCACAAACAACCTGTAAGCTCAATGTCAGAGTTAGCAATGAATATTGAACGGAAGAAAATCATATTGACCTACTATGTGATGGAGCAACCAGCTCCTCTCAATGTGAATGTAGGTGGCATGTGACAGTGAAGGGATGCATAGCGCACTGACATAGGAATCACATCCGCGAAGCGGTCTTACATTTCGGAGATACCACAGGGTGCTACACAACAGACCCTAGTCCGACACCAATTGGAAGCTGGTTATCAGAGGAGGGAACACTACGAGCCTGAACGCTACTTCTAACTTCTCAACTACGATTCGCAACCATCTCAAAGTACCATCCACCAACTCGCATCTACTGGTGATTCCATGCATAACATTGTACAGTTCGCAGGCCGCATTGCGCAATGTCTCAACCTGAAGGTGCAAGGTTCCTGATGGCAATAAAAAGCTGAGGAACGCAATTTCAGGAAAATAGGGACAGGAAGACCATGCACCAATGTCAGGAAGTCCATCCGATGGGTGGCCCAAACCAAAGTTCTCGCAGACGGCAGGGTCATCATACAGAATGCGGGCAGTCAAACCACTATAGTGTGAGCTGTCGCAAGGTGTATTTCCACTTGAGCCAGGACAGGGATATTGCGCGGAAGGGGTAGGATGATTCCCACACTGGCCGCCTCAGACTGGGCTTGGACCATGAGGACCTGAAGGACATGTGAGGGTCGGACAGCAAAGGAACATATGCTCGCAGGAGCCTCATCAGCAGGATGTGCATCTGGACTGCCCATGCCTTCCACAGGATCAGATCGAAGGGCTCGGTAAAGATCTCAATGTGAAGAAGGGCTTCCGCAAGCGTATATATGTGAAGGATGACGCTGGCATCCATGGATGGGAGATTGAGTTCAGGGTGGGAGATATGCCTCCGAGGCAGGCAGGTGCTTATTAGGCGCTCGGGCAGGACCGGTGATGGGCGACCCCTTGGATTGAGTAGGAGTGTAGGCGGATGGGATTGCGAGATATAGCGTGATGGGCAGTGATTCAATGGAGCGATTGTTAAGCAGAAGTGGGCAGTATCAGAAGGGCAGGAAAAGGTCAGGACCAGTTTCAGTATGAGGGCAGGGGAAGAGGTCAGAGAGAACCCACCATCCCGGAAGGTACACTTGCGAAAGCCTCATTCACATCCCCATCCCATCCAGTTAGTGCATCTTTGGTGTAATGGGGGGTGAGATCTTATCACACCGAACCTCAGATACAGTGCACCAAGCTCTATTCTGGAGTGTCGTGCGTGTATCAAGGTCGTGGTGTGTTAAGTCTCTGACTTCAACACACCGACGCGCGCTCGATACACACAGAGTGCATACAAACAGTATACAACAGTTACATAATACAAGATGAGATTAGATAAGATTAGGGCACAAGTACCACTTGGTACTTGTGCCCCGCAATACAACAGCGGCATGTTACACCCTCCCCCACTGGACACGTTCCACGGGACCATAACACTGACTGCGCCATCGAGTGGATGATGCAGGCAGCGATGTGAGGTGGGGCGGCAGGATGAGGCAAGACGACGGGCAAAGGCGATGACAGACACAGCCAGAACACACAGGCTGGTTGCGAGCACACGGAGGGTATGCATCACGTCCCCAGCCATGGCCCACAGCGGCACGTCAATGGGAGGCACGCCAGCATGAGCTAGTGGCCGCCCATGTCGTGGTCAGGGTCACCAGCCTCAGGGGTTTCTCTGGGGTTGGGACCCAGCTGACTGCTGCCAGCAGGAGTGTTGCCAGTGCCGAGTGTGGGTGGTTCGGGGTCTGGCAGCTGCATCGCCATGTCCTCGTTGATGAGTGATAACAACTCGTGGGTCGGGGGTACCGGCTGAGGGCATTCATCACGAAGGTCCGCCAGGAAGTGTCCCTCGAATGGGGTCACATCTTCAAGGACCCATCCAAGGACGTAGTTGCAGTGTCAATGGTGGAACTTCTCGAGGAATCCAATCTGCATGGGATGGAATTCATGGGCAGCATACCATCGCGCAACATCGTATATGGACGAATTTTGGGCGGATGAGTGGGGGAACAGAGTCGGCTCATTGTTGTTTGCCATGGGGTAATGCCCAACCTGTACAATCCACGTGTATAGTCCGGGGATTTAGAACAGCTCTGCAGTGTGCTTAATGAACACATTGCAGGCCATTGCAGGTATGCTGAGTGGGATGATGGGGGCCATGCGGCGTGCAAGCCACATCGCCTTCAGGTCCTGGTGTAGTGGGGCCTCCGAGCAGTTATTGTTCAAGTGCCTAACAGCCCAGTGAACCTGGCTCGGGTTCTGTGCATACCACGCCACCCACTTGTCGAATGTCGATGAGCTGGTGGGGTTGGTCATCCGGCTGGGAGGTGGAACCATCGGCGGATATATCACTCCAGAGCTGCTGTGACATCGCCATGACATGAGCAGGTTCATCATGCCATGGGACACGGTCAAGTGTCCATCTTGCTGCATCTACCAGATGAGGTCGGTCACCTGGGTGCACGCGCCATCGTTGCCACTGTGAGCCACATCGATGATGCACTGCGAGTTGTGGACGTACTGGGGTACAAAGTTGTACCACTTGGTCGCCTTTCATGGCTGCGTGTTGATCGGTAGGGGAACGTATCAGGCCAGTTGTGCGGGGCCAGCGAGACATCATTATCGGTGTCCGATGGCCATGGCACTATCTTCCCCTTGTCGTCGCTCCTCGATACTCCTTGCCTGGGCAAGTTCATTGGGCCGCGGTTCCTCTGGTGCTGCTTGTTGAGCCGCTGGACCTCGGCGTTGGTGGGCTCATTGTCGTCATCTGTTGTGGACGGCTCTGACTCCGACTCGTCATTGTCGAGGTGCTCGTAGGCCCGCTGCATGTGCGACTTTACAGGGGCAGGAGCGGGACCAACTGGAGGTCGCAGAATGTAGCCAGCCGGCGGTCCCGAGGTAGGGCCAGTCAGCGATCCAGGGGCACCACTCCTTGGTGGTGGCCCTGGGGGCATGTGTCTCGGTGGCGGGGGCATTCCTGAGGTATGGTGTGTGGCCGAGCTCGGCCTACTCGCCATGGTGTAGGGCGAGTATCGCTTTGCTCCCCCGGTCGAGTATTGCGCCGGGGATCGACACCGCGATCCGCTCACGTTGGATGGTGGTGAGTACCGGCGCGAGCTGCTGTTCATCGATGGGGGGGAATACCTTCGCTCCCTCGGGGGAGGTAGGTATTCCAGTAGGGATGGTTGTCTACGTGGAGCCCCGCTCAGTTGCCCTCGATAGTCCGAGGGCGATCAAGGTTAGGAACTCGATGTGATCTGCCTGAGGAGGTGTTCGTGCTCCCTTAGTAAGTTGTTGACTCGTCATTGCTGTGTGGTTGCTTCTGCTTCTGCCGCATGGAGTTGCGCTTGCAGCTCCATGTTGCATTGCTGCGTGAGAGCGTCACCACGTCCTCCCCCTTCCAAGGCCGTGTAGGTCTGGAAGTGCTCCCAGAACAGGTGCTGCTTGGCATTGAGCGCATCTGTGTGGGCTTCCTGATAGGGGGCCGTGTTGTGTGCCATTGCGATATGTTGAAGGTAGGCATAACACATGGCACACACCTCCATGTGGTACAGTGTGAACTGGTGAGTCCCAAATGAGACCCACCTTTCCACCACTGTTGGGATCGGCGGTGGTGGCATCATTGTCAATGCATTCCCAGCACCTGTTGGTGCTGGGGTTATTGATGTCACTGTGATCGCTGGGGCCACCATCGATCGTATCGCGATCGGTGGCAGTGGTGGTTGCAGCGGGGCCTGTGGCATCACCACAGCTCCATATTGGAGCCGCGGAGATGTCGACCTTGGTCGATCTTGCTGTTGCACAGTGGGGCGGCTTGTTGTCACCTCATCATCATTGGTTTCCATTGGTAAGGTTGGTTGGGACATGGTGGTAGGAGTGTGGGAGCGGTGGCCTTGCCACACGTGTAGTTATATGGGCAAGTGCCAGCATCTCACGTGATCTGTCACGTGGACACGACGCGTACATCCTTTGATGTTATACACATCCGATCCTCCACTTGTGGTTATTTTTTCTTCATTTCACAGGTGGCGTGGTCTTGCGCGGCAGCGCTCTCCAGTCCTTCACACCCATTAGTGTAAAGTACTCATCGAGCACGGCCAATTCCTTGCAGTGGGCATGTGGCTCCCATGTATAGTCACCTAGCATCCATCGCACATGGAATTCGATTCTATTGCCATCCCAGCAATGGCCTACAATTTCATCCACCAGCCATTCCATCTCCGCATCGTTGCCAAAGTCATAGTACGACTTTGCCTCGCGGTGCAGAAACAACACATTATCATTGGACTCGTGTCATTGGAGTAGCGAAACGTGGAATGTAGGTAGGATACGCCGGTCCTTCAGTTCTTGTGGTAACTCTAATGTGTAGTTAGAGGTTGCCGCATGAATGTCAGTGATTTCACATGGTCCAATAAATTTGGGCATCAGCTTCCTCGCATGACCTTTAGGTAGTGCGAGGTTCTGCGCGGATAGATACACCTTTGATCCAGTCATAAACTCCAGCTCCTTCTGCCGTAGTTTATTGGCTTGGAACGTTTGGTGTGTACAGCTCTCGATGATGGCATTGTGCGCCACCTCGAGGTTGGCCAGTGCTCATTGGGCAAATTCCTGCATGCCCACAAATTTTGTGGTTCCGTGCAGGCCTCCAATCATTCGCGACAAGTATCCATAATTAAGTTTGAATGGGGCAAATCCTGTGGTCATGCTCGTGGCTGAGTTCAGCGTGAACTCAACCATCGGGATCTTGTCTATCCAATCTAATTGATTGGGAGACACGATGGACCATAGGATTTGGGATACTGATCAGATGGTCCACTCGGACAGCCCGTTGGTTTGCGGATGGAACAACATCAACATGAGTAACTTCGCACCCAGGAGTCGATGTAGTTCATGCCAAAATTTTGACATGAACTTCAAGTCCCGGTCCGAGACGATGGACTCGGGCATCCCATGCAGTCGCACAATTTCTCGGACATAGAGCTCAGCTATGTCTGAGGCCATGCTCGTCATATTCACGGGGACCAGGTGTACCATTGATGTAAGGTGGCATATGACTACCCATAGGTAGTCATATCCCTTTGATCATGGAAACAGACCGACGAGGTCCATTGCTTTTGAATTCCACGGAAACCGTGGAATTGGCAAGGAATGAAGTAGTCCCACTTGCAAGTGATTGCGAGGTTTTGCCCTTTGGCAGGCCTCGCACATCACGCAGAATTTTTCGATGTTGCTTCCGATCCTAGGCCACCAGAACCACCATCAGATGTATTCCGACATCTTTTGTGGGCCGTAGTGTCCTATGTCATGTGCCCTCTATCGATGATGATCTCGGTCATCATTCGATGACGGTACAGGACCCTCGGGATGCAGATAACTTCTTCATTCTGGCGGTTCTTCGTATATATGGTCTTGTCCCGGATTATGAAGGTGCTGAATTCCATTGGGGATTCAACGACCTTCCTAAATAACGGGTCCTCGCCGTAGCCCTTTTGGACTGTGGCCAGAAATGGGGTATCCTGTTCCAAATGGGCCTTCAGTGGAGGTCCGTTGGTACGTGATTCTGCTATTGTCGGGTCCTCATCCTTTGCACCTGGAGTTGGTGTCACTAGGGGCAGGTGGGAGGCCATCTCACTGGCCTCCTGATCCCTTGACTCCTGCACATCCTTGGGCAGCTGTGCTGAGCGCTGGATTATTCCGACACGCAGCTCAGCAATATGGGGGTAGGTCATCCCACTCAGGGTCTAGACGAATGTTTGTGTTCGCATAGTCCTGGATGGGTGCGAATTTATCCGCATTGTCGTTCTCGTAGTACCTCAATAGACAGTCTGCGACCTTATTGGTCGCGCTTTCTACATACTGGATCTTGTATTGAAATCGAGACATGTACTTGTTCCAACGAATCTGTCTATTCATTGGATTGGTTATGCCTTCGAAATACTTCAATGCCTGATGGTCAGTCGCAATCATTATCAGTCGACCAAGTAGTTTGTCCTCCCACTTGAGGAGAGCTTCCAGTATCGCGAGTGCCTCATGCTCATATGTTTTATAAGCACGTTGCGCACTCATGAATTTCTTTGACAGGAAGCCAGCTGGGCGACAGGTTCGCCAGTCTGGTCCCTGTCCATACATCGCTCCAACACCGTATAACGACACATTGGATATCACCCAGATGGGTTCTGGTTGATGTGGGTCGATTGGCTTCAGGATGGGTGCCTTGCATGCCAAAGCTTTGATCATTTCAAAGCATTTGGTGTGCATTGGGTGCCATACGAATGCTCAGTTGTTGTGAGCCATGTTCGACAACGGTGAAGTGTACACCATTACATCGGGCATGAAGTGTCCTAGGTAGTTCACGAGCCCTAGGAATCATTGTACTTCTTTGTAAGATCAAGGTATTCGCCATTCGCGAATACGGCTCATCTTGTCTGAGTCTGCGTGGAGTCCTCGGTCATCAATTAGATGACCTAGGCAGTCCATGCTCCATGTGTATAGGTCGCACTTCATTTCGCTAAGGTAGAGCTTTGCCTCCCTCAGCTTACAGAATACAATTTTCAAATGACATTCGTGTTCTTCGATTGTGTCGGAGAACACGAATATGTCATCGAGGTATACGTGAACGTATTGTCCGATGCAGTCACAGAATATCAATGTCATGAGGCTTTGGAATGTTGCTGGGGCATTACAATCACCTTGTTGCATGACATGACTTACGAATGTACCGTATGGGGTGGAGAACACTGTTTTCCAGACGTCCTCTGCCGCCACATATATTTGTTCATATGCATCGGACAAGTCAATCTTCGACCGGTATTTGGCACGAGGCACGTCCATGCGTATCTGGTCCTGGTCCGGGAACGGAGTTACGTCCTTTACGGTGTTGTCGTTGCGTTTACGCGCGTCGACAACTGTCCATAATTTTCCACTCTTCTTCATAATACATATCATGGGCGCTGCCTGGAGAGCCTGCTTGGACTCCCACCAGCCAGTGTCCTGGTATCATTGGATCTTGGTTAGGAGCAATGGCTTCATTGCATCGGCACATCTCGGTAATCGCTGTCGATACTGCTCATCGTTATTGATGAGCAGTATTCAATGGTTAATTTCATGGAATGGTGAAAGGATTGGGGGCGGGGGGCACATTATGTCCCTCATCTTCTCAATCCAGGCTTTTCGGTGTTCTTGTAGTTTCTCCTTGGATGCTATTGCATCTGAGGATTCTACGAATGTGGCGTGAATTTCTTCGTCTTTACGATGTTCGTTCAGTGCGAACACCATTAAGTCATTTAGACCTAATGGGTTTGGCTGACTGAACCGGTCCCGTCGTGGTTCGTTCATTGAGTGTCTAGTTGGTGTGAACTTCTCCGAGATGTCAGGGAAACAGTCCTTTTTGGGCTGTTTCCTGTTTCTCGTGGTTGATTTTTCTTTCGCCTTGACATTTCCATCATTCCCCTCCCCTCTTAGGACTGTCCCTGGGTTCGCACCATGAGACTGGGGCGGCTTCGCGGCCATTGGTCTCGTTGTGGGGTCCTATTGTGGGTTCTCCGGGGTTATAATGATAAGGGTACCAACGTTGTTGTGCACGCGGTAGTGTGAGTGCGACATATCCTTGTGATTCACAAGGATTGTGGCCTCGTCCACTTCTGCATAGGTTGGTATCTTTTGTTGTTAAATTGATATGGTGCAGTTCTCGAAGTCGAGGACCATGCTATATTTATGCATGAACACTGTGCCTAGTACGGCATCATATCTATTGATATCGACGACGTCTAGGTAGTGTTGTGCCTTTACTGGGCCTATGGAGATTGTGGGTAGTGCACCATAATTGATGCACGTCCTGCTTCCCTTGGTGCCCAGTTGGAGACCTATTTGGTCATCCAGGTCGATTCAGTCCACCTTCGAGATGTACGCCATCTCCGGAGAAATGGAGTCCGTTGTACACCCCAAGTCGAATAGTGTATAGGTCTTGATCCCATTGATCAAGACCTCTGCACATAGTGTTCATTGTGTCTGCGGGTTTCACTGAGGCTGCATGGCTGGATCAGTCAGGCGTCATAGACGTGAGTCGTACAGCCATGCATTCCTTGAGGATCGTGCGTCTGTTGCGGGTTCACTAGCATGGAGGTGTACAGTCTGCGTACACTTTCCAGGCTTGTGTTGATGCATGGCGCCGAATCTCATCGATCCCAGGCAAACGTTGTAGTCATCAGTCCAGCCATCGTCTCCAGATGGGGGTTCACACTCATCTGCCGATGAGTACTGTGATCCCTCTGGAGCCCAGTCCGACTCAGGATATGTTTGATATCCTGTGTCATTCTGGTATGGCCCTTCATTTCCATCAGTTTCGGAAGTCGTCTCCTGTGGAGCCAGCTCCTGAACTGCAGCCTCTGGTTCCGCCGGTTCTTAGTTTGCCTGTTCCTCATCCTCGGAGCGGTCATCGACTACACGTTGTGCGTGTAGTCGCGCTGGCCGAGGTTTACCATAGTTCGGGCATGTCGGGTTTGTCGAGAAGTGGCCCTTGCCACCGCAAGAATAACAAGTGACGTTTGCATTCGTTGCCTTGTTATTCGCTGGTGGTCTCAATCCCGAGACTGCCGGGTTTGCAGTAGAACGACCACCCCCATGACGTTGTCCATCGTGTGGGTTCATCATTCTATGGCCAGCATTACCAGCCTGCCATGCATGTCCTGGGTGTGCCCCTCCTCGTCCTTGTCCTTGCGGGCAATAGGTAGGTCGTGTATCTCCCGTCAATGATATCATCGGCACGAGGAATGACATGGCCTTACTTGAAATCCGGGTCCCCGTATGGTCCCCGGTCTTCTGAGGCTGTCGGCGGTCCTTGTATGTACGGTATTGGTCCAGCCATCCGTTGCCCTGTTCGATCGCCAAGGCCAATCGATACAGTGTATCGATGGTGTGTTTCTCAGGTGATAGTAGGTGGGCTAGATGCATTACTTCTACCATCGGTAGCGGTAACGTGTCCATAAACCTTTTCCGGAATGCATATTCCATCGGGTATTGCACCATGCAATCTGCATGGTGTAATAGCCTATCGTATAGCTCACTCACGCCACCACGTGATAAGCTGTACGTCGCCTTGTCGTACTTCTCGGATGCTATCAGTTCCGAGTCCTTGTGTAGGAATCGTCAGTGGAGGTGCATCACTGCATCCTCAAAGTACCATTGTCATACTTCGCGGTTCGGTGACTGCACATTCAGAAAGAACCAGTTGGCGGCATCATCTTTAAGGCTTTGCCCCAATATCCACAGGTGATCCGCATCCATGGCATTGCCAGTGATGCGGAGAGTCTTGAAGTATTCCAGCAATTTCTGTAGCCAGACCTCGAATGCATCAAGATCGTCCTTCCCATTGTATTGCGGCGGTGGAGGCATCTTGGTGACTCTGAGCTATGCTGGTGGTTCGTCGATGGGATCTCTTGATACCATCTCGTCCACCATTGTATGGATCCTCTTGATTGCGGGAGACATATCTGGAGGTATCGCTCCTGGGCCATGTGATCGTTGTACGGTCGCATGGCCTGTGTGCGTACCTGGTGCGGCTGTTGTATTCATTCCCGGGAATCAAGGGGGTCAGTTCACTGTGGTAGTGACTGCTGAGTTTGGCTGGGTCACTCCCGATTGGAATGTTACGTTCCGAGCAACATTGGGCTGTTGCATAGCTGTCATTGTGTTCACTGCAGGACCTTGTGTCGGTCTTGTAGGTCATGTGTTTGTTCCCGCCATGGGCTGCCCTTGCAGCCCACAGGGGTATCCAGGTCCTGTAGGTCGCATTGGTCGAGGAGGCAGTGGTGGCGGAGTCGATCCATTGGATCACGGTAGCCGTTGTCCTCCAGGTCGGTGTCTCTGGGGTGGTGTTGCGGGCCTTCGACCATTTCTTCTAAAATGGTCGAAATCGTTCCCGTCATCTCCGGGGTATGGACTGGAGTCGTCTGAATCATCTCTTCCGGGGTCACCTTCAGGAGCTGCTACTGGAGCCGTTCCGGATTGGAGTGATCCCCACATCGCGCAAGGTGTCGATGATACTGACGGTTGTACTCCAAATGCCCTCAATGCCCTTTTGGACTCTGAGGCCATCCGGTCCAAGTATCTGGTGTATATTAGCACCCTTTGATTGTAATCCTCATCCAGCTCTCCCTCTTGCTGCGGTCGGGCCAACTGACAGTACGCGCTCTCGATAATTATATTGGGAGCACCTGCTGTCGGGTCCTTGACCTCTGAGGGGTATAATCCTCACTCTACCGCTATCTCTTCGATGGAGTTCCTCATTCCCGAGGGGACGGGTTGATCCATTGGGTCAACTTCGTCTCCTGAGGAATTCTCAAGTTTGTCCATTATCCTTTCAAACTGCTCGTTCTGCGCTTGGCGGGTCCATTCGTGTGTCTCATGAATGGCCTGCATCTCGCGTTCTTGCTTCTCTTGCAGTGCGTCGAGTTTGCAGTTCGCCTCTTCTCGAGCCCACTGGAGTGCCTCTCGGGCTCTCTCTCTGCACACACTTTCTGATGAGCTCGTGCTTGCAGTGCTTCCTGGGGCTCTATCCTTAGTGCTACGTATTTTGTCCACTAGGGAAGATATCGGTTGCACTGGCAGGGTGGGGAACAGAAATCTCTGCGAGTAATGCGAAGGATGCCATGGCATCCTTCTCATTCTTGTCATTTCCGTTTCTTCGCTGGCCTGGTGAGATCCAGTGGATCTCACTGGCATTCTGACATTACGGTCAGAGGCGGATTCCCGCTGCTGCTCATCCGTTCGGCCTCCTCATGTTGAGCGTGGGGGTTCGACGTACGACAGTGTAAAGGATCGTGGGGCTGGTGATGCCAGTTCTTGCCCACGGTCCGTTATTTCTGGGGCTGGCGTGCCAGTGTCCGCGTGCATGTCATCATGGGGTGCGCTCTCGGCCATGTCTGCCAGAGCCACGTGCTCTGCCTGTCTTGACTGGGAGCGTGTTATCCGTGTGTTTTTGGGGCCTTGACTTGCCATTAGGTGGCAAGTTAAGGTTCTTGATTTCTTGATGAGGGTCTTTGCTGTTGAATAGAATTTTTCGCAGGGCGAATTGGACTGTAAAAAAGTGTAATGGGGGGGGAGATCTTATCACACCAAACCTCAGATACAGTGCACCAAGCTCTATTCTGAAGTGTGGTGCGTGTATCAAGGTCGTGGTGTGTTAAGTCTCTGACTTCAACACACCGACACGCACTCGATACACGCAGAGCGCGTACAAACAGTATACAACAGTTATGTAATACAAGATGAGATTAGATAAGATTAGGGCACAAGTACCGCTTGGTACTTGTGCCCCGCAATACAACAGCGGCACATTACATTTGGGCAGTCTTGCATTTGTGCGTTTTCTGGGCAGTCTTATGTTTCCGCATTTTAGTGTTCTCCTTAGAGCAGTGCGATTTTACTCTGATGCATTCCCAGCGATTATTGCGACTACAGAGATTTTCCTAGCTACACTTTTGGGCTATCCACCTCATACCTCTGGAATAGACTCCTCTCCTTCATTGCATATCAGACCCCACGCGAACTTGATTCTGCTCGTACTCCACCTTTCCGGCTTGCGATGGAACTACAATCTCCTCAATGGAAACATGTTGCCAAGCCTGGGATCAACTAGGAGAGGATTCAAGATGATAGCGGGAGCTGCAGGTTGTCACCAGATGATGGTGAGGACGAAGAGGGTGTGAGAGTACGAGCGCATAAAGCAGAGCACAGCAGAATCTTGACAAAACCCTTCAGAGTTTGTATCTACTTAGAGATTTTCTGAGTCGCAGCTTGTACAAGTAATCCGCAGAGTTAGAAACAGGACTGGGATATGCTCTAGCAAGGGCCGGGGGTTGTATAAGCGTCATTTCGGTATCCCATGACCGGTGTCTAACTGGTGCTGCTGTCGAAGCAACAATATCAGGCTGTATGCAAACACCTCAGCCACCCTCTCACAGCCCAGGAATCGACCTGTTCAAAACCCCATTACAGCCTTGGAAATCTGGGGCCATTCGGACCACCCAAATCTGGTCCGATCTCAGGCCTCATGAAAATTCCTGAAGCAACATCACACGAGGGCTGTATTTCGGTACGTAGTGTTATTGAGGGCCTGGCTTGGCCTGAAAGCCCTGGCTTTGGCTTGGCTTTAGCAGGCTTGGGCTTCATCAAACTCCAAACTAGGCCTGATGGTAGGGCTTGGGCTTGGCTCAGGCTTGGCTTGGGCTCAAGCCAGGGCCTGCTGAAGAAAAAAAATATTTTATATGTAGCTACTAGGTGACCTACTCAGATAGTTGATCAATAAGAAATTGACAGCTCAACTTGACTGGCAGCCTTTAGGATAGCATTATAGGTGAGTTGTGCCAGTCTATGAATGTTCATAAGGGTTTCAATATCATCATACCTTCATGAAGATACTCACCTTTGGGGGAAAAAAGAGCATATCACAGAAGGGGTCGTCATAGTGAAAGTGAGGAATTTTCTGGTATGCCCAGGAGTGCCAGCAAAGGTAGCAGTGAGGTGTGAATGAGGCCGGATGTTGGGTTAGGCAGTCCTGTATTTTTGTTGCACATAGCGCTGAAAGCCCCGGGCTCGCGGGCTCGGCTCGGACTTGAGCATTCTCAAGTCAGGCCCAGTGGCAAGGCTTCCAGACGGCTTTGGCCGGGCTTGGCCGGGCTTTCTACGGCTCGGCTTGGCCTGGCTTGGGCTTAAAAGCCAAGCCACCAACAACACTATCGGTACATATTTCCATCTTTTCTACCCTTTTCATCTAATGATTTTCTGGTGCTTTACTGTTTTGGCCATGTAGCATAATCGTCCAACAGCAAGTACTGTCAACATTGGTCTGACTCATGAGTGATGACATCCACCATGTGACTGTGGGATGGGCTTCATGAAGCACCCAACTGCCATGTGCAAAAAAAGGCCCACATATATATGTAAAATAATAATTGTACACTTTGAACAGCATAGTCCTAGGTCCATTCCTGACCAGAAAAAATGTCTCTGAAATGAGAAAAGCTCTCAGAAATGTCAATTTATGGTCTCCGGTCTCGGAATTCTCCGGCTGAGCCCTCTTGATCTCCACAAGTCTTGTTGACCTGTGGAAATCTTCTAAACTGGTCTCCGGATTTCCACAAGGCCATCAACCTGGGCAAATCTTCAGTCTTCCTGTCTAGCAGTGTAGTTGAAGACCGGGTAGAGGTTGGCATTGAGGAACTTGGCCTTGATGATGAGCCAGAGCCAGAACATTGGCGTGGCATAAGTGATATCCGACGACTCCATCTTGCCAGACCCGCCAGTAAGGAGGCCACCGAATTCGCCAGTGCCGAAGGCAATCATCGATCCGGAGTCTCCGCTCCTGGAGAACACGCCTGAGTCGTATGGGAGGATTGCCCATTCAATCGAGTCCCGGTGAGTCTGGTTGGCGAAGTACTCGCGCGCACAGGAGAAGAATCCCGTGGCACGACCAATCGTGGTGAGAGTGGTTAGGCCGCGCTTGATGACGTAGAGGCAGTTTTCGCTGTCGTGGTCCTTCGTGTCGGGATGCCGCATGCGATCCTCGGCGAGAATGCCCCTGAGCTCGAGGAGGCGTTCGGCTGGGTACTCAAAGCCGGACTGCGCGTCCGTGCGAGGATACATCTTGTTTACGAACTTGGCGGCCTCGATCTCCGTCCCTGAATATAAACAGTTAATTCAGACGCCTTTAGTGAAAAAGATCAGCATGCACCTAAGTCAATAACGTTCCCCTTAAAGTTATGCAAAAACCTGGCCTTATCGAGCTTGATGACGCAAACGTCCTTGGTGAAGCCATGCGGAGCGGTACCGATAGTGATAGCAGGCGACCAGACAACGTGACCGACCACACGCTGGCTCGGCTTACCGAAGTCCTTCTTCGTCTTCTCGTAGAGCTTCTGAAGCTCATTGATCGCGTCGGTCGTCTCCTCCAGCAGCTCCCGAGTCTTCTCCAGCTCCTTCTTCGCCTTCTTAGCAGCAGGGGTATCGCCCTCCGCCCTCCCCTCCAACCTCCCGATCGACTCCCTGCGGATCTCCGTCGCAGTGCTAAGGTTTCCGATCTGGATCTGGACGGACTTGAGGTAGTCCTCCCACGCCTTGGTGCCCATGAGGAGGACTTTCTTACGAGGCCCGCTGGGGTTGTAGGTGTAGTCGGAATTGTCCTCATCTGCCGGGAAGAGAACGTGGCGAGCCGTAACGCCGTAGAGGTCGTCGCCGTCATTGAAGTAGAAGCCCATAGTGCCCTGGAGGTGGGGCGTCTTCGCGGCAGCCATAGGAAGTCCAAGCGCAGTAGTGAGAGGATCAATGACGTGTCTGGTTGCATCCAGGTCCGAGGCAGGTTCGTAGAGCTCTGCACTAGCTGAACGCTTGAACACCGATTCCCGGAATTCGATGTCGACGGCTGTAATGTCCTCGTCCTCGAGGAGTGCGAGTATGGCGTTAGCTGAGTTGAACGCATCCTCACCGGCGAGACTATCGGGAAGAACGCCGACCCAGATCACGACGGGACTGATAACAGCAGGCATTTGTTGGTTCGGGATCGGGACCGTGCGGAAACGGACGAGGTCGATGGTCGAAAAGCGGACCTGCTGCTTGTCGAGAAGGTCACGAACCTTGGGACGGACATCCTCCCACTTGTCGCCAAGCTTATGGTCGTAGACTGGATAGAGGTGCTTCAAGCGACGATACGCCTCTGGTCCCTTGGGCATGACAAAGGGATCCTTCGACGTGCGGTAGACCTAGGGAGTGACATGGGTAGTGCTTGCCCGGGTAAACCTGTGACCCGACCCGTGTCACACCCGCACGGGTGACCCGTATAGAGCCCAGGTGACCCACCTGTAGACCCGGATCGGGTACGGGTATGCCGGCCGTGACGGCGGGTAGGCCCGGGTATACCCGTGGCTACCTGTTATGGGGAGCGTCAGAAATTCTCCTCCTGTTGCTATGGCAGACGACGAACTACTATCGCGGCCAAGTCGCGGTGGTCGAAATCACTTTCACTATTCTCTTTTCATCGCAGTGCGCAGTACAACGATGCGCTTGGTCTGCCTAATTCTGTCCTAGTATCTTCTGTTTTCGCCCTCATTCCATTCCTCACCATGGCAATTTTTCCACTAGTTCACGATCCTGGCAATCCTGTCGGGTTCTCTGCAAAGCTTTGGTGCCCAGCATTTTCCAATATGATATTATGGTGTATATATATGGTGTGCTTGACTGACTGCAGCTCCACCGCCAGGGAACCCATTTGTACATGATGAGTTCCAGTGTGAAGAGCTCTCCAGCTCTTCATGCCACAACAACCCGAAGTATCAGCTATCGGTGCAATGCATGGTATATGATCATAGCCATTCTTGTTCTCCTCCCTATTATCTCGACTGTGCCGGCTTGCATTGCACTGCGTCTTCTCCTGGTTGATAGTACTACTGATTTCTATCATGATATTGCGTTTATTGGCACTTTGATTCATGGCTACCTCACTGTAGCTTCACTGCTACTAGGTGAGCAGTATTCTAAATTTCTGACACACAGTATTTGATGAGACACAAGGGGGATTCTCATTCCCGCACTTCCTTGCCCTCCATCGACTGTTCCCGGCTCGGGTGCGCTACCGCCGCCACCATGTCTCCAAGATGTGTCCACGACATTATCGCAAAGTCATCTCCCTCGCACCATATACCATATTTGTCCTTGGTGCAGGAAGCGGGCATTCTGTTCCTCTTCGTGAGTGAATCCTTTAAATTTCGGGCCATTGCCTATCGAGAACTGATTTGTGCTTTTATAGTTGTCACGAACTCCACATCCGTGCAGGATATCATCTGCTTGCTGAAGCGGAGATGCCTGGTTCCAGCTGACCAGACATCCCTTTACTTGTATGCGGCGGTACCGCACACACGGTGGCTACGGCTCCACGAACGACTAGGAGAGCTTGGGTTGGGCCCGATGTCTCACGTTCATGTTCGCATACGTGTCCTTGGTGGATCCAACCCCTCCTCGTCACCGTCACCAAGCAGGGAGCCACACACTCCATCACGTAAGCGAGCACGGCCTTCTACCGCACCAAGTGAGCTGCACACTCCATCGCGTAAGTGAGCGCGGCCTTCCACTGCACTAAGTCCATCCTCGGACGACTCTCCTGCAAAGAACACACGAGCACGCACTGGTCTTGCTCGTACGTCATCACCGTCGGCCGTGGTCATTGTATCTCCGCCGAAACAGCGAAAGCGGAAGAGTCATACCTCTTCCGACTTGGAGGTTTGGGATATGCCTGACGACGAAATCATTGGTATGCCTCAAAATATGCTTGCAGAACATTGCTGACAGTTTGCGTTCGAAGCTCTCGTGCGTAGTGCATGGAAGTCGAATGCATATGATCACTATAATATTACTCTCGAGCGGAACTTCACGAAGGATGGCAAGGCCGACCATCTCCTCTTCTGCTTCAAATGTAAATATGATCCCGCTAACCACCGAACCCAGTATCGCGAGCGGAGCAAGACAAGCCAAGGCACGAAGAACCTTGACCGCTCCACGAAAGCCTGCTTCAAGCGGCGAGGTGTCGGGCCATCAGATGACCCCCATGCGGGTGCGCAGCAGACTCTGATGAACACAATCTCCAGGTATTCCGAAAGGGCTCACCGAGCCATCGTGGCGCTGCGCTGCGCTGCATCGCGCCGGCCTTTCCACAGTGTCGCGGACCCATATTACCTTGAAGAAGTGGAGCTTCTTCGCCCAGGAACTAAGGTACCCACGCCACACATGGTCTCACAGGATGTGCAGCAGATCTACCAAGAAGGCTCTAAGTTCATCAAAGAATACTTCTCGGTTAGTACTCCCCAGCTGAACGATCTCTACCTGACGCTAACATATAGTGTTTACAGAAACTCGACGGAGCCATTCACCTCGTTATTGACGGGTGGACGGCGCCTTTCGTGGCGTCATATCTTGGCATCGTGGTAATCTGGTTTGATGGCGACAAACTCTGGCGCTCCATCTTGGAGTTCGTTCGGTAAGTCATTCCTAATATCTCCAGTGTTCTTGATCCTCACAGCCCATTCTCATAGCTTAACTGAAAGGCATACTGGCCTGTATCTTGCGCAGAAGGTGGCGGACTGCGTGAAACGATTCGGCCTCCAGAAGAAGGTAAGTATGCTCCGCTGCATAAATTCACATGCACTGATACTGTATTCAGCTGCACACACTCTGCATGGACAATGCGAGTAACTGCGATGCGACCGCTACTGAGCTGGAGCCACTCGTTGATAGTTTCCGTGGTGCCATGTCGCGCACTCATTGCTTCCCGCATACAGTAAATCTCATTGCCAAGGTAAGCCTGGTGCACGTTCTCATTGATTTTACCACTAACAGCCGTCGACAGGCATTCATCTCATTCTTCTTTAGGCAGCCCAAGAAGAAGAAGGTCGTGAAGGTCGCCGCGGGATCGAAGCGCAAACGACGTGGTGCTGGTGCACGCCAGCAAGCATCTGCACCTGAAGCACCGCCACCCGGAGAGCCCGAGACTCAAGAGGTGGTGCTTGATTACGGGGACCCTTTGCATATCATTGACGAGACAGTGGATGGCACCCATGAAGATGATGATATCTCTGCTCTTGATGATGGGAAGGCTGCTCACGATGAGGCTGCGGTAAGTTCGGTACATGCTCAAGCAATTCGCATTGCACGGGAAGACTACCATATTACAATGACCGCACAAGAAGAATCCGATGCACAGAGTCTATTTACCAAGGTAGCAGGACTCGCTCGTCACCTTCATGATTCACCCACCCTGCAGGAGAAATTCGAGAAGTTAGTTGATGCCCAAGCAGACCTTGTCGGAAGCAAGAAGGCTCTTGACCGTCGAGTAGCCACGAGATGGAACAGTGATTTCGCATGTCTGAATGCGCACATCCACTTCGAGACTCCTGTGCGACAGCTTACTAGTGACCTGAAGAATGAGCTACAGGGGTACGCGCTGACTAGGGAACAATGGTCGCTGGCTAAGCAGTTGGGGCCAGTTCTTGAGGTACGTCACAGTTACTCGGTAGATGGATTTGAGACCTGACGTCGAGGTAGATCTTCCAAGATCTCACGGACCTCTTCTCACAAGCCGAAGTTCCCTTGATACACGAGACAGTCCCGATGCTGGAGCAGCTCGAACATCAACTTACGGCAGTCCGCGATGATGTGGACATGGAGTTGCCGTCTGTCATCTGCATCGCAGCACAGGCTAGCCTGCTTGTCGTCGGGAAGTACTATGCATTGACCGACGACACGGATGTATACCGGATCGCTATTGGTTTGTCCACTCTGCGTTGCTGTGACCATTATCACTAATCTCATTTGTACTGACCAGCCATGTGTCCTGACAAGAAGCTCGAGTGGTTCAACAAGAACCCCGATTGGCGAGCAGAAGATCATACGGAAGCAGCGCACATCCTACGAGCGCGCTGGACCGAATCTTATGCTGGTGACTCAAATGACATGTCTGTGAACACTCCCACTGTTTCAGTGATGGCATCCACATCGAAGGTATGACGTCTCTTTGATGCCGAAGAGCAACACTGAGTGGCCTAACCTCATCCACTAGAGAGGAAAGTGGGCAAGCTCATTCCGGAATGAGCCCTCAACCAGCACACATCCCATTGACAGCATAGATGCCTATCTGGAGTCCCCGCTTGTCTCAAGAGATGATGTCAAACAGGCTGGCGGAGTCTTGGCATATTGGGCACAAGCATCGAAAACGCGTCCTCGCCTTGCTCGAATGGCGCTCGACTTCCTCACTGCACCCGGTACGATCTTCTTTCCAGCTATACATAGTCTGAATCTGATGCCTGTTGCAAGCATCATCTGTAGATGCCGAGCGAGCCTTTTCCGGAGGCCGTCTGACTGTCAACCACCTTCAGCACCAAACCTCGTCTCAGTCATTCAAAGCTCAGGTGGCAGTTGGGTCGTGGGCAGGAACTCCTCTATTGCAGGATACAAAGACATGTGCCAGCTTTATTGGCGGTAAAAAACGGTCAACGAGTGCAAAGGGCAAGGAGCGGGAAGTGATGGACGTCGATTTGTAGCACACAGAAATAGTTTTATTGAATAATAACGAGAACGTAGTGCGGGTTACCCGCAGGTAACCCACCTGCGACCCGCAGGTTAACCCGGGTGAAAGTCTACGGGTACGGGTTGGGTACGGTCAGGACCTCTCGATGGTAATTACCTGCGGGTTTGACCCGGATCTAACCCGGGTTAACCCATGTCACTCCCTAGGTAGACCAGCTTGGGGGGGGAACGGGAGATCCCCGCATAGTAGAGGGTGGCCTCGACCTTGGAGATAACGTGGGGAGGGGAGCCAGAAGAGACGCTCGAGGCGTATTTGTCATCGAGACTGAGGTCGGAGAAGTCCGTGTCGGTGGGGGAGCTGGTAGGGCCCTGGCTGTTCTGCCTGGCTAGGGTGATACACTCTTCGAGGAATGCCGAAGAAATCACTAGACGAGTATACGAACGGGTCAGTATAAAAAGGATAGCAGTAAAACGTTAAAGAACTCGCTTGTTCTAGTCGAATACAAGGCTGACATCAGGGGTCTGTGGATTGCCACATCGTGATAAGCGCCTGACGGGCTTACCAAAAATGGTCATTGAACGAAAGTTTTGCGTCCTAATACTACCTCTCTCACGAATATGACAAATTCTGCCTGCAAATCAATGTCCGAAACGTGTTGGCCAATCCGCAAGAAATGACGAAAGTCACGAGGAGATGGGTGTGGTCAAGCTCACAAATACAGTATTGCGCAGAGCACACAGCTTCCATTGATCGCTCTATCTGCGAGGTGCTGACGTAATAATTACGATCGATAGATCGCATGCCATGGCTTTGCTCAACTTGTGCTCCCCAAATTTTCTGAATCCTCATTCCACCAATAAATTTGATCGGATTTCTGTCCATTGTACATCCCAAGTACTGTCTTGTGGGCACCCGAAAATTGTATATTTTTAGCGGTTTTCCTGACTCTTGACCAACGCCCGCATTATGCTGACAACTCGACGTTGCCGGAATGCGCTCACCCTTGCCGTATCAAAAGCGTCTGCGTCTACGAGCTTTATCTCAGAGCTTCTCTTGACAGCACGTGGGCAATCCGTCAGGTCAGCCGGAAATGAGTCGCCGAAAGCTACGACACCTTGACTTGACCTTGACTGCTGAGCGCTGATTACTGAGGCCCTTCTCCCCCTTGCTCAGGAATGGCGAGAGTCATTCTGTCCAAGTCTCACGAGTATGCGGACGATGATCCTGGACTGTCTTTGGACTATTTCTGTCGAGATCTCGAGCTCTACTCCAGCCGCGGTAAACACAAACTCGTTCAAGTGGACCACTACAAGGAGAAAAGCAGATATGGTTAGCGATTGGCTCCTTCTGTCGTATACCTCTCAGGTGTGAATAGCGGTATTAACAATACTCCCATCCAGATCACGAATTTCTCGTGTTCGAGATCACACACGGCAATTATAAGTCAGGTTCTGGAAAGGACAATATATATTTGCGCATGGAGCGACGCCCAAGCGGCCAAACCCCTCTACATACAGCAGGGAGCTTTCAGCGGGTAACAAACGATACCATCAAGCGTGTACGACCCGATTTTGACTGGTCTCCATATTATCATCTCTTCACCGTCTCCCGCCATCCAGAGAAGGAGCTCTCGCTGTCAGACATCTGCAAGATGTACCAACCCATCCGCATCATATCACCAACGTATGATCCAGTCTCGCACAACTGTTATTGGTTTTGCAACAAATTTCTGCAAAATCTCGCGGAGGAATTACAGGTCTCTGGGTGTCCAGGGAAAGATTACCGCTTGCGAAGCACCTTTGCTGTAGGATTTACTCGGGTGTACCCTAATCGGCTCGCTCGTTCAGCATTGTTTTCATTCGGCCCTGCTGAGGACGCGGGGGAGACATCTGGTGAATGCTGGTGTCTGCCGGTAATGATACCATGGCGGGCGAGTAAAGCAGTGAAACGTAAGGCAAGCGAAGGCGGAAGGTTCGTTTCCGCTTTCGCCTGCTATCCAGCCGCTGACATCCTATATATTCCAGTGCAGCACAAGTCATCGAAAAGCCATCGGATGGGCTTATTAGTATACTTCCTACTCAGAGCCTTCCCCGAGTTGTAGCAGGGCCATCACAGGAGAAGTATCGGATAAACTACGACTCTGCTCCGGATATTACTGCCGAGAGAGAAAATGTGACTCCCAATCGGAGGACGGTCTGGGAACTAGACGAGACTCGTTTGATGACCCTCGAGGATGTCCTGCAGCAGAAAGTTTGTATTTGGTCTCATTAGTCGTATGTACTCCTGGTCCACTTACCAAATTGTGCAGATTTCTTGGCAACCTGAGGCTGTTGAAGCCGTCGCCCATGCAATCACAGTTTCAACAGCCAAAAAGAAGACGAACAGGCCCATAGCATCACTAATATTTGCTGGACCAGCAGGTCGTCAACAAAGGGATGTCGCTGAAGCAGTGAGTACTTATTTGGACGTCATCTTTCAGCTTATTGATGTCATCTTGCAGCTTGCACAGGAACTCTTCGGTAATTGCTCCCTCATCATAGAAATCCTGAAGATCAAATCCTCATACTTCGGCGACGAGGTGTGGTTTTCGGTCAGTTTAATCGCGCCAGAAGATCATTACTGGGTAAATTAGACTGAACGGCCATGTTCCACGTATCAGACTGGTTGTTACCCTCGCAGAGAAAGCCACTTCCACTATGATTCTTTCGGTGGGGAACAGCTCCTGCAGTTTGTCAACCAAAACCCCCGCTGCTGTATCCTGGTCACAGAGAGGCGCGTTACAGTTCACACTTCTGGGCGCTCCAATAGCTGACATCTGCGTGTAGAATCGAAAACATCCCGCCCAAGATCTTGGAGGTATTTCTACGAATCCTAGACCAGAGCCAAATTCATGATCAAGATAGAGTTGTGGATTTTCGGTACGCATTTTATGCTCCAGCTGTACACCATGCTATTCCCGCTGAAACGATCGTTGGATGGTATCCATCGACGATGTTCCACCAGCGAAACAGTTTTGATCCTGAGCACCGGTGTGGCAGATCGATTTCTGGAGTCCCAAGTGGGTGAGATCCCGGAGGAGAAGCGTCGCAAAATTGACGAGACAATTCGATGCGAACTTGAGAAGATTATTCAGGCCAAGCTCGATGGATCTTCTCCCTCTTTCCTCGACTGGTTCAGTCGTTTCACAATTGCTCCATTCGTACGTATGGTGATAAGGGATACGATACCGCGGGCTGATGCGTCATGCATACAGCGCGCCTTATGGGATCCGGAAGCGAAGAAAGAAATAATCCAGAAGGAAGTGCAAGACCTGCAGCTCTGCACAGACGTCTCTATCCACGTCAACGTGAAGGCTGAGAAGTGGCTTATGAAGCGGGGGGTTGACTTCGAGCATGGCGCAAATCTAGCGTCCGAGCTGATGTCCCAGAGGCTACTACACCGCATAAATGAAGGGGACGTCAGGAGGGGAGACAGGGTCGAGTTCCGGATGAACGCAAGGTCGAACGCTCTCAGATGCGTTGTGCCGACTGACGATTTTTGGTCCCGCTTCCTTCCTACACTATCCCCCACTGACGACGCCAGAGAATTTAACTTTACATCTACTGCTGGTCCAGTTTTTCCCACGGAGGAGTATATGACGGAAATAGTTTCTGCGTAAGAGCGTGATTAGTGCCATTCGACCGTTTGCCATTGACATTCACGTAGGTGCTAGCAGGTAACTACATCCCCACGAGGTTGTCCTTAGTGTTGTGACTAATTGTATTTCTAACTGGTGAGGGGGAAGAGAACACGGCTGCTCTTGGAACTACTCTGGCGTACTTGCACACCACCGAAGATAACACAACACCTCTAAACATTTTAAATCATATTCCAGGATTGCATTTACGTAGTACACAGGGATGACGTTGGCTTTATACACAATCGCATACAAATCTCAGAGCAACAAGCGAAGCAGCTCCACCCACTTCTTCACAAAGCCTTCCACATCACCCACTGGCATGGCATGGATGTTTGCATCAGCGCTCACCGTGATCTTGCCGCCCCAGGAGAACGACCGGAAGAACCTACACGCAGTCATGTCAACAATACTTGCTTACTACGAAGAACAAAAACGTACGGGCCGGGATCGGTCTTGTTCAGGGACACGAAGAAATCGTCGATCTTTATGACGTTCGTGCCCTTAGCATCGCTGTACTCCGGCTGCAGGTAGGTCTCTCCGACGCCATCGCCAGCATACCACGGGCCCATCCACGGCTGCGGCGGACTGTATTCCATAGCAGGAGTAATAATGAGTTACCAGATCGAGTCGCAGCTGAGGAGCGTACTCACGCTCCGCTCGCCTTCATTCCGCTCATCATAAGGTCAATCTCCTGGCAGGCGATAGCCATCAGGGATTCGTACGCGCGCTGCTTCGCGTACTCGTCCTTGACGATCCCCGATAGACGCAAAAGTACATCCCTGTTGTTCTCGCTCGCGGCAGGAACTGCAGCAGAGACGGGCACCTGGATCGCGGTCATGCCGAGTGCGTAGCCTGGGTAGCCAAGCTTCCCGGAGTACGGTGCAGCGAGGCGCGCACGGCCGTCTACGAGTCCGTAGAACACGAACGTGGCGTCCGCAGAGGTAGACGCAATCGGGGGGTTATCGAGGGCGCACACCAGGGTTACTGCAGCGTGAGCTGAAGAAGGAATATCAGCAGAGCCAATGGCTGAGAAAAGTGTGAGCCTTACCGACATGGTTGAACGTGAATCCGCGAGCTTTCGCGGCATCCAACAGCTTCTTGCTCTCCTCAGCGGAGAAAGTGAATGGGATCCGGCGCGTCGGCCCGGGCCCGATGTTGCGTGCCTTGAAGCCGTACTGGCGCTGCAATGGGTAGGAGTTAGCACAAGAGTGAGATGGAGATGGAGGAACATACAGGCATGGCACTGCCAAGATCGCCAAGCATATTGCTCAAACAGCGCGTATAGGTCTCCCCAGACCTTTCCTCGGTCGGACCCAAGACCTCTGAGATGCACGGCAAGAGATTCTTCGACTCTGTTCCCCATTCGAACTTTTCCTGTGCGAGGGCGGGATCGCTCAAATAGAGCGCGAGTTTGGTGAGGACCAGGGTCAACACGATCTTGATCCCAGCTCCGTCGAAAGGGACATGCGATGTGTAGAAGACGAAGTCGTATGAAGTGTCAGAGCGGGCGACAATGTAGAGGAACGTCTGGTCGCCATTCGTCTCCGGGATGGCCTTCTTTCCCAGCTCGAAACGCAGTTCATCAAGGTCTGGCATTCCCTCGACGAGACGGACAGTGCGCTCAGCCCAGTCGTGCACTTCAGTGGTGTCCTTGGCCGTGCGATACGTGATCAAGGACGTGCCTGCAGCGTCGTGTTCGCTGTGGACAGCAATGATGGGCGTGCTGAAGCGAACCGCCGACCAGGCGTCGCGGGCACGGGCAACGAGCTCAGTGGTGGGCACAGGCTTAGACAGCGTAGCCTTCAGTGCGAGGAAGAGGAATTGCTCTCCGTGATTGATGTTGTGGAACACATCCTCGATGTACTCGCCACCGCCGGCCTCACGCTTCCAGTATGAAGCGTCGTCGGGTGAGGCCCGCCATACGTAGCGTCCGAAATCGAAGGGGGGAAAAGCGGGCGCAGTCATGGTCTAAAGCAACAGGTAACAGGGGTGGCGAAATGGAACTCTGACTGGGGGATCTTATGAGGGCGAGGACATACGATCACTGGTAACAAGTAAGCTCACGATCGGCGCTTCGCCAGCATAAGTTGGACGGGTGCCGCGATGCCTTCGATGTCTTCATCAGCGTGAACGTTGCATTTCGCTGTGCGATGGGATCCCGAGATAGAATTGAGAAGGGCGTTCCTTTCAGGATATCGACCTTGCAAGCTCTGAGACCTGAAGCTGAAGCCTGAGGCACGACCTGTCTGTCCATAATTCTTCGGTGTCAGCGAGGTGAGCCATGCCCGCGAGTCAGAGAAGGAGATGATGCTTTCGAATTCTGGTCTGATGCATGAGTATCATCGTGATTCTGATATGTTTGGGCCCTGTAGAAGACTGAGCCAAAGGATATTGGGTATGGTGAAACTTCGCTTCTATCCATCAAGATGGAAGCGACTTCAGCGCCGACGCAAGTTTGTCATGCCGCCTTCGTGGCTCTTCGTGGTCCCCGCAACAGATCCGGGGCGATAATGAGCAGTCTAGCTTTGAGAACCGTACGGGTAGATCAAATAAGACAACAAAAGCACATGATAACATGATGCTGATCGCAGTTTGCGCGTCCTAATGAAAAGACAGTCGACTAGATCCGGGAGCGATCCTCGGACCAACGTATGATCTCCATGCGCTCTACCTGCAGCTCACCCGAGATCCTGCTGCAGTACAGCCTTTTCCAAACCGTCATGGTCGATGAGTGGGTGGAATTTGAGTCTTTTGCGCTTTGAAGCGCGGAGGCACATCTCGGACAAGCACATCATATCCGGGTAGATACGGGTAACTCCAGAAGAACGTTCGTCGTGCGTCTTGTGTGCATTCCTCCAACATCTGTCCGCGAAGGACGGTGTATGCGATACCCCCGGGCGACACCCTGGGATGCTCCGAGTCAGGATTTCGGGGGTGGTGTTGATCATCATTACCGTGACGAGCTATACATTTCAATGATGCCGCTGCAAACTCAACCACATGATATTTACTTGACAGCTTGGGAGATTCATGTGGTACCAACACAGTGCGCAGTGAGTCGCTGGCGCAGCCAAGATCTATCCACACGGCTGCCAGTGCTTGAGCTCACGCAAGTGTTCAAGTTGAAACTCGTGGAAACTCCAGGTGAACACGAGGTGGACCGTACGATTCGGAAGTTGATGATGATAGATCTGCAGCGCACTGAATCAACTTGGTGGAGTTCAGACTCCATGCTGCAATTGCCGCGCAGGTCGAATCTGATTCGGTCTACATTACTGGCATACGCAAACTGAGAAACTCGGGCTCGAGATGATATCCGTGAAATCACGACTGCATGATCGGACAGATTCTCTTTCTCGTGCTTTATTCGCCATGTAGTCGTACTATGCAACGCCTCAACTATGACAAGCGATCTGCAGCTTGAGTGAGGAGGTGTACGTATCCAGCTTTCCTTTATGAAAACTCATGTATATATTTTCATGGTATCCCCTGAAGACCCAATCAGAATACACCCTCGTACACTAGTTCGAACATCGTTACATCGAGGTGATCGGCATACAGTTAGCAGGAAACGAAATACTGCGTGCCTAATATCGAAGTAGAGCATCCAGGGCGACACCTGAAGTAAAGTAGAACTACACCCAGAAGTATACAACAGCAGGAGAGGGAGGCCTATACCTGACCCAGCCCGGATTCGACATCAGTCAACGACTCCCGCTTGGCGGGCAAGTCATCTATATCACGGTGCGTCTCCAACGTCTTGGTGATTTCGATATGGTTCCCGAGTGTAGCGTGGTCGAACACGCGCGTCTCGAGCGGGTACACGTCGCGCCCGACCCCGCGGCTGGCGGAGACGCCGCCGCGCGAGGCGTGGTTCATGAACACGGGCCCGCGCGACGGGCCGGAACTATGCGACGACGTGTCCCCGTGGGAGATGAGGCCCAGGTGGACCGCACGGAACACGCGCGTCGCCATCGCATTCTCCAGTGCAACATTCGGAATAGTGAACATCGCGCGGAAGACGGGCGACACGCTCGGGGAGAGGATCATCGCCATCGTGAGAATGTTCAGAGCGACAGTCACGCTGGAAAGGAGCAGCACCGTCAGCATGAGAGCGTTTACAGAGCAAAGAACGAGGAGAACATACAAGTAATACAGTTGACCGCCTTGGAGGAGCATTTTCGAAATTTTTGGCAATCCGTCACCTCGAGTGAATGACCTGAGTCGGTCTCCAATGCCGTTCCCTTGCATTGAAAAGGAGACGAGCCGGACTGAAATGAACAGGAAAACAAGTGTGTCGTTCACAGTGGTAGTGATTACGGCGGCGGAACTGTACGATTTCACGCTGCTATTGATGCACTTGTCTGTTGTCCCAATGTGCGTGCCGCTAATAGCGAATGGAACTGTGAAGGAGGTGCCGAGAATAGAGAGCCATAGCACCCCGAAAATTACCATGATAAGGCGGGAGTTGTGGAAGACTGCGCAGACGCGAAGATAGAAGAGCGCAGAGGTAGCTGGGACACCGACTGTGAAGCAAGAGCCCAAGGCAACTTGGAGGGCCTGGCAAGAGCCTACCGAAGCGACTGCAAAGAAGAGTCAGTTTTGAACAATTGGAACGTGACGATCAGATGTACATACTCTGGAAGATAGTACTTGTCAGGATGTAAGCGAACGCGCCGATTCTGAATTTTACGACCAGGGTAAACGACATGACCTCTGCAAGCATTAACGGTGAAGGACCCTACCGAGAGATACAATAAATAATATTGGAAAGACGGATAGGAGCCTTGATGATGATCCTATACTCGTCCGGCCATGCCATCATCCAGTCCCAGATGAATGCCTGAGGGACGGTCAATGAGAGCTACAAGTGTGGCACAGAATATTTTTTGTGCTTACAGAGAGGGTGGCAACATACAGATAACGCGAGCCCTCAAAGTCATTGGCAGTGGCAGGCGGCAGCCATGCCAAAGGTGTGTAGGGGTTGGGCATATCCTGCGGTAACGGGTTGGTGGCCATGGCTGAGGAAGACTGAGACGGATGAGGCGGAACAGCAAGCCCGAGACGACATGGAGCAGCTATTGATAAGCCTCGCGCTCGGCGAGTGAGGTGCATGGTTCTAGTTGCCTAGCGCCCCATGATCAATGTCCGCGAGACAACGCCGGAAACTGATGTGGTTGGAGCTGCACAGGCATGAGAAGTTTAGTTGCAAAAGTGGCACTGTCAGGCCCAATCTTCTGACATTTGCAGATGGAGAAATGTATTACAAAGTGCAGTGCGATCAGACAGGTTGTTCTGGAGTTGCCTCAGATCCTTTCGCCAGACATGACAAGGTTCTTTCGTGTGTTCTTGCCCCTGGTAATCGATGATTTCTGCACGTCTACAGATGCCATAGTCCGCCAAATCGGTGTTAGACGAGACAGGAATCACGGGATCAGATGATGTATGATTGAGGTGAGAAGTTGTTGGCGTCGCTGCGATGGAGAAGTTGGTCCGACTCGGATGAAGGATTGAACCGGCGGATGTGCGGAATCGATCTGGGGATCTTGCTTCAACCGGCGTAACGACCAGGATTGGAAGGAGGAAACCGGGCCGACGAACAAGGACTTGAGCTCGAAGGCAGGCCGCAGAAAGCACGCCCAACTTCAGTTCGCCAACACGCTCACCTCCAGTGACCTCCAATGGATATCACCGTACTCGGATCACCCAAGCTTCTCTCGGTCGGCATGCGTATATCACGATTCCATACTACGCCACGAAGTCCGTTTACCTGCCGGCACTGCAAGCTTTCCCTTCTCTCTCGCCCATCTTCTCCTCGTCTAACATGCCCGAGGCTGAGAAAGTGGACATAGCATCCACCCCAAAGGTCGAGTCTATTTCTGAGCTCACTCTCGAGGCTCAGCCTGAGCCTGCACCCGCGCCCGCCCCGGCACCACCGCCATTCAAAGAGGGTGGCATCCATGGCTATCTCACAGTTTTCGGCGCATTCCTCGCCCTCTTCGCGACATTCGGCCAGATGAATGCCTTTGGCAGCTTCCAGCTGTGGTACTCAGAACATCAGCTCTCAAATTACTCCCCATCTGATATATCATGGATCGGCTCGCTCCAACTTTGGGTGTTCTTCTTCTCCGTGCGTAGTTAACCTTCACCCACTGCGTTTATCATCTCACCTCAAGGGGCGGATAGGGAGGAATAATTGGAAGGTTTTTCGACGCGTATGGACCGACAGTTTTGCTCGCGCTCGGCACTGTAGTATACACGTTCAGTATCATGATGACCTCCCTCGCCTCTCGCTATTACCAGTTCATTCTGGCACAAGGCATCACCTTTGGTATAGGAAGTGGTCTCCTGTGCGTCGGTTGCTTCTTGTTGTGTTGTGATTTCATTGATTCCAACTTTCCATTTTACATGCCAGTTTCTATCCCGCTGTCAGCGGTGCTTCGACTCACTTCTTAAAATGGAGGGCTACAGCGATCGGCATCGTCGTGTCCGGATCGAGCGTTGGTGATTATCGTCGTGTATCTCATTGCACACTCACTCACTCATGTATATATCCAGGCGGGGTTGTTTTCCCTGCGATGCTACAGCGTCTCTTCAACGAAACCAGTTTTGGCTGGGCCGTGCGTGTATCTGGATTCGTCTGTCTCGCTTGTGGCATCTGTGCCACTCTCACGGTGTCAAGCCGTTTGCCACGTCGAAAACCAGGACCATGGATCGACCTGCCGTCCCTACGTGACTTCAAATTTCTGCTCTTTTGTGCGGGTGCTGGGATGACATGTTTTGGTGCCTTTCTTCTCTTCTGTTCCACTTATTTCATCTCTGATCTCCCCCTAACAACATTGACAGGTCTGTTCGTTCCTTTCTTCTACATCGTGCAGTATGCAGAGGCGCACGGTATTAGCCAGGCACACGGCTTTAACCTTCTTTCGATCATGAACGCCGGCAGCGTAATAGGGCGGGTGCTCCCAGGCCTTGCGGCAGACGCGGCAGGGCGATACAACTTGTTCCTCATCTTCGCATTCTCGTCAGGCTTATTCACGCTCGTGCTCTGGCTCACCCAGACGCACTTCCAAGGCCTCATCGCTTATGCGGCGATATACGGCTTCTTCTCTGGAGCTGTCATCTCCCTGACCACTCCATGCATTGCCCAGATCTCGCGGATTGAGCAAATTGGTACGAGGATTGGGATGGCGTATAGTATCCTGTCTTTTCCGTAAGTACCGATCACACCTTTCCGACGATACAAGACGTACTGATATCGCACCGTGCGTGCAGCTCTCTCGTCGGCGCTCCGATCGCGGGCGCACTGCTGACACGCGCACACGGGGACTTCCACACGATGATTATATGGACGGGCGTGACGCTGCTCGCAGGGAGCGCCCTGCTGTTGGTGCAAAAGCTCATCCTCAACAGAAACCCCCTTGCCAAGGTCTAGGATACTTTCTGTCCTCATCGCTATGAGTACGCTCGCTGTCTCCGTTCTGCCGATTACGCTTTGTTCATGCCTGTAAATTAATTTCTATACTGTAGTTAGGTGTGTCGTCTGGACTGTGACCAGATAGATATGCACGTTGTACGATTGTAGGGACACATGGACTCGTGACCAGATGGAACCTTCGTCAGCCAGCGGGTGCTCAGTTGAATGTGAGTGGAGACTCTGGCGTGTCAGTCAGATATTTGGCAGGCCTGCGAGCCGCGTCTCACGACACTCTGTCATTGGACGGCATCGAGTCGGTGGCGTGTCGCGTCCTACGTTCCAAACTAACCGCTGCGTTATTGTAATCGTGTACACGCTGATAGGTATTCCCTGAAACACAGAATGATGCGCAAACATTATGCCGGCTTGAGAACGAATGGCTATGATGTATCAGAGTACAGAGGCTGCGCGCATCTGATCGCACATCATCGCAGAGGCATCGGACTCGATCAGAGTTCCGTTGCGATCTCATCGCGGTTCGGTGGCGCAGGACCATTAATGGTACTAGTCCGTACACGGACGGCGCCTTCGTGGCACCTTGATGTCATTCGTGTGCTGACTTGCTGACTGACATGGTACACACGTGTTCTTTTGGAGGTGACATCCTGAGTGCCTTCCTGGGTACCATCTGATAGATAGGAACTTCTGCTACCATTCATATTGCCCTCGGAACAGACATGGCATACATCTGAGGATGCAGGTCCATCGATCCCCGTTCTTCTTGATAGGTTCTGGTCGTTGCACAAGGACTTGCAGGGACGATCTGCCAGTTGTGGCAAACAGCACCGTGCAGCGTGTCGGTGCGTCAGTACGCCATGCATGTCTTGGCGCGATACCTACATGATTTCCGAGACATGCACATAACATACCTGGACAAGTGTGGAACGCATAATGAGGGCGGTACACTCTCCGGCCTGCCGCCATAAGCTCCGTCCGCATTGTGACCGCATCACGCCGGTGGCTGCGCACTCAGTATAAGTACCCAGGTCTATCAGCCTTTCATCAGCTCCAACTATCAGAACATCAGGAAGTAAGGTGCGCACTGAGACCAAATTATCATACCGTGCTGACCTCGGAAAGGACTGCCACGCGCGCGCCATCCAGTGGGTGATCATCATATCGTGATGCCGCAGCTATGTCGCGCGACTAAGGCATGAAGACAGTGCACTATTCATGTTGCTCGAAACCCATGTTCGTGATATTTTTAAGGGAAATCCGGCGGACGTGGAGATAGGTGTGCCAATGTGCCAGACGTCTCACTTGAATCGCCACCGGATCTGTCAATCTCAATCCTCAGATGTAAGGGGAGAGAATGCGGCTGCGAGAATTAATCGTCAAAATACAAACTCAGGAAAGTTCTGCGGAGCGGATCACTCTCTCGCTCGTATGGAGAGTGGGTTCCATACTTCTGTCTTGTCCCGACGAAGACGGCCTCGTTGTCCGACACTCGTTGCCGCTTGGCCCTCCCATGTGCATGAACAGCACGTGACCTTCATATTGATGTCGTGCGCGGCGTGCGCCAAAGTCTTCTTGAGTGTCGACGTGTTTTCTTCCCTGTCCGGTTTGAACTCCCATAGCTGTCATGAACAGAATCTGAAGCATAGTGTCAACGTTGATAGGCTTGTCTTTGGGACTCCATCCAATCCATCGGGTCGGGTACCGCCAGACTAACTTATCTGCGGGGATCATCAATGCGGGAATGCTGTGATTAACCCATCTGTGGGTGAAAGTAAGGTGAAATGTAGACTGATACACGTGGAGCCTGTTGCAAATCGCATTTATTTGACCGTTTCTCCGAAGATCTCAATCTGGGAGACTACTAACCATGGGAGTCAACGTTCTCAGCGTCGCAAAGCGAGCGATCACTGTACTGGATTCAGGGTCGCATGATGCATTCTTCAGATCTATTACCTTTGCAGTATATCTTGTTTCTCGCGGATCTGAATTACAGGAGGCCTTTCTTTGCATAGATGCCGTGCAGCTGCCCTGACCATGATATCCAGGTGGGTTCTCTCAGCGCACTGGAATGATGAAACTTAGCATGAAGTTTCATCACCGCCGCAGCATATCAGCCCGGACTCGCTAGATAAAGCATCGCGGCCATACGAGAGTCTATCTCTACACCAACACATTTCGACACTGCTTACCTCATGTCGGGCGAGGTCGCGATAGTACGTCAGTCCATACATGTCGACGTGCGCCCACTCACGGCGCGTAGGTCGGCATTTCCGCCGAATTACCTAGCGGGTCCTACTCGGAATCTAACTTGGACCATGAATCTTTCTACGAGTTCTTGATGAACCGGGGGCAGTCTTACGAACGACTACCCTCGAGTCGTTTCAATATTGATGCGTAAGTCCACGACTTTGAAATACTCGTTGCGGACGTTGATCCAACATCTTTCGTAGATGGAAGGGCAACGGGCTGGCGGAGATCCACGTCGACCAAGGCTCATTTCTCAAAGAGATTGACATGTTCGACAACGTCGAGTTCGGCATATCTGCCCGGGATGCCCGGTACATGGCTCCTGTCACCAGAAGGCTCCTCGAAAATTGCTTTCTCGCATTACTGGATTCGGGGGTTGACTACAGGATGAAGAACGTTGGATGCTTTACCTCCGGCAATGCATTCGAGCTGACGAACATCTCTGAACCCGTGAGCTGTGGCATGCGTCATCTCAATAATGCTGTAAATTAAGGTGACGCGCTGTTTCAGGACGAGTATGATGCCAAGGGTACCTTCTCTGGTCTACCAGCAATGGTGGCAAATCGTATCTCGAACCACCTTGACCTACTTGGTCCCTCTCTTCCTACCGACACAGCATGTAGTTCTACTCTCACGGCATTGCACCTGGGGATACAAGCAATTCTCAGTGGAGATTGCGAAGCTGCTGTCATTGGTGGTTGCCAGTTGAACCATCGGTAACTCTTCACTGTCATTGATGGAATTATCATCATACCAATTCATCATCTTCTTGAGGTTTTTGGATTGGTTCATGTACAGCCAAGGTGGTATTCTATCCAAAGACGGAAAGTGCAAACCGTTCGACACATCAGCAGATGGGTGAGTTTTTCTTTCTTGACGTTCAATTCGTCCTCAAAACCATGCAGATTCGCGAGGGCGGAAGGTTGTGTCGCAATTGTGATCAAGCCACTCGAGCAAGCATTGAAAGACCACGACCGTATCTACGCAACGGTAAGACCTACGCAGCTACTTGTTCTCACTATACTGACGTAAATCTAAGGTATTGGGTACTGCGATCAATTCTACAGGATCAGGAGCCCCTCCTGGCGCGCCAGTTGCAGAGTCGCAACGTGATGCGATGATACAGGCCTTCAAGCGTGCTGGACGACAACCACAGGAGGTTGACTATGTCGAAGCTCACGCCACAGGTATGTGAGTTATAAATAGCAAGCTAGCCACGGAACTGACTTAGCGAGTTAGGCACGGCTAAGGGAGATCCAACGGAGGCCAATTGGATTGGCGAGCACTTCCATAGAGAGGATGAATTGGTCATTGGCAGCGTCAAGGGAAACATCGGGTTCGTTCGTCCATCTTGTCATCATCCCTCACTAATTGATCGACCCTGCGAAGACATACCGAGATTGCGGCGTTCTTGACATCTCTGTCTAAGGTGATGTCGACATTCAAACATGGCGTCATCCCGCCTAACGTGAATCTTACGAACTTGAACGCTGCAATACACTGGGACGAGTACAAGCTTCGAGTACCGACAGAACCGACAAGGCTCCCTTGTCGGAGTGACCGATCCTTGGTCGCAGTAGCTTGTTCTGGTATTGGAGGCTCCAATGGTCATGCAGTTATTCAAAGCCCTCCCGCAGCGGCACGTTTGTGCGACCAGAGCGCACCGAACCCAGACCGACCTGTCTTGCTCATGGCCTGCGGGTTGTCGCCACGGAGTGCCTCTTCTGTGGCAGAGGGAATTCAAGACCTGCTGAAGCAAGATCAGATCGATCTCTCTGCTTTGTCTACTGTCTTGGGTCGGCGATCGAAGCAAATGACGTGGAGATCATTTGCGGTGTTGGGAGGCTCTCAGTCGAGCTCTCCAGTGTTCTCTAACCCGCAGCACTGTTCGCGTGCGTCGCGATCAACCGTGATGATTTTCTCCGGACAAGGTCCCCAGCACAAAGACAGTGAGTCAGCTACAACGTTCTTACTCGCTCATAGATGACAATATTGACAGTGGGCCGCGTCTTGTTCGAGATGTTCCCCGTTTTTCGCCAGAGCGTCATGGAAATGGACAGTGTTTTCGTGAAAGCCACAGGGAAGTCACTGAGAGCAGACTACGGTCTCTTCGATGGAACGCCGCCCCCGGAGATGTCGGATGTTTGGCCAATATCCTTGATTTTACCCTCTCTCGCGATCTTCCAGATCGCTCTGTATGACCTGCTCGTCAGTCTCGGCGTCAAGCCCGACATCGTCCTCGGACATTCGGCAGGAGAAACGGCAGTACTATACGCCTCGGGCGCTGGGTCGAAGGCGATGGCGATAGAACTGGCTATCCTTCGTGGAAGAGTGTTTTCGTCCCTGGAGTGTATGGGCGGGACGATGGCTGCAGTTTCTTGTGGCCCCTCCGACGCGTCCGAGCTTCTCGCTCAGTATCGCGCTGAGGATCCTGACAGTATCGTTGAGATCGCATGTTTCAATTCTCCCTCTGCAGTCGCCCTTGCAGGCCAGAATGCGGCAATCGATCGAGTGTTGGAGCTTGCGAAACTTCGCGACGTCTTTGGGCGCAGAATACGGACGAAAGTGCCCATCCATTCGTCGATGATGGAAGCTTGCCGCGACGAGTACTGTGGAGGCCTGCGTGAGCTCTTCGAGAGGTATCCAGGTCCCCATGTACCCCAGATTTCGACGTACTCCACATTTACAGGGGAACTCTTCTCCGGACCGTTCGACGCCCAGTATTTCTGGGATAACACGCGCTCCCAGGTTCGATTTACACAGGCGATGGAAGCGCTAGGAAGATCTCAGAATTTGGCGTTCATCGAGAATGCGCCGCACCCAGTGCTCTCGGCATACGTGTCGTCTATGGTTGACCAGTCGTGCCCTGTTCTCTCCACGGTTCGACGCTCGAAAGGCGGGAAGCTCCTGTCCGAGTACAACGACATTCTGAACTTCTGTGGTCAGCTGACTACTGCAGGCCATAACTGTGTCGACTTCACATCGCTGAACACCCGTGCTTGTTATGAACTTGATGTCCGGTTACCTGTGTATCCGTTCACAAAGAAGCAGTTCCCTTTGTACCCAGATACGGCCGGGTATGCGAAGCAGATGGATTCACGAAGGGGTCCTATGAATCACAAGTACATGAAGATGAACAAGGAGACTCATCCCACTCTCGGTGAGCATATCATTAGAGGTGAACCGATCATGCCTGCAGCTGGTTACCTCGAAATGGTGCGTGCTCGATGGACTTCTTGATGCGATCCACCCCACCTGAGAAGGACTTTTGACAGGCGCTTGAATTTGGAGCTTCAGCATTAATGAACGTTAACCTTCGTTCGATCCTATCCTTGTCCGCAGAAGCACCTATCAAAGTCAACATTAACCTTGATGGGTGCTATTGGACGGTTAATTCCGGCACTTCATCATCTCACACTCGAAAGGACGCTGAGATGGCTACGGTAAGGCTTCTAATCGTGGAAGGGATCGACGATGCAGCTGATGATGTCGATCTGATTACCAGACAGAGATTCTACATGCCGATGGATACCTCTCCTTTGAGGAGCCATCTCCTAGCAACACTGTAGACATTTCTGCTATTCGCCAGCGTTGCAACACCTACGTCGATACTGGTATGTTAGCCGTTTCCTGACGTACATTAAGTTCACCATAATTACACAGATTTCTACTCTTCGTTGTCGTACTTCTCGTCATATGGTCCTCATCTGCAGCGTGTAACGAATGCGTACCTCGGCTCGGGTGAGGCGTTGGTCTCTGTCAGAGGTTTGGATGAAACACTGTCCCAGTAAGTAGTTTCATTCTGGGCAGTACATCTTTCCTCACCTATCCACAGGGAAGGAAATTACGTTTTGCACCCCGCAATTCTCGACGCCTGCTTTCACATCATGACTTACAGACCCTTCCACGGAGATTTCAATCCGAACGTCTACTACCTCCCGTCGTTCGTAGATGCTATCATTCTGCATCAACCCAGGCGGCCGAAATATTTCCCAGCGCATGTCTATGCCCATGTTAAACTAACGCAGTGGACACCGGGTTGGTTATTTATATCCCGACGCCTCTATTGCAGGCTGATAACCTGTCGTGTCAGACTCAATGTACTACAACATCGTACTTGCGGACGATTTCGGCAAGGGTCTATGCACGTTGCAACAGTTCAAGATGGCTAAGCACCGCATCAACCCGTTACCTGATATCTCGCGACCGTTCGACATCGTTCTGCAACCTGCTGTGCCACAAACTTTGTCATCCGACTTGAGAGAAGTGCTCGATAATGGATTTAGCAAGAGAAGGATATCTATCAAGGGAGGAGATGTGAAGGTTCAGGTCACTGAGTGAGTCGGTACGTATCTGAAGGAGGGCTTGTGCTGATCATTCTCACAGATTCAAGCATCTTTCTATGGAAGACGGATTGTCCTTACCGCAGGACGTTCAATCTGCGTCCGATGAATTAGAGTATGTCCTGCTGAAGAGTAGTCAGACGTTGCGGGGCGCTATCTTAGCCCTTGGACCGACCAAACAAGTTGTGCGCCTCTTAGTCATAAGTAGTGGTATGTGGCATCCCTTTATTTCGCCGACGGGAACCTTATCGTTCGTTTGCAGTGGATGAATTGTTCGGCGAAGTCAAGAACATTCTCCGGGAGTTCCCAGACCTCTTCTTCGAGATTTCCGTCACCGATGCGCAGAAGTCGGAGCTCGTGGCTGTGGACTCTCGGAGTGGCATTGTACGCGTGGCTGAAATCGACTTGACTGATTTGACGCGCCCACCCCGCATCAATGTTTTCGACTTCATTATCATGCTCGATAAGATGAGCTTGGAGATGAACTTCGAGGCAGTCATTCAAACCTGCAGCCGACTCCTACTTCCTGGTGGTACCTTGGTCTTGACGGAGCTAGTGGGCAAAGCCGTAAATGGACGGTCCCACAATTTCCTGCAAGATCTTGTCTCTCCTTCGTGGACTTCCCCAGAGTATATGCTCAGTCACTACCTTCGTTTGCTTCAGCAGGCCGGGTTCATAATATTTAGCGCTCACTGCATCAACGCTGCCACTGGGTCTCATTTTATCACTGCAGGTCAGCCTGATCCGCGAGTGGATGATGAAGCAGGCCAGGCTCTGTTCGGTTCATCGACTTCTCTCGTCTTTGATTACAAGTTTGGTGGAGAAATTGGATTGCAACAGAAGCTAAGCCAGCTGGATGTCACCCAGAAGTTGGCTCTATGGATTCTCGCTAGCGAGGGCTTAGACGGTGGTTCAGCGATGGGGTTGCTTCGCGCCTTGAGGAGGGAGTATCGTTCGTGGAATATTCGCCTGGTCATATTTCCAGCGCGGTACACCAAGGAGATGCAATTGAACTCACTGAGACGATTGCCGATCCACATTCAAGATGAGATGGAGATCGTGATCTCTTCAGAAGGCGAGCCTGTGGTTCCTCGGATACTTCCCTTATCCCCAATAGGCCCATCCGTTTACAATACCTCTTCAAGCATCGCAGATAGCCTCCCGCTGAATCATGTTAACGTATCCGTCCAATGTTCTTCTGCGCGAGGTGATATCTCAGGGTTCCTCGGTATCGTCATGGAGAGCAACGATGCCCAAATGAGAAGGGGATCTTTGGTGGCGGGGCTGACGGCAGACGTTTCGCAACAGCTTTCAATCGACGCAGAGTCAATTCGTCCTATCTCCAATCACGTAGCGTGTTCTGGACCCGCCGCTGCGTCTTGCATACCCGGATTCACGACCGCGATCGTAGCGCCAGGAATTAGTACTTTCAATCACCTTGACCGCTTGCGATCGCTCCGCATCCTCCTCACGCATTGTGACACAGATATTGGAATAGACGTCAGCTACGTCTATTCCACGAAGGGTGTGAAATTTACACAAACCACGGAGGATGCCCGCCTCGTTGATCTTGCATGTTTGCGTGGCGGAGGTTTCGACTTGGTCATCTCAGGCTACACCGACCTTCCGCATCAGCAGGTGCTGAAGACACTGCTTAAACGAGGACGGGGCAGACTATTCCTATGGAATGACGCTACGACAGGACTCATTGGCATTCGTGAGCATGATCCATGTGGATTCGGCGATGCCCTCGGTTGTGCGCTTGATCTCATTGAGGAGCACATGTCCACAATGGACGTAGGGATGCACCAGGTGATTTCCACCGCTCCCAAGAGCAGTGCTTTAACAGTTGTTCCTACTCGGCGTACTCTATTCGATCCTGAGAAGACATATTTACTTCTCGGAGGAGTTGGCAGCCTCGGCGCGCACATAGCGATGATGATGTACGAGGTAAGCTTGGTGGTGTCCAGTCATCACGGAGCCGTCTGACAGGTTTTTCAACCAGAGAGGTGCTCGCCACATCATCTTGACGTCTCGTTCTGGGGAGAAAAGCTTGCAGAGCCCAAAGAAACGAAGTCCTCGACGCCTGATCAGTTATCTCAAAGAACAGGAACATCTGCACATTCAACTTGAGGCAGTGGACGCGACCTCAGTAGCTGCCATGCAAGCACTCATTGCTTCCCTGCGCAGGCCACTCGGGGGGTGCATGATTTTGACGGCGGCATTATCAGATGGCCTCTTTCAGCATCTGACCGAAAGCGATTTCACAACTAGCTTCGCTTCCAAATCGGGTGTTTTAAACGTCATGAAGGACACTGTGGATATCGCAAGTCTCGATTTTGTGGTTGCCTTCTCCTCCGCGTCCGGACTTTTCGGTGTAGAAGGCCAATCTAACTACGATGCGTACGTCAATATCCACGTCTCGTCTATACCAGATATATTCATTTTTATTCAGATCTAACACTGCGCTGGAGGAAGCGCTGTCCAGCATACCGAACGCATTTTCCTTCATTTGTCCGGGTATCCTGGATTCTTCGTTGATGGCAGTTGGAGATGATCCCAGTAGTGGCAGTTTCGAACATCTCGTAGAGTGGGCATTGTCCACAGAAGGTGAGTTACATGTATTGAAGAGCCGACTGGACCTAATTGTGATGCCTTCTAGACATGATTTGCTGGCTTGAAGATGCGATCTACAGGCAACTTGTCGGGCAGCGCTTCAAACGATACATCCCTGACCTAGATTGGGAAGCCCTGGATCGGACCCTTGGAATGACCAAAATCGGTCAGCATGCTGTTCCGACGTGGACTACTACCCCTGTGTCCACTGCAGACCGTGCAGACGGGATTGCCGAGGTGGTTCAGAAAGTGCTCAGCATCCCGCCCGACGATTTCTCTCCCGAAGTCCCACTCACGACGTACGGTCTGGACTCCTTATCGGCTTCCAGACTGTCATTCGTGCTGCGTCCGTTCGTCGAAGTCTCGCAGATCCAACTATTGGCAAACATGTCCTTGCGTGATCTGCAAGGGAAGGTCTCAGCATCTTTGTTGCCGTCAGCTGCAGGGAAGCAAGAGATCCGGAGGGAGCGCAGCGAGGCCGACCTTATGAACGAATTGGTTGCCAAATATACCCTAGACATGCATCCTCGCTCTACGGAATCTGCGTTGCACTCTCCGCCACCTTCAGAGCACGTCGTCTTAGTTACAGGAACCACGGGAGCCTTGGGGTGTCACATCGTGGCTAGGTTGCTCAGCATGGATGAGGTGAAGCGTGTGTATGGATTCAACAGGACGAGTACAACTGGCACCGCGCTATGGGCGAGGCAGGCAGCAATATTTGCTGCTCAGGGACTTCCTTCAAGTCTTGTCGACTCTCCCAAATTGACTCTGGTTGAGGGCGACCTCGCAGCAGAAGATCTTGGCGTTTCAGGTGACATCATGGACAAGGTCAGAGATATAACATTTTCCCGCGTCATCTGGGTACCTAACATCATCTGTAGCTCGTGGCAGTTACACATATCATTCACAACGGTTGGTACTATTACTTGATATCCAATTATATATACTTATAGCTGCACAGCTTGGAAGGTCGACTTTGGAACGCCACTCGCCGGATTTGAGGACCTGATCAAGGGCACACGTAGACTACTCGATCTCTCGACTCAGTCGACTTTGGAGATACTACCGTCAATCTCTTTCCTCAGTTCGATCGGTGTCTACCAATGTACGTCCAAGATTATATCTATCGTACCACGCGACTGATACCTGCTACTTCCAGTTTCCGATGGTTGTCCTCTTGCTCCAGAGGCACCTATTCTGGACGCCGAAGTCGCTGCTCAAACGGGTTATCTGGAGTCAAAATGGGTAGGTGAACGCGTTGTCCAGATAGCCGCAGAGAAGATGTCACTGCGGACCAACGTTATTCGAATCGGACTGTTGACCGGAAGCGATAATGGCGCTTGGGATACTGCCCACTGGCTACCAGCTCTCGTCCAGTCCGGACCACATGTTGGCTGTCTGCCCGACGGTAACGACGTAAGTGATCCGACGCTGCTTGTTTTGACGTTTACTGACGGGCCGATGACATAGTTCATATCGTGGCTTTCCATGGACCTTGCTGCGGCAGCAGTTGTCGACATGCGCGACACTATGGGCGAGACACTGCACCTCGTACATCCACGGCCAGTCACGTGGGATACCATCATGAAACCTATAGCGTTCATGCTTGCCGTCCCATTGGTGCCATATCGCGAATGGTTCGCTCGTCTGCAGAGCTCTGTCCTGGACACTGCCTCTGCGTCAAACAACTCCAAGGCAGGGGACCGAGTAAGCGGATCCACGATTGACGCGCTGAAGTTGATGGATATGTATCGGCTGGGAATGAAGAACCTGAATCCTCACAGGCGCACGAGCACGGAAAGCATGGGCCTTTTACCGAAGGTCGCTTCGCAGAAGGCGTTCCACGCTTCTGCAACCCTTATGGACGAGCGTTTGTGCCCGCCTCTCTGTCCAGGCGATGCAAATAAATGGGTGCACTATTGGCAGAGCATCAACTTCCTGTCAGGACAGTAGCGGACTTGCATGTCATATTATATGCGTGCTCCGTGCTCCGTGCCGAAGTTATGGCCCGCACTGGTGTTTGTTGTAGTATTTACTTCATGACTTTGTTTCTTGTACGATACGTGTAGATGTCCAGAGAACCAATGCAAGAACAATTCTTTCCCGAGTCATGCCCACAGATGCTGTAGAAGAAGGAAAGTGATGCAGAGTATTCACTTCAACATATAAAAACTACTGAACATGTGCTGAATCCATCAACCTTAAGCAGGTCGTCGAAAGTGGACAAATTCGTTCACTGCGTTTTCTTCCTCCGGCACATCTAGATCTCGGAAAGGGGCGATCAAGCGTACGTGGGGATGCTCACGCACCGCAACTCGTGGCGGTATTTGGAGAGAATCCTGTAAAAATGCATATCCGGAGCGATATGAACCACATCGATTAATTCCAAGCTTTCTATGATCGAAAGTGGCGGATTCACTACTGCGGGAAGTCTCTCGTCTGCCGCGGAATGAGTTATTGACGTGCAAGACACTTAGCTTGAATCATCAGGCAAACAAGCTGGGTGCGGCATTGGACAAGGAAAATGATATCCGGGCCCATGTGCTGATCTGGAAGGTAGAGGAACCGTTCATGCCCTGAAGTCACAGCTGGACGTCCACAGCGCTGGACGCCCCGTACGCAAAGGGGGGGTCGCTCCTTGGCAAATGTAAGTGCGTGCAAGTTGAAAATCGCCATCGGCGTTCCGTCCTATGATCGAGACCAGATGGGCGAGCTGTGACAACCAAGGTTGTCCTTTGCTGTCGTTGTACAAAGTAAAGACGTCCGCCAGCGACTTGACTTCATCAGAGACGCAGATGAGAGTGTGTATCCACGCGTAACTGCTGGTTCAATACGACGCAGGGGTTCCGAGACGTCGGCTCCAGTCGATAGTAAGGGATGAAATTCGACACAACGGAGTGCGGCCGCCATCACAAGGGATTCGTCTATGAGTTGAAGTAACGTCTGTACTTGCCTCCAAATACCAGGAAGATCTAGCCTCTTCGTTCCCAGCCTGATACGGGGCAGCAAAATTTGGATCCTTCAAGTAGTCGCGGATGGCTTGTATTGTCGTGTCGCGAATCCGATCCGCCAGCGTTGGAGCATCGAAGTGAGGCCCCGCATAATCCAGCCGTGCAGCGCCAGCATACGGTGAGATCGGTTCGCGTTCTCCCTGGTCGACTTGCATGACATCCAAGGGTGCTCCGCCAGACGATTCAAAGAGGTCAGATGTAATGCGGGAGGAAGATGCTGCGTGGGTATACTGTGGAAGGGTGGCGGAGAATAGACTGGTCGGTCGCCGTAGAGACCACACCAGACGATGATGCGGCAGTATACTGCTCATCCGCGACAGTCGCACGCTGGAGATCAGCGGCATATCGGGCTACGGCAGATAGATAATTTCTCGAAAGCTCGTGGGCTATGGCATTGACGAGTGATTGCGGTCCTGGACCGTCAGGACAACGAGTACAGGCTCAGAGATTGGCGGCGGGATGGTACACGAAATTTGAAAAAAAAAATCATGAATGGCGATGGAGGTGCGGAGGCGTTGCTCCTACCCTCTGGGAAGTTGGTGAGGCCGCGCGGAGCCATTAATACACCAGATCGAGTAGATCGAGACGAACTCTGGGGACAGCTAAAACATAAGTCCAGCCCCGAGGACACTTCATGCTCGTACCTGCTGGATCTCAACGATCTTGGGTGATGCGATCCATATGCGACAGTTCCTGCAGCATGACGCCGCAGTGCGGAGGATAGAAATTGACGGCTCCGTTCGAAGGTTGAACAAAGCTGTTCGATTTTGTTCCACGAGCGGTAATATTTTTGCAAGTGCGATCACCATTTTCCCCCGAAAAGGCGCAGGCCGAGAGCTTGGATGCGAGCCTCGAAACTGACCGTCCCCAGTAATCATGTGACGAGCTGGCACTTGCAAGCCCAAACAAACATGGACCCATTGCAATCGTGGGGTTGTGAATCCGAACCGCTGCAGCATTTCGCACTGCGACGCAGCACCCATCGACCGACTCAGTCGTATTACTAGAATCTCAGTGAGTGTTAATTGACTTTATCGGGTACTTGATATGGTTCCTGCCAGTGACACTTTTTGCAGCAGCAGCGTACACCGCCGTCGAACGTCTCGTACGAAGTTTCCTGCTGCTCAAAGACGATGGCTCGAAGTCGTCAACCCCCGTTCGTCTGGACACCTGCAAAGGCGCTTGTCCTAGACCGAATGAAGAATCCGTGGTGGCGCTTCTATTATACTTGGAAACAATATATTCTTGACATACCGAGACGAGTAGTCATAGCTCTCTGGAGAGGTGAGTACTACGTAGAAACATAGCTTGCAATACGTTCACATTTGTGTCTAGTTACTCTCGCACGTTGGTTCTTTGTCAAGATATCTGGAGATGCAGACGTGGAAATCGCAACTTTGCGCTTTGTTGCAACACATACAAGCATACCCGTCCCTCGAGTTTGGTGGCGTTTTGATTATCAAGGTTTCGACTGGATTGTATTGAGTCGTATAACGGGTAGTTCCCTTTCGGAAGTTTGGCCAAATCTATCTTTCGACGAGAAAGAGGCAATCGCCACACAGTTGGCGCGTTATATGGCCGAATTACGAAACCTCCCTCCTCCTCCTGGAACTATGATCTCTTCGGTGCTAGGAGGGCCTGTCAATTGCTCCCGTCTGCACGAAGATCCTTCGGGACCTTTCCGAGACGAGCAGCAGATGAACCTGCAATTGCGCAATCTTCAGCCACTCGAGTCGTGCTCCGCAACCGTAGTGTCCGCCCATTCGAGAATTCACCCCCTCGTGTTCACTCATAACGATTTCTATCCGCGTAACATCATGGTCCAGCATAACAAAGTGACTGCTATTATTGACTGGGAGTGTGCCGGGTGGTTTCCTGCGCATTGGGAGTATTGCAAGACGATGAATTGGGGAACGTGGGTTCATCCACATGCGCTGTGGTGCCCATGGGTCCACAAATTTATTCCCCCTTTTTTGAATGAAGAACAGGCAGATCGAGAGCTTCTGGAACAATTTTTTGTGCCGAGTGCGCATGCACCGTAGGCGTCTCTATGGTGAGACTTCTTCAGGTCTGAAGCAATCTGCATGGATGACCTTTTGACCATGGTCTCGTTGCGACAGGTACTTGAGTTTTGGTTCATTATATCCCGCTCCATCAGTGCTTTACAGACGACAATATAGCCGTCGATATACGAATTCTGATAGCAGGCCTTATGGCACGCGATTATCCCCGGGGATGCGTACACTCTTTTGTTCGCTGTCGTTGACTCATATGCATGCGAGGTGTTGCGGTACAATAACTCATTAATACACGATCATTCACGGAGCATCGAGATGCGCATGCGGTAACAGACGTGGTTTGAGGGAGAGGACCGAGTTCATGGCGCCATTAATTGCAATCTTTACCTTCATTCGACGCGGCAGTGCTGTGAGAGCAATCAGGAGTACTGTGTTAAGCTGGCAGACTTACAAATGATATCACGCAGACAAACAATGCATTCAATGCATCATACAGTATACTGCTTCTACCATGTACGCAAAGGATGCCTAACAGTTAAACAAGGAGGCAAGTACCTGCGGTATTTCTGGACGACAAATCCACGCCGCTACTACATTCTGGAGGAGGGGTTACTGTGTACCAAAAAGCATAGCGAAGACAAACGACGCCGAGGTTTACATGTTTACATCCCAAGAAACCACGCGAACACCGTACACAACTTGGCCCGCAATCGAACCTTCCTCCACCTTGCTACCGATGGCATTGATCCTTGCGTAGAACATCTCCTTTCCCGACGCGGTCACAGCTCCATCCATACGACGACCCTCTACCAAGGCTCCCAAGGAGCGGATGACCCACTGGGCGCATGTCCAGCTGGTGTGGGTGAACAACAGCTTGGTGTCGCCCTGACTGGCATCGAAGGAGGCGATGATTCCCTTGAGCTCGTCGTTGGTGCCGACAGCAGGAGGCAGACGAATGCAGCACAAGAAGGAAATGCTCGATGTCAGGGTGACACGTTGGTGGCTAGGTACCCAAGACTCGTTCAAGCGAATCTGGAATACGTCGGCATTGTTTCCGATGGTAGTAGCATTACCGGAGGGTAACACCAATGCCCAGTGGTACCTGCCCTTCTGTCCACTCTTGTAAAGAGCAATGCAAACTTCAGTCATGTTTCGATTGTAGTACCTGGTATACCTGGTATACCGTGAGATATGCATGAAGCTTTTGGGCACCGAGACACGATGAGCACTCACGATGGTAAGGAGATGCTTGATAATAGGGCTGCGTTCCACCTTGCTTTTCGGAAGAGATCTTATACATTTCCAGAGAGAGCACGAGAATCACAGAGAGATAATCAGGCGATGCGCCCAGCCGGAAAGTGTTCATGCTGAGGGGAAAAATCCAATTGCAATTGCGCCATGACATGAGCAGAGAGCAACCCAGAGTATGCAGCTCATCGCCGCCGGTGAGTCATAAGGTGTCACCCACCAGTAGGAGACCAAGAAAAAGCACCGAACGAGAGCCGCAGCAGAATACAATCTAGATTGCGTTGCCTAAAAGCATGGACCCACAATCTACATACAGCAGCGCGGTATCAGAGCAAGACAAATCGGATAACAAGATTTGGGGGACAACCTGAGGTCTCGTGAGTGCGCTTCCGTACACATCAACTAGTCTCTGATATCGATGCAAGTCGCGGACGACAGCCTAAAGGATTGAACGTCAATTCCCCGAGACACCGCAGCCAGGCGCGGACTGCGTGCTCGTTCAGCCCGGCCGGGGAGAAAAATGACACGTTCAAGGATTGGGCATTCTGAAAGACTTCTAAGGGATTCTATCTTGGGAATAGTGCATACTAATCTGCACGACGGGTCCAAACGGGTCCAACTGTGAACACATCCCGATGGGAGACTGACGAAGGTGTACGAACCCGTATATCGAGAACCACACCTTGTGCCGCCCATATCGTTATCCTGGGCTCTTCCATTTCGGCGCGCGATGTAGACCGCAAGGATGTTCCTGGGATAACCAAAACGTGTTCAATATGTCATACGCGAGATGGGTCTGGGGTGAGACAAATTGTCACAGCACAACTCAACTTCCTCCAAAGAGCCGGGAAACCCGCTCGACAACACTGATCTATCATCGTGAAGGCCTGGAGAGAAAAGTGTAGGCTCAAATCTTGTCAGCCTCTGCAGAGAGAAACGACTCCGCGAAAACATACCATAGAGACCTTCCATATATGGACCGTGGAAATTTTCCGTGGTGACCCTGTGTCTTAAATCCGATTTATGCATATACCCCTTGCGGCGTGTATTAGAAACGAATGACTATCTTCCGCTAACAAGAGGCAGTATCTATTGTATCTATGAGGCTAAGCGGCGGATTAACCAGCTTGTAGCGGATCGGAAGAAGTTGTCTCTCTGTGGATCCACGGTCCATATATGGAAGGTCTCTATGGTATCTTGGAGTTGGTGATGCGATCCACATGTGATAGTTCCTGTAGTGCGGGGGACATGATTCAATTGTAAAGAATGGTGGCTCTTAATATAAACGGAAAAGCAGCGAACTTGAAGTTGGTACGATCAGTTGCCAGACAATAACAATGCTGCCGATGTCTGATTTGATGCCTGAGGAGCATTGAACGCCGGATGGTACATCTGCTTAATTGAGATACCTGCGCTGAATTGAGAAGGGCTTCGTGACTTCTATGCCCAGCACGGGCTGTTCTAAACCACCCTGGACTGCTTAGCGTTCCATGTAAATTACTCTGATACTTGGATCGTCGCTGGAGACACCTGCCGGATGTCGCCCGGACAGCGTCTACGAAAGCCCCGGGGAGTTTCATCACGCCCACTGCGTGGATTTGGGTGTGCAGTCGATGTCTGCTCGACTGTCATACTGCGATCGACGATTCAGCTGATCAGGTCCGCGAGCACAACTTCAGAGATGGAAGATGTCCCCGCCTTCATTCTCTGAGATTGGTATCTCAGTACACAGAACTCCGAGTGAAGATACCGGTGAAGATGATAAGGAACAGCTTTGTGAGGTGCTTCGTCGGATCTGTGCGGCTTGGCGAGTGTGCATTCAGCCTGTTGTGTGCAACTGGTTTGAATCGAGGCTGTCGTAATCAGTAACTGTTTGGTGACTACATGCAGCCGATACTAGTAGGCTCGAAACAATGAACCCACGCTATTCGTCGGTTAAGCGACTCATCGCGAGAAGTCTTGCGGCGATGCGGAAAGGAGGTGCGTGCCCCCCTCACGGACTAATTCTACTATCAAGCACATTTTTCACCCCGCAACTGACCCAAAAGCAAGGCGTCATGCGTGAAACAACCATAAACATCAATTGCGCCGCTAATAGTACAACGACGCCTCTTCAAGAAATACGCGCGCTCATTCCAAGAAACTTCTCCTGCATGAGGAGTTGAAAAACACCGAGAACTCCAGACGGAGTATCGGAATCAAAGTCCGATATCCAGGTCGTCGATGTAGTCCTCGATGTGGCCGCCCAGCTTATTGATCACCGCTGCCCTGACCTTCGAATATATCAGCTCGTTCAACACCATGTTCTGCGTGGCTGCACAATTCATGAGGTCAATGATCATGCAAGAGGCACCACACAACATACAGTACATGAACTTGACACGTTCGCTACCAAACTTGAAGAAGAGGACGTTGCCGCGGGACCCCTGAGCCTCATAAGTGTAGGTTCCGATACGGAACTGGATATCGTTGTTAGATTCACTGCGATACAAATTGGATGAGTGTACATGAGCGAACGGTTGGCTGAGCCGCAAACACTGTACGCACATGGCCACACCAACCAGGAAATCAGCACTTTGCCCCTTCCAGGCATTCGTTTGGAACAAGTTGTTAGCGCCTTTGTTGACGGGATTTTTCATGGCGTCAATCGTGGCCTTGAAAACCTCCAACGCGTTACCCTCAAGATAACCCTTCAGAATGGAAAGGATGGCTTGATCGACAGAGCCATAAGAGTTGGCATTGTCAAGCTCTTTGAACCTGCATCCAAGACGTCAGGTACAAGATAATGGGATGAAAATAATGCAAATGTGCGCGTACGTGATGTCTGAGACGACCCATCCGAGATTTTCGAGGACCTCCTTGTACTTCTTGTACCACTTGGTCTTGTCATCCGGGCTCGCCGTGTTAGCGGCAAGCTGGGCAAGCAGTGTGGAGTTCAAGACATCCTCCTGTGATAGTAGATGGTGAGGAATATGGGTTTCGTCAGTTTCAGAAGTACTGACCTTGTTAAGCTGAGACAGATTTCCCACAAACGACTGGGTCGAGCCGGCATTGACAGCACCGGACCCCTCGGGTAACCCCTTGCGACCATGACGGTCAGCAGGAATATGCAAGTGCTCGATGAAGCGAAGGCGGGCTTCAATAGAATGAGACATGACAGCAAGATGTAGATGAAAGCGTTGGCAGTAGTTGATAGGGGAATGAAGGAGGCACTTTGCTCATTGGCCTTGTTTTATACCTGGAGCCATGACCGCGAAGCGCAAAGTTCCGTCTGGAGCATTCTCCGATGTCAGGAAATAATTAATAAATCACCTGGTCGTTCTACCGAAACAGGGTCACAGGACAACGGATGGTACAAGAGGTGTGTCCCCGACGGAATGGAAGTAGGTGTCATCGAGACAAGGCTCTGTAGGTAAGACAGCATGATCCTGTGGCGTCCTGGACGGAAAAAAAATCGTCGATGGTAATCCAAGATGACAATCAGTCACAGAGGGCAAGTGCTCACCGGAATACAATGGTCGAGTTGCAGAACAATATACCACTGTATACAGAGACTAATTAATATTGGCAGTTTTGAAACAGTATGTTCACAGCCACCTCCTCAATGAAGTCGGAGTAGTTTCCACATCTAATCGGCGTTTATACGAAGATAAATCGATTCGCAGTTCGCTCACATCCTGATACCAACCAGGAATTCATACCGACCTGTAATGCCGCATTCTGAAATGGGGGCGAGCTTCACATATATTTACGTCCTTCGCGGCTCGGAGGACGACATCCCGCCAGTCTCAGGCATGCCACTTTAGACGCGTCGGCGGGTTTGGTACCATGCCTCCGAGTAATGCTATGAAACTAAGCGGCTCTGCACAAAGGGGGTTGAATTCGGGATAAAAGCAAGAATCGCACTGAGAAAAGACACAGTGTGTGCCAGGACAAACACGTTCGACGGTCAGACACCATGGAAAAGCCGACGTGGAGCGTGTTCAGCGCATGATGAGGACGTTGGACGTGGGCGCAGTACCTGGGCCCTGGACGCGGGGCAACGGCCTTGGATCCACGCGTGACACTCTGTGGAAGGTGACCTAGCCACGGTTTGCTTGACGTACATACATAATTTAGCATAACGTTCAACGTCAACGTTCAAGTTATGGCACACGGATTTGCGCTTCTACTCGCCTCCGGATCGGACATAATGGAACATATGCCGGGGGGCCTATTTCTCCGGGACTCCACAGGCACGAGCGACGATGAATTCTGCACGTGACAGGAAGTGGACTTCGGATTTGCCTTGACATGGAGACGCCCGAGCGGAAATGTGGCCCTCCCGAGGCTATCAGGACGTGTGAAGTCGGCGTCCATGTCAAGGAGTAAGGCACGGGAGTCTCCATATGCATGTGGCGTATTCAGCCGCGTCGGTAAGTAATATGTCGGACCATGGCAGCTCTGGAATCGAGACTAGTGAGTTCGTCCATATCATACGGAGACCATTTTTGATCCACGAACAAGAGAGTTGCCCATTTGTCTATGTGCCCAGTCATATATTATTCCAACCCAGGTATTCCGCGGTAAAAATGCGCCCTACGCCGCCAATTGTCATCTTGAACGTCTTCAATTCATTCATCCACCTAACGTGAGTAGTCTTGTCATACAAAGTTTGTTTCCGACACGCCTAGTTCCATTCCACCACGGAGGACATGCACACGCGACCTCAATCCTTCACTTGTCCACCACAGTACGTTTCAGGTCGAATTGGCCATGGTACATAGGCTTTATTAATTATTTACTCCATTACGTCGAGGAACTTCGCAATTTTCACTTCTCTGTCACGGCGCATATAAAACAATGCGACCGAGCGATGCGGGCTCTTTATCCCCCATCACGCATTGCTAACATCTTCGTTCACGTCTCGTGGTCATGTCTCTTTCTATTGAAGCACGCCTAAGCTTCATCGAGAGCCTGGATATTCCTCCTGTCGAGACCTGTCTTGCATGGAAACTGGCTGCCGTCAACGGTCGGTTGTTGCAGTCATTCGTTGGAAAGTTAGACCCGGCCCATAAGGTGAGCTCTCGCAGGTTGACGTGATTATTCGTTCTCATCGTCTATTGTAACAGGATGACGTCCTGGACTCGACCCTCCTTGCCCAACTAGCTGCTAACCAGGCTGGAGGAGACGACAAGGATAAATGGTACAAGAAGTTCAAGGAGGTCCTCGAAAACATCGGATGGGTTGTCGAGAGTTTCTCGTACGCATACGATGCTCTACTGTCCTGCGATGAGTTTGGCTTTGACTTCTTGCATGCAGGTTCACGGAAATCGTGAATGTCAATACTTATGGCTCGGTCGACAAGGCCGTGATTGCCATATTGGATCCTCATCTCTCCCCTGAAGCCGGCGAAGTTGTGAAGGCCACCATTTATGCCATGAAACGTCGGGTGAATGCCGAGGCCAATGCCATCTTCCAGGAAAATGCCTGGGATGGGCAGACTGCTAACTTTCAGATTGGCGTGGCCTCGTGCGTACCGCATTCGCATCTCAGACGGTCGCGCCATTGTTCACGTCAAATGTATTCTCTCCAGAGCGTCTGACGGTGATAACGTCCGGCTGCATATTGGAGGCTTCAATTACGCGGCTACGGGCGCGGCCGGAAACGTACTCTTCTTCAAGTTTGGCCACTGTGCCGTCAAGTTCACGTGTGGTAGGTTGCCAAATCTTTCGTGCACGATCGCTGACCTGACAGATCGCGGTCGTGAAGCCGCGCAGACCATGGTATTGAACGAAGAGATATACAACATGGTCAGAGACAGGGTGAAAGAGAAAATCCGCACGGCTATCCAGAGCTATAGGAAGGATGTGGCCGTAAGATTCTGATCCCGATGCTAAGCTCGGTCCGGGCCCCCCCCCTGGGTACCTCACCGATAATATCTTCTGTTCTGCGGGTGTACGATTGTCGAGGGGAACTTGTGTGACAGTAATTTTACTCATGTGTGAACACGGGTGGGTAGTGATCAAGTCTGTTCTCCTTTTGCCTCTTATAAGGCTTTTGCAGCCTGTTGTCCTTGAGTCACGGAAGGTGCACTGAACCGAGTTTATTGGGAAGGCAAATTTTCAGTGAGTAGAGTAAAGGCGAAAGAATCCATCGCCAGGTAGATTCACCGAGAGCTCAGGGCAGAAACTCTGGGACGGCCTACGAGGCCCACCAGGATGTAGTTACCAGCTTGTCTACTGCAACCGCACGCATGGTCATCATTTTGGAATGCCGTCAGATACTCTTACATACATTCAAACGAGGTTCAGAGTTCGTCGAACTGCCTGCGCTACAAGTGATGGTGCCCACGGGCGGACTGGAGAAAAAAGCACTCTGATTCGTTATCCGTAAGTGGACCGTAGGGAAAGTGGAAGACGTGCGGAGAGAAGGCCCACATGGTTTCGAAGCGAGCAGCCACCCACAGGAATATCTAGCTTCGATTTGCACGATTTGCCCTCGCCTTGCCATATTCCTATTTTTTTTTTTTGACAGCCAGTCACTTCTCGCATTTTCCAACGAGAACTGTATCAGGTCCGAACGGTATTTGCAAACATCTGGGTCCTGTTACGATCTGGGACATCACATATCTACACGCGCGACAAATACCGCCGTGAACCTGCAGAGGTAAGACACAGGTTGAATGTATTTCGAGCAAGCCCAATTGAGTTGATCAGAAGGAGCGACCCATGTCCAGGCCTGCATGAACCCGAGAAACGGTTCGCTGCTGTTGGTGATCTCGTAGAAACGGGATGAATGTTGATTCAGGCAAAGTCCGCAGGCAGGATAGAGAAACACACATATTCGAGGTGCCAACGGGCCAAACAAACAAGCCATCAGTCCGGCATGTCCTTCTCGTCTAGCATTGTTCGCAGGACAGTCGTTAATTGCTGGTGCAGAGTCTCTGCATAACTTGGTTGAATATGATTGAAGCCGCTCCAAATCATTCACGCTTACTGGCACGCTGCACAGCATTGTAATAATCCGCATTGGCTTCGTACATCTCCTGTTCGAGGGTCTGAAGGCGTTGCGCCTCAAATGGAGGTAAGTATGTCCGGTGCCATATCCAAGAATGCATAATCGAACCTGCACTTCCTCTGCTTCTGGTTCGGGCAGAGACTGTATGAGATATTCGACCTGTTTCGCCTTAACTAGGAGGTCGGTGACGAGTTCCTTCTTGTTCGCTGCATAAGTCAGGTATATCAACCTGCGTCAGCTGCATATTCACGAAGCGTTTGAGTGGCGAACCTTCAAACACGTCCGGAGGATCGACCTTGTCCGACTTGCGCGACTTTGTAATCGGTACCTCCTGGCTAACCTGCGTAAAGTTGACACGAGAAGTGAGGTATGCAATACTGCTGGACATGATTGTTAGGAGCTGTTTCGAGTAATAGAAACACCTCAGGATCTCCCGAGTAATCTAGGCAAATTCATGCCACGTACCTGCTGGATCTCATCTTGAAGTTGGGTGATGCGATCCATATGCGACAATTCCTGCAGCATGACGCTGCAGTGCGGAGGACAATGCAAAAGTGTACCTCAATATAAATAAACGGAAAACGTGAAGCTAAGCGCACTCATGTTGTTCCGCTAGACGCCAATACCTGGCACGTGCTCGAGCGACTGCACCGAAGATTGAATCTCACATCCTTGCTTTCCTTCCGGAAATTGTCAAAAGTGCCGGAGTAGGGAAAGGTAGCAAGTTGGAACCACAAGTGTGTTTGTGCTCGACTTGCGTTTTTCCAAGACTGAATGAGTCCTAAATTTGCAGGCTTGTACGTCACACCTTCGCGCGGTCGCGTGCCGTATACAGACTGTCCGCTGGCACATCCCAGAACCTCTGTATTCAAGTCTCAAAGCCTCCTGACGCTCGCAGGAGTCGAAAAAAATGCTGCGGGGTCGAGTGAGGAAGAACATTTCCTTGCATTCCTGGAGGTTCCTGGAGAGATGCAAGCGAAGCAGGATTACTGTCTTCGTGCGGAGAGCCCACAGGTCATACTCTACCTTCAAGCAACCGCAACAGGAGAGTAACAGTGGTAGTCAGCGGCCACCATTGCGCCGTATGTCCTCTTTCTCACAAGGGTGACGTATCTAATCTCTGCGTACCAGAAAGACTCGCTTCCGCGTGGAAGGAAACACCAACGACATGGTATCCTCTCCCTGTTGCCGTTGGCGCTCTCCTCCTGCTCGCTATTCAGTTTCGCAAGAAGGTCGCAGAGACGGAGGTGCATGTGGATAACGAGGGTCGAGAGGTGGTCAAGCTGAAGGGACCTTGGCATGTACGCCAGTTCGCGTTCTACTTTTCTTTTATGCGCTGAGCGTCGGCGAATGTAGGTTCATGTGATGGGTGCTCTTCCACTGCGAAACCTCTCTCGTGTCTGGGGCTATGTAAACTCTTTTGAGTTGCCAGTCTGGTTTAGACCCTATGGCTTTCGGTTCTACGCTTGGGCCTTCGGTTGTGACTTGACTGAAATCGAACCAGAGGATCTCACGAAATATGCCAGTCTGGGGGAGTTCTTTTACAGGGATCTGAAAGATGGCGCTCGACCCGTCGCAGATGCCGTCCTGGTATGTGTTCGAGCATCTCCCTGATTGAAAAATAGTAACATTATCGTTGGCTGGTAGGTGAGTCCCGCCGATGGAAAGATTCTACACTTTGGCACCATCACAAACGGACGTGTTGAGCAAGTCAAGGGCAGCACCTACTCACTTGACGCGCTTCTGGGTGTTGAAAGCCCTCATGTTCGCCCCGCGCCCGTCACATTCCCGCGGCGCGATATGGCTGAAGTTGACGACCGGGACTTCGCAGACATAAACGGAATTGAATACAGCCTGGAAGAGCTACTCGGCGCCTCCGAGTCGAACACGCCCGGGTCTTCCGGTACCTCGACGCCGACAACTAGTGTATCACCCGGCGTGCATCCATCCCATGCGAAGAAGTACGGTGCGCAGATCGATGCTTCCGTGTCTTTCGACGCGAGTATGTCGGATGTCATCGCGCACGACGCGTCCGTTGCGGCGGAAATGGGCCTGCGCCCTTCCTTAGAGCGTACTCGAAGTAGACTGAGCAAAGCACCTAGACCTGGAAACGCGCTATACTTTGTCGTCGTGTATCTGGCGCCAGGTGACTATCACAAATTTCACAGCCCTACTGCATGGGTGGTGGAGAAGCGCCGCCACTTTGTTGGTACGTGTGATATTGAATATTACTCGTATTTACCTCGGACGTTAATATGGGGCCCAAATAGGTGATCTGTTTTCTGTATCACCGTGGATGGCTAAACGCTTGGAGAATTTGTTCGTGCTGAACGAACGGGTTGCGCTGCTTGGGCGGTGGAAATATGGCTTCTTCAGCATGGTTCCAGTTGGTGCGACAAACGTGGGTAGTATCAAGATTGACTTTGACCAGGTATGTGCGCCATCCCTTCATTTTTTTGCCATCGCTTATCGTTCTTTGCCACCTGAATGTCTAACTGGGCAGGCCCTTCGAACTAACGTGGCATCACGCCGCCGCCCTCCAGTCGGGACCTACACCGAAGCAGTGTACTCTGCCGCCTCGCCGATCCTTAATGGGCAGCCGCTCATGAAGGCACAAAAAATGGGTGGCTTCAGTCTTGGTAGCACCGTCGTTGTCGTATTTGAGGCACCCCAGGACTTCCAGTTCACTATCCATGCGGGCCAGAAGATCAAGGTGGGCGAAACGATGGGAGACGTCGCGACTGCTTTCGAGTCCAAAAAGCAACGGTGACCATCCCGCTACCAGTGACTGTGCGGCAATACAAGCCATCGCTAATCCTCACAATCCGCTATGAATGTTGTTGACGTCCTGTCTATACGAGATACTCATGACGGGGGGGGGCCTAACAGCCTCCTACTCCGCGCGGATATCAAAGATCTAATCCCAACTTCACGAAACAGCGTCGATTTTAGAGTAACGAGGTATAATCTATACTGGTTCACACAATCCATAACTGTCGGACTACCTATCGAGTCAAACATTCCATTATGCAAACAACGGTAGGTTCTCATACAATGTCCCTCTGAGTCTACGGTAGAATTTGAAGTGATGACCACAGAAGCTTCGGATTCCACGTATGAGATCTATGAGATGTTCAGCGAGGATCCAGCAAGGAGTCGACACGTTCTGCATAAACTCCTTCTGTCAGACAACTGTTGTACAAATTACCCACCGAATAGCGCGCATCATACCCTCTGCAATTATGAGTATCGCATGCTATACGCGAGCACCAGTGCCAGCAACCGCTGCGGGCTTCCCAGCAAAGTTCATGGACCCCTACACGATCAAGGGAGCCCTCAGAATTAGTCTCTGAAATGCAGCCGACAACATCAATCGCTCCCGAGCTCAGACGGTCCACCAGCTCATGCCGTCGTTGGGTGTTCACGGTGCAAATACAATAACTCCATGTAAGTCCAGATATGTGAAAAGCTGCATACGAAGGCAACTCACAACCATCGACTGGTAATCCCCTCTCGGGCGTGTTAGTCCTGTGGATGGTTGAAGCGAACTTAACAAGAGTTGTTCGAACAGCCGAACTGCTGAAACATTTCACTGGATACTGAGCGTTCAGGGAAGAGGGGCAGCTATACGCCGCGAACGAACAGCACACCCGGCAGCACTGTGACACAGTTCGAGTGCTAGCGCCAGAAGTGAGAGTTCAGCTGCGACGAAAGCACGGATCATCCACCAGAACGTAGCTGTAGTTAGTAGGGATGAATATCCAAAACGCGCTTACACAGAGCAATGCACTTAGATCTACGGGACAGATCGGACCTCTAAGCCTTCGCTCGTGCCTCCATCTTCTTCCTCAACTTGTCCTGAACATTGTGCGGTGGTCAGTAGCAATCTGCGGCGCGCAATAGTAGTACGCACATGAACCGCATCCATGTACACGTTAGTAACGACCCAGTGCTCGCGCTTCATGTCCTTCCCGTGTATCGCGAGTGCGAGATCCTTCGTCATGACACCGTCCTCATCGATTACCTCCACGCACGCCGACTCGAGGTCCTGGCAGAACGCGCTCAGTGCGTCGTTACCATCAAGTTTCGCACGGTGCAGTAGACCACGGGTCCATGCGAAAATGGAAGCGACGGGGTTGGTAGATGTCTCGCGGCCTTTCTGATACTCGCGGTAATGGCGTGTCACAGTGCCTGTAAAAATACACATTTAGATGTGTCAAGTGTGAGCTGTACGGGACTTACCGTGCGCAGCCTCGCTTTCAATGGTCTTTCCGTCCGGTGTGATCAGCTCACTGGTCATCATGCCCAAGCTGCCGAAGCCCTGGGCAAGAATGTCAGACTGCACGTCGCCGTCGTAGTTCTTGCACGCCCAGACGAACCCGCCCGAGGACTTGATCGCCTGCGCGACCATGTCGTCGATCAGGCGGTGCTCGTAGTAGATGCCTGCGGCCTCAAAGCCTTTTTTATATTGCCTGAAAGACCGGGAGGTTAGTCATAGGTTTTGTGCAGAGTGAGAACGCCCTACGCTTCGTAGACCTCTTGGAAAATGTCCTTGAATCGTCCATCGTACTTCTTCAGGATCGTGTTCTTTGTTGACATGAATAGCGGCAGCTTCTTGGCCAGCGCCATCTTGAACGACGAATGCGCGAAGCCCGTGATCGACTGCGAGCTTTGTGAGTCCAGTAGCTCGACGAGCCACCGCGTATACGCACGTCGTCTGTGTTGTACATGCTCATCGCGACGCCTTTGCCCTTAAAGTCGTATACATCGTACGTCGCCCCCTTGCTCCCGTCCGCGGGCGTGTAAACTAGCTGCAGCTTCCCTGGCCCTGGCACAATTATGTCCGTTGACCGATACTGCGACCCGCGTCAGCGCGCAGCCCACGCGACGACCGAAGTTCCGCACATACCTGGTCTCCGAACGCATGTCGACCGATCACGATGGGATTCTTCCACCCCGGAATGGGGCGCGGGACGCTCTTCAGGATAATTGGTTCACGAAAAACTGTACCCCCAAGGATGTTCCTAATCGTTCCGTTTGGGCTCCGCCACATTTGCTTCAGTTTGAACTCCTTCACCCGCGCCTCGTCCGGCGTGATCGTGGCACACTTGATTCCGACGTTGTACCTCAGGATCGCCTCTGCCGACTCCACCGTTACTTGGTCGTTCGTCTGTCAGTCGCGCAAGTATCAGCACGCGCCAAAGCAGTGAGTGACGGTAACACAGATGAGCAAGAGATGCATGGGAGACAAGTCATGACCGTCACTGTGGTATAAACTATCCAATTGTGCGAGCCCAACAGAGTGGATATGAACCGCCCTGATCCATGAGAATATTGCCCGGTTATAAACAACTGTTAGTTCTACGTTTAAATCGCAGTACAATGCACATGAAAACATGAAAACAAAACGAAACAAAAGCTGGTAAAAAGATGGGAATAGCACCACAAGTGCTTCACTGGCGTCAGATCTATTCACCGAATCCATCGTTCATAAATCTCTAACATGCGAACGTGCTCCAACAACCGTCGAAGCTGGCCGGAGATTCTCACAAGTTGGTATGCTCTCATCCGTGATCAACGTAACGGTGACGGCAATGCGGGGCTGTGAAGACGAGTGAAAAAGTAGACACCCACCGCATCACGATGCTCCAGACCGAGGTCAAAATACTTGATGTCCAGTTGAAGGTACGGCAGAATGAGCTACATGGCCGATGCCAGTGAAGACGCCTTCGCTGAGGATTAAGCTAAAACACACCTCTTCCCTAATCTTCTTCCAGATGATCCTGGTCATCTCATCGCCATCAAGCTCCACCACTGGGTGCTTGACGACAATCTTGTCCTCTGCATTCGATTGGGACGTGCCGAGAGACGGAACCGGGGTAAAAAGTCAGAAACGCGCGCCAGGGGTCCCATATTCGACGCCAAGGTTCGTGTGAGCGTCAGCGACTGGTAGAATCGGTGATAAGGCGAAACAGACACGTACGCAACCTGGAGACGCTGTTCGCGAACCCGCGTCGGAGTAGAGGCACGGTGGCAGTCCTGGACTGGCGCAGACCGCAAGAAATAGAGCGCACGAACACAACCATCGCGGGCAAATCTGAAGCTGAGAAACAGCGTGTGCTGGCTATATAACACGCCCCGAACTGGCTGCAGCCTGTGAAGCGGCGGAATCACGGTCGTTCGCAAGTCGTTTACTCCCACCCCAGATCACGTGCGTAATTTTGCTAGCCCGGCCCGGCGAGAGCATTGTATATCTAAAAGTTAGAAAATTATGGCGCATCTCACTTGCATCTCACAGAACAACAGCACTATAGAAGAAAATATGACCATTGATTGAAGACTGAGGAACACCCTTTGAGCTGTGGAAGAGAGGGCAGCGAGTGAGAGCATCCCGGTCAGTCTTACCAAGCATCTCTTCCTGGGCGCAGTGCGTCGGTACTAAATATGTCGAGGGTTCGGACGATATACGCCCGACGGACATGGTGTCTAAGAGGATAAACGTAGGACGTCGTGGCTTCCAGGACTACGATACTTGGGAAACGTTTAGATTGTATGTACATCGAGAGGCTTCATTGAAAAGCACGACTGCAATCCGGCTCTCTTCGTTTGCCCGACGTGCTAGAGATCCTACACTGCCACAGGAAATTGACTGGAGAGATTGATTGAGAACAACCGGGAAGTGCGAGTTCGGGAATAACCGTGACCGCCCAGCTGGAGTACACATGATGCGCACAGTTCATTCAACCACGGCCATTGATATGGTAGTCCGAAGCAGTACTAGTCCGATCCTCCTGGTCTGGAATTGACGCATACGAACTGCAAGTTGGCGATCAGTATAAGCTCCGGGCTTGCTGTCCCCGATTATCACAGTAAGAATGCACAGCACACTAGCTTGCGGAAGCGATATGCTCTGTAATCGTCATCACAAAGGACTGGAATAGATATCGCACCTAACACAAAAATCACGTTCATCATAGAGGTAACGGAGGGGTCTGCCAACTTGCTTCAGAAGTGATACAGTGAATCAGCAACACTATCATACCATCGACCGTAGGTATCATGATTCGACGCCAGAATAATCCGCATTCCATTCGGAATTTGACAGACGGAGTCCAAGTCAGTGCATAGCAACAAGCATCACACAGAGCTAACGGGCAGAATTACAACAGATACAGAGAGCTCGGTGGGCAGTGCATGATGGGACCATGGCACGAAGTGATAGAGGTGTACGGTGGGCCTGCAGTCTGCTCTCAGCCACCGCGGCTCTGGCTGCTGCGGCGAGAGAGGAGAGGCAAAGAGCCGCAGCCGCAAGGAGATCTCCTCGATCTTCAAGGGGTACAGCATAGCCAATTTGGTAAGTCCGCGTTTATAGGGCATTGCCCCGGGTACTATTTTTGTATACACCGCTACTATAAACCCTCTACTATACAATCTATCCTGTCCATCACCCTCTTCGTACTCTCCATCCTCCACCATCTCGCCTCCAGATTTCATCTGCGACAATGCCCAGCACTCCCCCTACGGTTCCTTGCCAGGTGAGCACGTGGCCGTGGTTTCACAGCAGTTGCCGCGGCTGATATCAGGTAGTATCGGACGGGAAGGACTCTCGGCAGCGGGACTTATGCCATTGTGAAGGAAGCAGTCCATATCAAGACGGGCGTACGCTATGCTTGTAAGGTTATCAACAAGAAGCTCATGGAGGGGAGAGAGTACATGGTACGTTGCTATGCCCATTTCCTGCAGGCTCCTATGTCTATTGTAGCGATGGGGAGATTCTCGACATCTACCGGCTTCCTCCCCCATTTCGTTGATGTCAGGCATAAGCTTATCCTTACTCATGCGTTGATAGGTCCGGAACGAGATCGCGGTGTTGAAGCGAGTGTCGAAGGGTCACAAGAATATAGTCACCTTGCACGACTACTTTGAGGTATGCCCGCGCTTAGTCGTCATGCTGTGCAGCGCGTCGGAGTAGAAGGCTGATCACAAGAATTTTCTCAGACCGCTCACAACCTCTATCTCTGCTTTGACCTCTGCACAGGAGGGGAGCTCTTCGACCGGATATGTGCTAAAGGAAATTATTATGAGGCGTACGCCACCGTCCACTCGATTGGTTATTTGCTATTAACTCGCTTGGTCTCAGTGATGCTGCTTCCTTGATCAGGACTATTTTCGGGGCGGTGAAATATATTCATGGTTGTGGGATTGTTCACAGAGGTATTACAAACAACATCCATGTCTATATTCCGAATCCTCATCACGGAACTCATTACAACATTGTTAGATCTCAAACCGGAAAATCTTTTATTCAGGACGAAAGAAGAAGACGCAGACATCATGATTGCCGACTTTGGTCTCAGTAGAGTCATGGAAGAGGAGAAATTGCAGCTTCTGACGGAGATCTGCGGTACACCGGGCGTAAGTGTGCTCATTTTACACTACCGCCTTGATCTTACCATTTTGTCACCAGTACATGGCCCCCGAAATTTTCAAGAAAAGTGAATTCGTATCTGTTGTAAATTGCAGTCTTTCTTACGTTGTATAGCCGGGCACGGAAAGCCTGTCGACATCTGGGCAATGGGCGTTATCACCTATTTCCTTCTCTGCGGTATGATTTGTTCCGATTTTACGCGGAATGTGCCTCACGTTTGGTTTAGGATACACACCCTTCGACCGCGATACCCAACAGCTGGAGATGGAGGCGATCGTCGCTGGTGATTACAAGTTTGAGCCCGGTATGCCACAAAGTCCGCTCTCTGACACGCGTGCTCACTGTGCCCGCTGGACCTACAGAGGAGTACTGGGCGAACGTCTCAGAGACCGCACGAAACTTCGTGTCCGAATGTCTGACGATAGATCCTGTGTCACGGCCCACGGCGGAGGAGATGCTCGAGCACAAGTGGCTCGCGGACGAGCGCCCGCACTTCGTGCCCGACCCCGAGAGCCCGCACGGTGGCCCGACGGACTTGCTCCCACACATTCAGAAGCACTTCGACGCCAGGAGGACATGTACGTTGTACTTTCGATTCTTCCCTGAGAAGCGGAACTGGACAGGTTGCTGACAAAGTGCATTGTGCTGCGCATGTTACCAGTCCGCAAGGCAGTGTTCTCCATGATGGCGATGAAGAGGATGTCTTCTCTTGTGCAGATGTCTCCCACCCATCAACGGCTCGGCGCCAATTTACAGCAGTACATGGAAGAATCCGAGAAGGTGCGGCGTTCATAGCCATCGCTGAATTGACCGCATGCTGACCGTTATCTCACAGGAAATTGTCAACGAGGTGAGATGCGGTACCCGCCGTCACCCTACTATTGTGGCCTGACCTTTTTCCAGGACCGTTCTGTGCTGCATTACGGCAGCAGTTCGGAGGCTTCCCTCGCGGAGGACGATGTGTCCAAGCAGTCCGAGGGCTCGACCCCGCTTGTCAAGGCCATGAGCAAGGTCTCGATAGATGAAGTCGCGAGGTGACGGTGGATATACCGACACGATATACTAATGTGAAGGATAAAAGGGAGTGGTGTTCGTGTTCGCTGTTACTAGTAACATGTATTGTACCATGTGAGACGAGGCAGATCTCTCGGAATTTATACCGATCTCGTCAATTATCCACGCGCACACAAAGGTGAGCACTGAATGCTTTAACTTCCCGACTAACACCATGCACGGCGGCATACTTTACTACGGGCCGTCGTTCATTGTTTTCACGCATCCTAACGTTCACACTAAGTAAGCATTGCATCCTGCATTCGTATGGTGACCATAATGCGAGAAGAGGTAGGAGTCGATACACCATGGTGAACGTCCACCATTTATCAATTCGAAAGGCTTCGTTGTCGCCAACGACTTCATCGCTTCAGGTTCTTGAACTTTCTCCATTTAATTTGCCCTGACCTACCGTTGAGGACACGGTTGTTACAATGTTCTATGCCACACTCCCCATTGGTACTGTGTGTTCTCGATCTGTGAATCCGTTTCATCCACTGATGTACAATTTGACAGGCAGGTAGGACAATGTGTCCACAACTTCCTGTTGTGTATATCATCGCAAGAGTCCGTGGGTCCGAATATTTGCTTGTCGCTCAGGAATATAAATTTGGCTTTAGGAGTTCGTCCGCAGTCATGCACTGGGGCAAATCATCTATATGGCCGGAACTTTTCATAACGCACAATTGACTGTGTACAGCTATCATACATCCACTATTCCAATCACAATGCGAGGTCAGAGCGACCGGCAATGTACAGAAATGTCTGGTCGCCATGAGGCTCAGGGATCACTTTCTTGCCCACTTCGACGCGGAGACTATCGAGGTCTGGTGTTCCCTCGGCAAGACGGACGACACGTTCTGCCCAGTCACTCACCTCAGCCATGCTCTGGACTGCGCGGTATGTACCTTGGACCATATTTGAGGCATCAGTGACCCGTGCTGCGCTCAGGTTCGGATGTTTCGAGTTTTGGCTGAGGTCATGCCCATGTGACATCCCCCCCTCCTCTATACAAAATTCACCAGATGTTCTCGTGAGCGACCCAACATCTCAAAACGCCCAATTTAATAACCACCAGGTTGCTCACTGAACGTCTGGTTAGGAGACTACAGTACTGTACATGGTGATTTTCATCAAAAACACACAGTGAAAATCACCACCTTCAGTCTTCATAGTGTGATAGAAACAAAGTTTGGATATATCACTGACCGGTTCTACACTGTGTATACCGAGTTTTGCGGCATTTACTGGGGACAGGAGATGTAAATACAGGCCTTGGACTGAACAAGGTCGGAACTGCATGAACTGTATGACTAGCACATGGTCGTTTTCCTTATTTTGGCTCTTTTCATGCCTCTGTTGGAGTACGATGGCGGCTGGCTCCTTTGACACTTCTGTATGAAACCGTGCTCTGGCTTCTGCCCGACTTGCCTAAGTCAAAAGGTCATTCACTAAGGTTACTGTACAGTGCAAGACTACGAACAGATTCGCAGCCATATAGCGAAGTAGCATCAGGAGAAAACAAGATGGTAAGAGCACCCCTCTGGTAGATAAGGGTAAGAAAAGCTCCTAACGTGTTGGCACAGGAGCAGCGAGTACATATTCCATTCAGCCAAGCTTCGCAAGATCAAATCCGCGCCGTTTCGTGGCTTTGACCATGAGAGGACTCTGCAAGACCGTTGTGCGCATGTTTAAGATCCCATCGCGGTATGCCTTGACGTCAAAACCCTCTTCCAATTTCATGTCATGCGCAAGTACCAAGCGAGCAGTTACGAAACGCATCTCCTGGTAGGCAAAGGCTTTGGCAACACACACGTGAGGTCCTAAGATGTGTGTTCAGTGGTTAGCTGAGTGGAAGCGATGGATAGTGTAAAGATGTTACCGGAGGAGAATGACATGAGTGCCGTTCTCTCGGTAATTGACTCAGGTCCAAGCCCTCCGGGAAGCCATCTCTCTGGGAGGAAGTCCTAGGGACATATATTATGAGTAACTGAGCTTTAAGTACCGGTACGTGCACTCACCAAAGGAGCGGGATAGAAGTTAGCCGGACTAGTCTGCTGAGAATGCACCGCGACGGCAACGATCGTTCCTCCAGGAATAAAACGGCCTTCCAAAGTGAGGCCACTCGGCGGAACAATTCGAGGAAGGAAGAAAGGAGTACCCAGACGGAGGGTCTCACTGAGGACTGCATTCAGGAAAGGAAGATTTGCCAGCTTCGAAGAGTCGAGTAGGCCAGCGGGATCCGTGAACGCGGCATCGAGCTCAGCTTGCAACATTTTGTAGTACTTTGGTTGCGAGAGTATGAAGTAGAATACGAGCGACATGGTCATTGCAGTATTATCTGACCCTGAAAATATTATTCAAATGTCAGTAAATAGTAATCAGTGACGGGTGCTGATCATGTCTCACCTCCTTGGATTGCTAGCGCGGCATCTGCTTCAAGGTCCTTCGCTGAGATTTTTTGGCCTGAGCGAGGATCGCCGGCGAACTAATGGCGTCGCGTCCAAAATGAGGTTATATGTCTCAGTAGCTTACCAGATAAGAGCTGATATCTTTCGCGGCTATGTTCTTGTCCGCCTTGATACGTGTTTGCATCATTGTTGCGGCAATGTTACGGAGGCGGACCCAGGACCTTCCCAGCGGTAGGTACCAGATGATGTCCGCGAGCCAAGGCGATTGACCAGCGCTACAGAAACGTCAAGGGGCTGAGAATGACTAAACGATTCGGCTACCACATGCCTGTCTAGAGCGATCGTTGCCCTCTTCCCGCCCATGACTAAATCATCGGGATCACCGCGTTTCATCAGTTCCTACAAAACAAGCAGCTCAGTCGACGAAAATTGAAATGTGGGTCATACAAACCAGATCGTTGCACCCTCCGAAAGCCATGTCACCCTGTTCACAGAATTAAAACCGTATATTATATAGCATGATAAAGGCTGGCATACCATGAAATCGTAGGACCAATGGCATAGGCATTCCGAGAGATCAACTGTCTTGGATTCGGCTCTCGTTTGCCGCCATTCAATACATTTCATTAACTCCATAGTACGCCGCTCTAGCAAAGGGAAGAAGTGCACCACACTGACGCAAGATTTATAAACAATTAAAATGCGCTACAAGATGAAGCTCACGTAGGCCCAGTGAACGCCGTGGACCAGATCCGTTTTCGGTCAGCATGGAGTTTCTTAGTGCGCTGCTTGAAGAATATAGCGACGACCGGCAGATGCCCAGGTGTGTTGTACGCTTCGCTCTTGTCCAGGTCGTAGTTCGCATTGTACAGTGCGGCAGCAGATAGCGTATTGATCGACAATGTATTTGGACCTGCTGCATCTCAGCCACAACTTATGAACAGTGAATACGCCAAGCTCACCAATCCGTACAAACGGGCCGTAAACTTTGTGCAATTCGTCCAATATGAGATGGCGCTTACCCTTGAACGAGACATAGCCGAGTCGCAGACTGCTGATCCACCATAGACGAGGGCCAGGGAAGGTGAAAAGAGGATGGAACGGCGATAGTCGATATGCAACAGTGAACAGTAGTACTGAGAGCGTATGAACGCCAAAGATGAGACAAGTAAAAACCAAAGGGGTAGGAGTTGTGTGCAATTGCTTATTGGCGAGATAGAACGACGAGAACGCGAGGCAGTAACCAATGGCAGCATGGTTTCCTCGAACAGACTGTCGCTTCAGACATATCCATGTCAGCTGAGTGATATATAAGACGTCTGCCCATATGCGATACGAAAGATGCACATACTAGCCCTGCAATGGCTGCAGCACAGAGAAATCGAGAGTGAACGGACGTGACTTCACCGGAGGTATCCATGGTGTTGCAGACGCAGCGCTAATCTTGGAGACGCGGTGATCTTGGACATTTAAATGGTCTGAGGATATGTCATAACCTTTTTATCACAGGACAGACTCGGAAATGGTGTCTGTTTGACTCCCAGTCTGCGGGGCGTTCCTGTTCTGTGAACAGAATAAAGTTCAAACTGTGCATGTCTCGCCCTAGAAGTCAGAGAACATGAGGCTACACATCAAGATCACTAGGGTTTCAAGGACATCAGTCACTGTGAGTTCAATGTCTTCCATCAGAGCATGCCCATGGAAGTAGAGTATGTCCGATTCCAGTATGATGGACTCAGTGTTTGGTTCAGCCCATTCAGTCATGTTTGTGAACTGGACTCCCATTTACCCTGACATTGTCATGAACTGGACAGCCAGCGGACGTCAGCCCATCGGTCTGTGTAAGGAGCTGTCAGCGATCGGCTCATGGCGATGAAGGGAATGCTGGAGCGATGGGCCCACCGCCATAGGAGTATTTCTGAGCGATTGGCCTACCACCATGATGCTACTATTATACAGGCATGGGCCCACCGCCGCGGTGATAGTTCTGAGCGATGGGCCCACCGCCATAGGTGTATTTTTGAGTGATCGGCCCACTGCCACGGGGCTATTATACAGCCATCGGCCCACCGCCATAGGTATATTTCTGAGCGATTGGCCCACCGGGTGTATTTTTGAGCGATCGGCCCACCGCCACGGGGCTATTATACCGCCATCGGCCCACCGCCGTAGGTAGTGTTCTGAGCGATGGTCCCACCGCCATAGGTAGTGTTCTGAGCGATCGGCCCACCGCCATAGGTAGTGTTCTGAGTGATGGGCCGACCTCCATAGGTAGTGTTCTGAGCGATGGGCCCACCGCCATAGGTATATTTCTGAGCGATCGGCCCACCGCCATAGGTAGTGTTCTGAGCGACCGGCCCACCGCCACGGTGCTATTATACAGCCATCGGCCCACCGCCATAGGTAGTGTTCTGAGCGATGGGCCAACCACCATAGGTAGTGTTCTGAGCGATCGGCCCACCGCCATAGGTAGTGTTCTGAGTGATGGGCCGACCTCCATAGGTAGTGTTCTGAGCGATGGGCCCACCGCCATAGGTATATTTCTGAGCGATCGGCCCACCGCCATAGGTAGTGTTCTGAGCGATCGGCCCACCGCCACGGTGCTATTATACAGCCATCGGCCCACCGCCATAGGTAGTGTTCTGAGCGATGGGCCAACCACCATAGGTAGTGTTCTGAGCGATCGGCCCACCGCCACTGGGGCTATTATACAGCCATCAGCCCACCGCCATAGGTAGTGTTCTGAGCGATGGGCCGACCTCCATAGGTAGTGTTCTGAGCGATGGGCCCACCGCCATAGGTATATTTCTGAGCGATCGGCCCACCGCCATAGGTAGTGTTCTGAGCGATCGGCCCACCACCACCACGGTGCTATTATACAGCCATCGGCCCACCGCCATAGGTAGTGTTCTGAGCGGTGGGCCGACCACCATAGGCAGTGTTCTGAGCGATCGGCCCACCGCTATAGGTAGTGTTCTGAGCGATCGGCCCACCGCCACGGTGCTATTATACAGCCATCGGCCCACCGCCATAGGTAGTGTTCTGAGTGATGGGCTGACCTCCATAGGTAGTGTTCTGAGCGATGGGCTGACCATCATAGGTAGTGTTCTGAGCGATCGGCCCACCGCCACTGGGGCTATTATACAGCCATCGGCCCACTGCCATAGGTAGTGTTCTGAGCGATCGGCCCACCACCACGGTGCTATTATACAGCCATCAGCCCACTGCCATAGGTAGTGTTCTGAGCAGTGGGCCGACCGCCATAGGCAGTGTTCTGAGCGATCGGCCCACCGCCACGGTGCTATTATACAGCCATCGGCCCACCGCCATAGGTAGTGTTCTGAGCGATGGGCCAACCACCATAGGTAGTGTTCTGAGCGATCGGCCCACCGCCACTGGGGCTATTATACAGCCATCGGCCCACCGTCATAGGTAGTGTTCTGAGCGATGGGCTGACCTCCATAGGTAGTGTTCTGAGCGATGGGCCCACCGCCATAGGTATATTTCTGAGCGATCAGCCCACCGCCACGGTGCTATTATACAGCCATCGGCCCAACCCCATAGGTAGGGTTCTGAGCGATGGGCCGACCTCCATAGGTAGTGTTCTGAGCAATTGGCCCACCACCACAGGGCTATTATACAGCCATCGGCCCACCGCCATAGGTATATTTCTGAGCCCATAGGCATGGGTCGCCTGAAATATCTGACTAGCCCGGGCATAGCTGAGTTATTTACCTTGCCCTAGGTTGTCAACTGGGCTTGTATCATGTCCGTGTCATCTTGGTGAAGCATGGGTGGGTGAAGGAACATACCAGATGATTCGTCAGGGAGTAGCATAGGTGGATGTATGAAACATGAAGATTGGTCGGGGGGAAGCATGGGCGGATGTATGAAATGTGGAGATTGGTCGGGGGGAAGCATGGGCGGATGCCACGCCTGCTTGCCCGAGCCAAGAAGTAGACCATACAAAGTGAACGGATTGTACCCAAAGTCAACCAAAGAGCACAAAGTAGACAAGGATGCGGACGTGTGTGAATCAGCGTACGAGCCGAAGGATGTTACGCGGCAGCGAAACACGAGCGTCTAGTCGAGTCGTCACGAGACAAGGTCTTAGTCTAAGACACAAGTCCGTTCAAGTGACACTTCTGGCGATGTCCTCGCACTGAAGGTCGATCAGAGTTCGTTCTTATGACTCGTAGTAGCTGTCTGCTACTGACGGTCAATCTCAGTCAAAGGCAAGTGAAAAGCTGGTTTAATGGTAACCAGGTCGAGATGGGGATCCAGCTCGACAAGGTCGTTTACTTATACAAAAGGTATCCGCAGTACTACGCAGTAATGCGAGATCGTTCATTGGCTAGATAAGGTGAAACGATATCTGGGCAAGGTAACAGCGAGGAAGTAATATGTATGAGAAAGCTGAGTAAGGTCGTGAGAGATAATCAGTACTAATGGGGATAACGAGTCGTGTATCAGAACGAGGTAAAGATGAGGCGTACATGCACGTCTTGCATGCGCGATAAGAAGAAGGTCCGGAGTTGGATCCGGTGTAACCCTAGACTAGGGGTTCTGGACATCTGGGTAAAGAATCGGAGGTTGCGCTCCAATGAGTCACGTGTTGGATCACGTGGTCTGGTAACGTAAAGGGAACAAGGAAAAGAAAAAAGAAAAGACGCGCCACAAGTGGGGAGCATTGTAACATCAGCTCCCGTCTAACGTTTCTTGTCCCACAAGAAATATTGTGATCCTCATCGTCGTCGGGGGCAGTCGCGGACATAATGATCTCCTCCACATCTGTAGCATGTCCACCGGCTGGTTCGTGATCCTTGTTCGGGGATACGTCCATTCCTGTAGGGATGACTGCGACGCGAAGAAGTGGATGCAGTCGAGAAAGATGGTTGGGATAACGGAGATCGTCCACTGGGTACGTGCGAACGAGGAGGGCGAGGTCGAACGGGAATTGGTTCTGGCGACGAGCGAGGAGTGGATACGGGTATTCCATTAGTGGTGTATCCGAGGATGTGTCCGATGTCTTCGTCCCCATGCTCCCTCCAAATCTCCTGTGCTGTACGAGTGACCGTACTGCGCATCAACGACCAGACTTGGTCGACTCTGGTCCGGGCTCTACTCGTCCTTTCTTCTGCTGCGATGAGCTCTTGTCTGGCCGTCTGCATCCACTCGACCATTTCTAATGCTCGTTGCATGGAAACCACTGCTTGTCGATCTTGCGGGCGATTTCGTAAGGCAACGAGGATATCTGTGAAGTCGACAGGAACACGGATAGCCGAGATCAGACGTGTGGCAAATTCTTGTTCGTCCGATGTGTGACTGAGTTCGATAGAAGGTGAGGGCGATGAGGTGCGGATAAAGGGTGTCTGTGCTCGAGAGGGTACTCCATTGACAAGCGTAGGTGATGCGGGTATGCTCATAATTGTGGAGGCGACTTCAGCGAGTATATTGTGAACAAGGTCGTCTATAGCGGAAGTGGGCATTGATGATATGTCGTTTTCTCCCCCCTTTTATACCTTTCGGTCGTTAAGGGGGTCGCGGTTATCTGTGACGTGAAATAGAATGTCGTGGATCCGGGTAATAATCAAATAGATGAAAATCCATTGGACGATAAAGAGTATTCCCACAGAGATAAGAGCTGCCTGATCAGTTCCAGGCATCGTTCTGATCACCCCAGCCGTTAGCGTGCGGGCTGTCTCGCGTGAAGAGTGTGTGTTCGACAAGTCGTCTGATAAGGATTCGGTGGATGATCCAAAGAAAGGCGAGGGTTGTGCAGTGGAGGACGATTAGGAAGATGATGAGGAAAACCGTCGTGGTAGTCATTCCGGGTTTCTTCTCCTCTACTGGATTCCCCTGGTCCTTTTATATGCATCGAGGATTTGCTTGGCATTCTGTAAATTGTGGGTAGGTTCCCACGAGTTTTCTGCTGAAGAATATCCCTTCCACTTGACTAAGTACCTCAGATGACCTCGGTACGTCTTGTGATTCAGGATGGCTTCGACTTCGTACTCTTCCTCGTTATCAACGACATCAGGTGGTGGGTTCATGTAATTCGGACCATGTATGTCATTTTCGCGATAAGGAGATAGAAGGGCGGCGTGGAATACGGAATGAACTCGCCAGGTCTTCGGGAGTTTGAGACGATAGTTGGCCGGTCCGATGACTTCGACAATTTCGAATGGCCCCTCACGCTTTGGTGCTATCTTGCGCGAGGCATAATTGACCTTCAGGTTCCTCGAGTCTAGCCAGACCTTCTGTCCTAGTGTAAACTTCGGTGATCCTTGTCTGACTCGGTCCGCCATCTGTTGTCGGGCTAACTCGTGCATGGCTAGTGCTTCTAGTCTTATCTTCTGCAACATGTCAAGCCTGAATTCAACCGATGGAATGTTCGTGGATGGAAATACGGAGGGGAGT